GGGGGGGGCGGGGGGGGGGCGGGAGGGGGTGGGAGGGGGGGGGGGGGGGGGGGGGGGGGGGGAGGGGGGGGGGGGGTGCCACAGGTGAGGACGGTGGTGGAGCTGCCTGCCGGCCGGTGGGCTCTGACGGAGGGAGTAGCAGGGAGGACGACAGCGACCTCCGCGAACCTGGAAAGGCTGGAAGGGGGAGAGGGTGAGGGGCGGAGCTAGGCTTCCCCACAAGTTTGGGGGAGAACTCCAACACATGCCATCGGCAGATGCGGTGTCCAATGGCGTCGAATGCACAACTCGCCCATCTTGCCCATCTAGCCCTGCGACTTTGGGAATATGTAGCCGCCGTTTGCTTTTTGGTTGTGCCCACCGAGAGCCGAGGCGCACTGCACTCTCTTATGCAATCGCTTGATAGACAAGAGCCAGATCTCTTCAGATCCAGTACCAAGACACTTGTAGTGGTGGCGCTCCATCCGCCACAGACCTGCACTGCTCGCGGAGAGCCGCGGAGAAATGTAGTGTGTATGTAGGAGACTCGAGGAAAGAAGCACTCGGAGAACTCGCGATACCTCGCGACCAAGTGTGTCAAACATTGCCATCAACTTGATGGACCTCTGTCGTTCCTGGTCTGCCGCGACGACTTCTTCAAACCTCGTCCTCGTCACGAGGGATCGAGCACACCCGTACGAGATGCATGTAACAAACCCTTTTTCGAGAACCGCACCCATAAGCGGTACTGATTCGACGTGGTGTTCACGGATGCTCGGTGTGGGGGGGGCGCGCAAAAGAACCATTGTGTGTGCCAGCATCGTCACTCACTCCGGCTGATGACGCTGGTGGTGGTGGTGGGTGCTGGTTTAATCCCGGACTCCCGCTCGACGACGGCGTCACGGTGTACAAAGGACCTCTGGCAAAGCAACTCCCCCCCAAGCGACAAGACAAGTGAGGCGAAAGAGGAACCTGTACCGGGGAACAATTCTGGCCTTGCAGTAGCGCGCGCTCGTTGGTTCAATGCAGAGTTCTTCGATGACGGAACGGGGAACAATCCTCCACCCAGCCGCCGCCGCGCCGCCACCTACGCGAGCCACGCTAGCTGGCGGGCACTGCGGGCACTGGGGCCACTCTCCAACCTTGACTCGCAGTGTCTGTTTCCTCTGGGGGACGAACATTGTTCCGCTGGTGTAGACACCCAATTGTTCCTGTATCGTGGAATATCTAGATTATCACTAGCCTCAATATCCCAACCAACAAACAAGAATAACCTACCTACAAGTAGACAAGACGCAAGGGTGCTGTTCTCCCAAAACATTGCCTGACACGAAACGAAGCAGCCGCTCAATCCTCATCCGGCCATCCGCGCTCGTTGGTCTCACAATCGGGTCCCAGGGTTACATGTCGTATTTCCAGGGAAAGCTGCAGAACTTGAACATGTGTGCGTCCAAACAGTAAAGCACTGTAAATTAGGCCCCCCAGGCAAGATGTGCCGAAATTGAGTGGTGAGTTTGCTGCATGGGCCACTGGCCCCCAGGATGAGGCGTCGCGGCGGTTCTTTTGAGAACCTTGAGATAGGTAGCTGGAGGTCCCATCGGCCTTATCGGATCTGCTCGTCGGCAGTTAGTGTCGCCGCGGGTTTTCCACCAGCGCCGCTTGTAGGCGACCAGACTGGAGGTCTTGATTCGCTACAATCGCTCACTTGCTTGAATGTTCAAGCAGAACCGTTGCGTATCATCAAGTTTGGAATCGATAGCAAGAAGCTGGCCAGTGCCCTGGCGCTTGCAGGGTATTTTTATTTGGGAACTCACAGCGCTACGTGCACTCATCAGTGTGTCTTCTATCCGAGCAGACCTCCCAGCGCTTGCTTCCGGCTCAAGTCTGCCAACGCCATAGAAATAAGATAGAATTCCAACGATTGTGCAATGCCATCGCTAGCTAGATATATGTCCCGTGCTTCCAATACAATCCCCCGGGGAAAAAAAACGCCTTTCCAACACATTTGCTCTGGGCATCCCCCTGTCTACGCTCTTGTATGCATGCATCACACACCACCCCTCGCAAGCTCCCTCGCCCTCACCACTCTCCGTCAGAGTCACTATCATCGTCAGGAACCATAGCCCGATACCGCCTGCTAGTGAGGTCATCCTCCAGCCCGCCCTCGCCCTCGGGGTCAACGTAGCCCTCCCCGCCGACCAGGCTCAGCGCGACGGGCAGGAACACGAGCGCGTGCGTCGCCGCAAAGGCCACGAGCGCGACCCAGACCCGGAAGTAGTAGATCTCAAAGATCTTGCTGCGGGTGAACGCCAGCACCGTCACGCCCAGGAGCTTCGTCACCGTGATGCCCGAGAAGACCGACCCGCCGACGTTGGTGAGCGCCGTCCAGGCCCGCGCGTCGCGGCCCCGGAACCTGTTCTTGGCCTGCTCCATCAGCGCGCGGGCGGGGAACTGGAAGGCCCGGGCGATGTGCGCGCAGAACTCGACCGCGATGCCCACGCAGATGATCAGGTTCACGAGCGACACGGCATTGAGCGAGACGCCCATGACGGCCATCGCGCCGATGATGTCCACGATGGTCATGATGACCGTCACCGTGACGACGGCTGCAGTCACAAGAGACCCCAGCAGGATGGTGGCCACAATGAGGATGATGGCAATGGCCGCACCCAGGAGCGAAGCAGTAAGGCCGACGATGGAAGCATACTGGTCGAAGAAGATGTAGAAGACGCTGTAAGGGAAGACGTCGGCTCCGGTGCTCTTTGAAATGTCAGCCGCGATGCGCCTTGCAGAAGCGTATGCCTTGATAAAGTCATCCTGGCTGCGGAGGGGCGTATGCATGGTTCGGAAGTTGCTCGCTGGGATGGTCTCCTTCTCCTCGTCCACGACGACAGATTGGCCGTAGGCAGCCTGGCCGGCCAGCGGACAGTCATCCGTCGTCTTTGCGCTCAGGAATTTCTCGACGTAGTGGATGAACTCGTCGCCCACGGGCATGCCGTACAATGTGGTGTTCCACGGCGGGTCGCGCCCAGCAAAGCAGGGCTTGCCGTGCTCCACACAGCAAGACTCGAAATCGGGATTCAGCCAGAGGAAGAAATCATCGATCCAGCTGGCGGTGGGGGTGGCAATGTAGGATACCTCGGGTCTCTTGCGCTCTTGCTCGAGGATGCCAGTAAGTGAGAGCTGGTTGCACGTAGAGAAGCGAGAGCAAATATCCTGCTGATGTTTCCGCTGCGTGACGTTGAGATCCCTTGTGACAAAGTACACCGGAGGACCAGATTCGAAATAATCGTACAGGTCGTTGAAGTAAGGGATCAGGTAGGAGTCATCGGGAATAGCCACCCGCTGATCTAGACCCAGCGGAACCTCAGGAATCAATGAGATTCCAGCAGTGAAAAGACCCAGAAAGACGACAACAACGACTGCCTTGACCTTCTTCCCGAGCAACGCCGGAGCATAGCGTCTCCGGATAAACCGCTGGAGGAGACTTTCTTCAGGTGCCTCGTAGAGCCTTGTGCCCATACTGCCACCGCTACCATTAAGATGCACTCGAGCAGCTCTGACTTGGATGCACGGGAAGCAGTCTGCCCGGGAGTCCTCAACTCTGTGCTGGTTGAGTGTCAGCACCGAGATGAACATGGTCACCTGCAAGATCGCGTTGATGAAGACGGCCCCAGCAGCGTAGATGGCAAAGTTGCGAACGGCAGGCATTCCGACGAAGGCGCCAAGGGCGAAAGAGATGGTCTCAGTGATGGCCGAGAACAGAATTGACGGGCCCATGCGGCCCAACGCCCGCGAAATCCTTTGCTCGACCTCGTCATCAGGGTGGCTGATGTTGACGCGCTCAAACTCGTGCACGATGAGGAAGATGTTGTCGACACCAACAGCCAACACAATGAAGGGGATGACATCGACAATAATCAGCGTGACCTTGAGGCCGGCCCACGAGAATAGCCCAAGCGACGAGGTGATCGACATCAGAACAATGATAATTCCGACGACGCCCAGAGTGAACTTGGACTCGACCAAAGACACCGCAGGGTTGCGCAGGAGGTCTCGCAATGACATCGTCGTGGAGCCGAGAGCGATAGATGCGTACAGGAACATGATGACGTAGCTGATAACAATGATCTTGGCGTCGGTGTTGGTAGACTTGTTCAGCTCCTCCTCGAGACTGATTTCCGTGGAGAAGGACAGCCTCAGCCCCCGTGCAGCAGCCTCGTCTTGCAGGTCAAGCAGGCGATTCTTGAGCGCAGACTCCCAGTCCATGGCTCGAGCCACTTCGGAGCTACCCTCGGCGTAGTTGTTGACAACCCAAGTAACAGTCATGGCAGGTGCCTCAGCAATCTCGTCCAGACTCGAGTAACCACCAAGGATCATATCAGCATCGATTGGCTGGCCATACTCGGGGCGGCATTCCACGGGCGACTCAGCGCACCTCCGGAGATCGTCCTTCCACGTGCTACGGCTGACCATGGCGGGCTCGTCTTCAAACCACCCAGCGACGGACTGAACGACACAAGCCGAGCCGGTCGGCTTGAAGCAAACGTCCTGCAGTGTAGCTCCAAAGCGAGGCCCCTTAAGACGACGGATGCCCTTCTCGACGCCCATCCACCAGATGATGTTGTCGTAGCTCAGGACCGGTCCCTCGCCCTCAGCATGAGTATCGTTGACAAGGAAGATCTTTTCCGCGCGGTAGAACGGTCCGAAATTTGAGTCAAAGAAGGCCTTCTCTCGGGCCGCGTCAGAGGTTGGGCTGACCCACAATCGCGCTGGGTCTTTCTCGATATCGAAACGGATCAGACCAACACTCAGGATGGCAACAATGATAAGAGTGCTCGTGATGGTGATGCCAGGAAATCTAGCAGCCAGGTGGCCGAGCTTGCTAAAGGCAGAATCGCAGATCGCGTTGATCTTGTAGTTCCGTTGGGGCCGGTCGAGCATTGCCGCGTTATGTACCAGGTCCCCCTCGTCCTCGTCATCGCTTGGTGAAGCATCCTGCAACAGCCGAAGCCGCTCGTTGCGTCGCTTAGCATGCTTCCTCCAGGCGACATGCCCTGCGATAGCAGCGATAAAAGAGAAGAGCAGAATGCTGTACGTGAATATGGCGGCGAACGAGAGGCATGGCAGGACACCGACTTTGCAAGATCCGCTCTCGGCGACATCTGGCAGCTCCGGGCAGACTACAGGACAGTCGACGCAAGCGCATCGGAAGTTCGGATCCTCGTCGTTGCATTTCTTCGGCTTCATGTCCGTGGGTCCCATCCCCGGCTCGCGATAGTCGCCTGTCGGGAAGTTGATTTGAAACGGCGAACCCAATGCTTTCTCATCACCCAGAAATTTCAAGAAGGACGTGTAGTTCTTGGCCCCTCCGCCGATAAAGTCCATTGCCTTCGAGTTGGTGGGTCCGAACTTGACATCTTTACAGCTGTCGTAGAACCCGCTCCCATATTCCTTCGATATTAACTGATCCAACTCGGCGACCCGGAGCTTGCCCTTGTTTTCTTGCGCTTGCGTGATGTTGATGAAGAGAGATTGGTCGGGAGAGCACGTGAATGTGCAGAACAGGTTGAAGAAGTTCTCTTTGCAGGCAGGGCACGATGAGATGAGTTGGCTTGGGGTGCCAAAGTTGTCCTTCATCGCTTTCACCTGTTGCGCCGGAACGCCAAGTCAGTCAGGTGCGCATGACACCAAACGCGGACAGCAGTCAGCACATACCTGCTCCATGTTGCAGCAAACGGAACCGGAGCTCCATTTCGGTCCACACAGGGCGACCAGCTCTTCCCGAAGCTCGGCGTCTGGGTCTTCGGCCAGGCCATTGTCTACGCAGGGCAGCTCCTTTCCAAAGAAACCCTTCTTCCCGCAGTGCCCGCGCATGGCGCAGCGCCCGGCCTCATGCTTCGCCGTAAATGGTTCTGCGGCCACGGCGCTCCCCAGACCAGCCAGGACCAGGCCGCCCGCAGCGACGGCCCTGAGCAGCGCGGCCATCGCGGCGAGAGTTGCAGCTGGTGGCAGATGCCGGATGGTCCGACAGCGAAGGATGTGTTTATCGAGCAGAGATCACAGTATCACACAGAAAATGACGATACTTTGCGACAGGTCGGAGATGATCGTTTTGGAGAGGCGGTCTGCGTGTCGTGTGCGGCGAGGGCGAAGATGTTTTGGTTGGGGATGGACCTCGGAGCTTACGGTTGGGAGGGAGTGGTGACGTTTCGAGGGCACGAGGCACAGTAAAGTGTGGTGGCGGGCGAGATCGGGAAGGTACCTGAGCAGCTGATGCAGCAGGTGTGGGTTTCAACTGTCCCGTTCCTGGGGAAGGAAGGAGCTGCCCGTCATGGCGGGCGGGTACCCAAAGCTGTTTCTGCGTCATTATGCCGTATTTGGCAAGGACGATCCGCCGCCACATCATCACGCGGACAGCACAGACAAGTTTTGGCGCTGACTAAGGATTGATTGACAGGGGCTCGTTCCAGGACGGACGACTTCAACTCAGGTCTCGAAGCACAATCACACTGACAAATCGGCCCTTGACCTGCTCTATTATGCTGCTGGAAAATGACGGTACACTGAGGACCATATAGAGGAACAACACATATCCATCCATACAGTCTTTTATCGCAGACCTTTTCACCTTCCATGATAAGCGCTTCTTGAGTCATCTAAATGCAATCTTCGATGAAAAGGATTGCCACGGTGAGATGGCCGCTAAGGTCATGCTCCGCGCTCTGGCACACCATTTCGTTCGGCGGGAACAATGGAACGGACGTTTCTTCCTCCAGCTCGACGATCTTCATGCCAGCAATATCTTTGTCGATAACAACTGGAACGTAACCTGCTTTATAGACCTTAAGTGGTTATGTGCTCTACCTGTGGAAACCTTGTCCGTTCCGTACTAGGTAACAGGTTGTGCTATCGACGAGATAGGAAAAGACCGCTTTATCGAGTTTGATAAGATCCGAGAGGAATTTATGTGTATATTTGAGGAAGAGTGCAAGGTCGCAACCAAGTATGGTCTCTCACTGATATAGATTATGCATGAGACCTGAGGTTCGGGAGGCATGTGGTTCTGGCATAGCATCATGGCCACCAATGCAATGTATCCTCTTTTTACGTATCATATTTGTCCTAGATTTTCGGGTCCGGTGTTCAAGCAGGAAGAGTTCTTGTCCAAATTTTGGTCTGAAGATGCCGCAAAAGTCATTAAGATAAAGGTAGAAGAGTATTATATGTATAAGATGGAACTGAAGCAGATGTTTAGGAAGGAGCCTAGCTCTGCTAATTGAAACGCCAGACAATTAGATTGCCTGACCTAAACAATGCTAAGACCAATAGGGAGATAGAGCAGATACTGTATGATATGCACCCTAACATCATTGTAATGCCCTCTTCGATCAAATGCGACTGGACTCTCAGGTGTGCCCTTTGTTCTGCTCCTCCTCCTGTCGTGTCTCCTCCTCCCGCCGTCTCTCCTCCCTAGCTGTGTTTCCCAGCTGCGTTTCCCAGGGCCTACCCCACTTTTGAGCTGGTTTCGGAGGGTTTGGCGGGGTTTCTTAGCTGCCGTTCCTAGCTGGAACCCCTGCTAGGGCTTCCAGCTGGAACTCTACCTAAGGCTCCTAGCTGGACTTTAGCACTGTTTTCTAGGCTGCACCGTGGCCCGCTCGAACCCCAGGGCATGCTCGACCTGGCCTCCCCACTCGAGGACATTCTGCCGGACGGCCGGACCTGTGTTGGGATACCCTTGTTTGTGGCCATTGGCGTCCTCATCCGAAAGCGTCACCTACCGTCACGACCTCGAGTCCTTCCTCTATGTGGTCCTCTAGATGGCCACAACTAGCTGTAGTGACGGGCTGCTGGATGCCTGCTGGATGAAGCAGTAGATAGGAGACTGGGATTATGACCAGCTTGCTGTGTATAAGAAGTGTGATATGGAGCCTAGCCCTGTTTGAGACGTTCCTTGCTGACTTCGATATCGAGTTCTGTAGTGACTTCCAAGACCTTGTCTGTGTGCTGCGAGCCATCCTCTTCCTCATGCTTGCTGATGGCTCTGTGGACGTCGACACGCCGGCTCGACTGTCTTTCAAAGGCCGAGCCTGCAATTTTTCTCAGTAAGAAAACGTTGAATCTAGTAGCCCGTCCTTCCGTTCTAAGATCAGAACAGTTTTGACTTGACATGTCGCCCCGGAGCAGCCAGGTCGCCAGACTCGGTGCGGTAGGACGTAGGCAGGAGCCGGCATAGCCAGCCGTCGGGACTCGACGCATCGGTGGGTTCATCAGGTATGGTATGCAGGATCTGCACTGAGAAGAGGGAAGTCTTCTAGCCGCCTGTTAGTCCGACTCGCCGTTAGGGACCAGAAGACTTGGCCAGTATCGAACTCGAACGCACCTCCATGACGCGTGCCTGTATCTTGTTGTCGAAGTCTGCCTGGAAGAGGAAAAGACAGGTAGCACGCCATGCAATTTATGAAGGTACAAAAGGAACATCTACTAGCTGCCTAGAAATATGGTGCAATCTTGATCGAGTGGCTATAACCAAAACTGTTGCCATCTTTAGTAATCGAATCCTGTGAAGAGGCAGCCATTAAATAGTGGGACATACTGTTAAGTACTTATATTTTCTTCACCCTTATTTACGCCGCCTTCGGGCAGAATGGTTCAGTGGGATTAAAAACGTTACCAACCGCAAGGTTGTGTGTTCGAGACATATGTGGTACAGAAGCACCTTTTTTTTTGTTCCATTCATTTCACTCCTATCTCCTCCTCATTGTTAGGGCAGTGCACTATGGCCTGTACGCAATGTGGCTTGTGCGCAACCACACAAAGCGTGCCTACACGCAACTGTAGATCTTCCTCTTTCCTTTTTTTTTCTTCATCTTCTTTTCTCAAATATAGCGATCATTCGCAGCATGCCTCGAACCCTGTGATCCTGTGCCATGACACTCATTGGACAACTCTTTCTAGCCTGACGACATCTCACCGCACTTTCAAACTGTTATTTTCTTGCTGTGGCATCAACATAAAACACGACAGATGACCATTTTCAATTGATTGTCATCATTACCATCATTATTAGTATCGACTGCTTTAACCCAACAGCCATCATCAAACTACTCGTAGCAATCTCGTAGCATTCAGTTATCAACCTAGAGGGTAATGAACCCGGCAAAATGTAGGCAGTTTGGTTAGTGCGGTTACCGCGATCACATTAGTGTCGTGCTCCGAGATGTTCCTAAAGCCCTGTCTCACCAGAAGGGCGCGCTCTTTTTTACCTGGGTGCTTTATAGGTACTTACCTTCCTATCTCAATCAGGAAAGTAGGAACTTCTACGTAGCGATCTAGGCAATGGCCTGCAGTAAAGCATGACTTCCCTGTCTGATAACACATGGCAGGGTAAGGGCGGAACTGATTGTCTATTCCTCTCCAGATGTCTAATATGTTCTTGTCAGGCTCTCTCACCATCGTGTATTAATGACGTATTCCTATGGCAAGAAGAAAGGTTGTTGCTTAGGATCGTTCTATTTACTTTACATAACTGCTACGGCAATCCGTCTGCAAAGAGCAAGAGGCGTAGGGACCGTGATAGCGGCTCTTGAAGCTTCCATGCAGAAAGGTCTTGAAGATTGTTCGCCATTGCTCACTGTCCATCACCCAAAACATTTTCTGTTTGCCCCGTTTGCCCCCAGGTGTCCAGGCTTTTCTGTGCCACAGATTTGTGCTTGTCAAGCCCCTGTCATGTTTGTGCCGTCTTGCAGCTTCCTCTTGAAGTGTATGGAGTCCCGGACGACGTATCCTGGTGATGTATCCAGAGGATCATCTACCAGAAGTGGAAAGAAGACCGAGGGCCTTGTTCTTTGCCTCCTTCTCAGCCCAGAGAAATACATAGCAAGAGATATAGGAAGGCTCTTTCAAATGATGCTTGTGTTTGCATTTGGAAAAACCTTGCTCCTAAGCTCAAGAGAATCGAGTAAGAACTCTAGGTGATATCCCACTCTATATATATCCTCCATTATCCTCTGTCTCTTCCATCCTCCTCTGTCTCTTCCATCCTCTTCTGCCAGGCTTCTCTTCTATCCTCCTCTGCCAGGCTTCTCTTCCATCCTCCTTTGTCTCTTCTATCCTCCTCTGTCTCTTCTATTCTCCTCTGTCTCTTCCATCCTCCTCTGCCAGGCTTCTCTTCTATTCTCCTTTGTCTCTTCTATCCTCCTCTGCCAGGCTTCTCTTCTATCGTCTCTTTCCACCCCTTTTGTCTTTTTGTTGACAAGGGTGGCCTGAAACGAATCGTGGTATCACACCTTTCCATGTACTAGAGTCACCTATCCCTTGCTGCTCGCAACGAATCGGTTGAGCTATTGTCATCCCATCAGTCTTGAAGTGATGGCGCTATCTATGACGGCTTAAAGCACGCTGGCCTTTACGAGCAACTCAGAAGGTGGGGACCTCTCAATGATCGCACTTGGACGTTGTTGAGCAAGCTAATCTTCTGAGCCCGGGAACTCTGCTTCTTGTTCTCGGGCAATGACGATCCATATATGTCATCCTTCTTAAGTCTCTGGGCTGGAGGGAGGTCGGGTACTTTCTTTGCCTTCGGGATTATGCCTTGGAACCGCACCTCACTTAGTCATCTGGCTAACCAAAAGGTAAACCCACTAGGAACACGAGCTACGTCCGCGCGATAAGTCGACTGCGATCTGTTTGAGTGCTTGCATTCTTGGGTATGGGCTTTGCCCTGATGGATCAAGATGGGTTGAGTTGTTGTGATTAGTGCTGGGAAAAGACAGGTCGATAAAGTGGGCTAGGTAATATTGCTGGAAGGTGTGATAAAAGTTTGAGGTGACAGAACTTGGTGGACTGTAGAGAGTAATGACGAGATTTTATTTACAAGGACTGAAGCAGAAGAGTCTCCCTTTAATATGAAGTAGAAGTGTATGCACTTAGAACCGAATTAACTGGACAAACGTGATTGGAACATCAGGTGTCTGTCTTCTGAGTCGCTCACATGGATCGCTTTTGTGTCTGCGAAACGACCGAAAGTAGAGGGATGATTGTTATGGGCAAAATATCTAGACTATCTCTCCATCGCGCAACATAATTTCCACAATGCAGCAAACGGTTTCTCTTGCACCATGAGTATGATACCTCACATGGGGATAACCAAAGAATGATAGTGAAACAGTCAATAGGTTCAAGAGACCGTCCGGTTTTAATATGCCAGAGATGCTTGATCTACCTATCGAAAAGAAGGACATGACACCAACTCGAAAGTATGCATTGAAACTTGAAGATTTGTTCCGTAGAATAGATCCTAATCAAAATGCTAACAAAAACAAGCAAACCAGCTGCTCTCTATAGGACATCGTCATCTCCGCTGAGAATACACGGACAAATACACTAACCAATACACGAGCTCTCCATGCAAAATTCACCAATGAAACAGACCCATTTCCGCGTATCTCTAAACCCAACCTCTAAGCCTTCCAGTGCTCAACACGCGCAAAGTCCTTCTGCAGCTCGTCCCGCCTGCCCAGCAGCCCAGCAGCCTCATCGGCGCCGTCGTCGAGCACCAGCTCCCGCCGCCCGACGTGGAAGCAGCCCTTGTCGACGGCGCCCTCCTCGCACAGCGGCCACACCTCGCGCGTGCACATGTCGCAGTACCGCCTCTCGACCGTGGACACGAAGTCGGCGCCCCAGGAGTTCTTGCTGCCGCAGACCTCGGTCGCGCTGTGCTCGCCGTGCTCGCTGATGGTGAGGCTGTTGACGCACGGGTCCTTCCTGGCGCGCAGGGCCCGCCTCGTCTTGAGCCGCGACTCGCGGCGCCTCTTGACATCTGCGTCGGCGTCGTCGCTGCTCCGCTTCTCGTTGGGGTCGCCCAGCAGCGTCGGCTCCGGCGTGGGCCCGACCGGCTGCGCGGACATGGTGGACAGCAGGCCGCCCCTGAGCGACGTCGTGGTCGAGGTCGGGATGGGGATGAAGCCCGCCACCCCGCCAAAGGACCCCGCGCCGATCTTCGTCGTCGGGTCGTCGATAGGGATCGAGCCCGAGACCCCGCCAAACGAGCCCGCGCCGTTGGGGATGGGCGCGGGGATGGCAGACGCGACGCCGCCGAACGCGCCGTCTCCGGCGGGCGGCGGAGGCCGCAGGTCGACGTCGATCCAGGGCTTGCCCGGGTCGCAGCCCTCCTTGAGGGTGTGCCCGCCCATGATCTCGAGCGGGTTCTGGTCCTCGCCCTCGGGGCTGCGCGCCGGGATGCGGTTGTAGTAGGGCAGGCAGTCCGTCTTGGCGTTGAGCGTCTTCCAGAACAGCATGCGGCCGGGCGCCTTGCAGATGAGGTCGTTGTTGGCGGTCCACTGGCGGCCCGCCGCGGCGGCCCTGTCGGCCGACTGCCCGGAGAAGTCGGTCAGCTTGAGCGTGAGGCCCCGCGGCATGCTGGCGTCGTGGTTGCCGATCCAGACGCAGGCCGGCCGGAAGGAGTCGCTGTCCCCCGGGTACCGCAGCTGGCTGGGGTACCACTTCATGCCGCACTGCTTGCCGTACTCGCCGTTCCAGGTGAGGAAGTCTGCGCCGCGGGCCGACGTGACCTGCAGGTAGGCGATGCACAGCGGGTCGTCCGAGTCTTCGTTCATGTACCCGAGCTTGATGTACTCGGGGGTGCCCGTCGTGCTGATCTCGATGTCGCGGACCTGGCCGTCTCCGACGTGGTCGTTGGAGGTCTCGGCGCCACTGACAAGGGCGTTGTTGCTATATTTTCTGCCGAGGAGCCCGCCTCGGACGTCGTAGAGCTCAAAGTTGGGCATGTCACCCCCTGTGCTAGTTCCGTCAATCTCCGGATGGAAGCTGAGACTCCCGGCCGCGATTCTGACAGAAGCAGTCATTGGCTGGGGTGAAGGGAAGAGACTGAGGATCAATGGGATCGAGAAGACCGCATTGATCAGGATGGCTGAAGCGACTTGAGCCATGGCGTGCTGCTATAGAAAGAAATACAATCATACAAATGCTTAATGAACTCCGTGTAGAGTGATAGGAAAGTGCTCGAGAGGTTGATGATGTGGTAATGATAGTTCAATGGAATGGGCATGATGGTGTTCGGACACATGATATTTATCTACCAAGTCATAAGCCTCTTGGTATCTCGTTGCTAGTGTAGGAGAATATCAGTTCACTCGAGATGGTGTCTTTCAAGATTTAATTTCTCATCTTTGTGCGGCGTAATCCATCCGAAACCATCCTTGCAACACTGCCATCATCATGATGATGGAAATAGGAGTAAGCAGATACGAGCCATGGAAGATGAAGATCATGGACCATAGCGTTGTCCAGTCCTATCAAGACATAAAAATCGTTTGATTAAAGATCTCCAACAATAGTCGTGGAGTTCCCACGTTTCAACGCCCGGCTCAGCCGCCGTAAGCTTGTACGACAATCTCATTCAACTGAACCTTGGGTTGAACGGTTCAAGTCCTCATTGGACACTGAAACGCACCCAGAGACTTCTGTGCCACCTCCCCACACCCCGTCCCATTGGGCGGCTACGCGCCACATATTTTTGGGGCTCTCTGGGAATAGCCGGTGCTGACTGCAGGTACGCAAGCGTCATCTGTCATCTAGAACTATTCTACCGGATCTGGTCAGACCCGAACGACTCACACCTGGCAGTGTGTGTGGGGGAGTACGAGTCAGCCTACAAGGGTTCACTGTAGACACAAACCAAGGTTTCCCACTTAGTCTTCGAACAACTTCTTAGTCAAGTAGTTTTAAGGATCATGGTGGAGGAACATTTGTCTCTTGTATATTGGTGGTATTGTTGACATTTGAGTTTCCTCGCTGCATCTACTCTGTGTATTTTTTGGTAGCCAGATATCTCACTACGATCAAGTATTCATGTCTTGTGCGCCTTGTCAGAGTTGAACGTTCCATTGCTCTATACTACCACCAATACCACCTAAGAAGTAACAAGAGGAAGAACAGGACAGTTAGTATCTGCCAACCCAGTTCCACGTATCTGCCTCAAGCAACACCCCACGCGCAGTACATTGGTACTTCTCCTTCATGATGGGCAAGGGTGTATCCTTGGCGCCGAGCTTCAGCATGTGCTCGACCACCCAAGCTCCAACGCGGTCTTTGGCCATGTTGATCGCGAGCCAGGGAGGCCCGTCGTAAGGGTCGTTGAGCGAGACTCCAGCCTCGACCAGCATGGTCATTATCGCCAGTTGCCGGGCCCCTATCGCCTTGACAAGTGCTATCATGCCGGGGTGGTGTCCCATGCCCTCCCTTTGCAGCATGTCTGGAAAGCGGTCGAGCAAGAGCTTGACTACTCGCAGTTGACCTCCGTCTATGGCGCACCATAGCGCAGTGCTGCGATCAGCTCCGTGGTCGAGTAAGAGCTCCACTACTTCTTCCTGTCCACAGTGTGCAGCTCCTGCGATGGGGTAGCACTCCATTTTGTTGACAAGCACCGCCTCGATGCCCGCGCCTCGCTCTATGAGATAGCGGACCATGCTGATGTTTCCCAGAGATGAAGCCAAGTGAAGTGTACCGTGAAAGCGGCGGATGTCAGGGTCGGGAAGGGCGTTGATATCAACGCCATTGTCCAGGAGCATATCGATCACCTCGGCATGGCCACGACGAACGGCGGCATACATCATCTCCTTCCCAAGGTGACGAATCTCGGACAGCTTGTCACCGCTTGCTTCCAGGAGAAGTCGAATGAGATGAAGACTGCCCGTGCGTGCACCAGCCAAGATTGCGCGTAGATACTCTGTCTTTTCTGATGGAGGTAGCATGAATCCGGGCTGCAGCAACAGCCGAACAATGTCTTCGAAGCCTCCGAGGACAGCGGCATGCAGTGCACTTGCCGGTGGTTCAGCGTGCCCAGACAGATTAATGCCAGCCAAGTCCGACTCCGGGTTCCAGGGTCCATAACCGCGACTAGCGGTCTGCTCGCCTTCGTAGCAGCAGAAGAGCAGGTCTGGACGAGCACCCCTATCCAGGAGATATTGCACGATATCAAGGTGACCCCAAGCGGCTGCGAGGATCAGCGGCCTTCCCAAATATGGCGAGGCGCCGTTGACTTCCGCAAGGGTGGAGGGTGCTGGCGAAGCTGGAGAGAGCATCGATTTGACAATGTCCAGTCTACCGATGACGATGGCACCGCTCAACCGGTTTTGAGCTTTGAGCTTCTCATTGAGCTGGTCGTCGGGACGGATCTTCGCAGCCCATAGGGAGCGTGCGCACGCTTGGCTCACAGCCTTTGCAACGGCTTCGTGCTGAGATTGCCGGATCTGCTTGTGGGCCTCTTCGGTCAGGGCGTCCAGGGTCTGGTTGATGTCTGCAATGACCGAGAATTGGCTGCTCTTGGAAGGGTCTGCATCGATAGATCTGAACAAAGCGATGCGGCCTCTGAGTGTAGCATCCATTGAACGCCACAGGTCTGGCGTTCTCGGATCATGAGGGTCGATGGGTTGACCGACGGAGATGGCGCGAACGATGGCGGCATCGAAGGACCGACTGACAGCCCTTAGAAGGGCCGCTTTGTAAAGCCCGATCTCGACGATGATGTTCTGCAGAATTATGGCCAATATTTCGCTGGGTAAGGCTCCGAAGTCGAACATCTTGGCACGACCTCTTGGTGATCGATTTGCGTCTGAGCATCAAGTTGGGTCTGAGTATCGAGTGGCGATCCGCTGGCAAGCTTCAAAGCTAGGTACGAAGCGCAAGCGCTGGAAGAAGAAGCAGAAGACGTCCAAGAATAGCCGCTTTGATTAAAAAAGAGAAGAGTGAAGGTATTTTTGGAGGAGCGGGAGGGGTTGATGAGAGCACAAGGATCGGAGTGGAGGGTCGCACAAAGTGGTGGTGGTGTGGGGGGACAGCGAAGTCAGCATCTAAAGATGCAGTGTCACCACCAGATGACCAGCCCTCCAGCTCAGCTCGTCACTCCAGGCTGTCGCTGTCAGCATTCTGTTTACGCCGCCGGGTCCTGACCCTTCCGGATGTGTTCCTGCATATACGGTGTTTCTGGTAAAATCGACATGGAGCTCTGTTTCGAAGCTTTAGATACCTTATGTTTCATCTCCCGCAATAGCCAATGCGATGATCTTCTGCGCGTATCTTAAGCGCCGAACACTGCGGCGCAGAGCACCCATGGCGGCGGGTTATGTTATTTGGGAAGCTGACAAGGCCCTTTGTGAGGCCGTGGTGGCAATTATACGCAAGCTTGTATCAGTATCATAGCCTCACAGAAGATCCAAATGTGGTGTTTGTGGAAATGAGGACCAACTTCCAAGATGGTCTCTATGCAAACACCCTGCTCTATGGAGTTGATGCCGTGGTATAAAGGAAAGAGAATCATCAACATCCAAGGCAAGATGAACTGGCTCAGCAACTCAACTAAAAACCACAGAAACTCTTTTACTTGTCTACTTATACCAAAGTCTTTGCTATCCCACTGTCTCCTTCAAGATGAGGGCTTCCCTAGCAACAAGCCTTCTCGCCGTCGCGTTCCTGGGCAACCTCTCTGGGGTAGTCCAGGGACTGCCCGTCGCCCAGACCGGCGAGGTCGCCGTACGAGGAGTCACTCAGGACAGTGCCTTAATTCTCGAGAGGTCCGACGAGGATCATGGGATCGAGGCCGTCCCTCGTGACGACAATGGCTTCATCAACCATCACTTCAAGGGCCTCCTCGCACGCGTCATCCCTCCAAAGCCACCACCGCCACCACCGCTACCCAAGATGCCCATCACGAGACCAAACGAGGGCGGTGCGGGAGCCGGCGCAGGTGCCGGCGCCGGCGGATCGCGGACAGGCGGCGTGCCGATCAACCGCCCGCCGGCCCGCGAGCCGACGCCTCCGCGCCCGGACCTCCCCGAGGGCCAGCCGGGCGTCAACCGCAACGGGGACGAGAACCCCGGCTCGGGCTCGGGCACGGGCAACCCGCCGCAGGACATGGAGACGTACCGCGCCGCGGGAGCCGCGCAGATGACCAGCTACGAGGCCGTCCTGCGCAGCGGCAAGAAGGACACGCCCATCGTCCAGACCGAGGCGGAGCTCGCGGGCGTGGCCAAGAACGACGCCTTCCTGGACATCCACGCCAACGACCAGTACAGGCTCGAGGCGCGGGGCGTCACCGCCAGCGACGTCAAGGAGCTCAAGGTCTTCACCTCGGGCGAGCTCGGCTTCGACCCCAAGGTGCCGCCGCAGCTCATGAGCGAGATCCGCGTCAGCAACAGCAGGGGCGAGCTGGTCAACCGCGGCACGTACGACAAGGAGGGCCGGTTCATCGTCTACCAGGACGCCTTCAAGGAGGCCGACACGGCGACGGGCGCCAAGAAGACGCCGCTCAACGAGGTCGGCATGCAGCTGTTCCTGGCCGAGGCGGGCGACAAGGCCAAGAACTTCCGCGCCGCCTTCCTGTCCAACGTGCAGAACCAGGAGTTCTGGGCCATGGTCAAGCAGGCCTACACCGACCTGGGCCAGGAGTTCAAGCAGGTCCTGACCTTTGAGAGAGGGACGCCCCAGTTCGAGCGCTTCATGGGCAGCCCCAACTTCTTCAGCAAGTTCTTCTCCTTTTCCAACCACCGCGAGGCCATCGGCAACAAGGTCCCGGACAAGGTCATTGTGGCACCCAAGCAGGTGGAGGGCAACACTAGCGGCGGCCTCGCCGTGGCTATCGTCTTCAAGGATCTGGACGCTTAGGTAGTGTTTTCAGGTGCCTTCTCGGAGCAACACGTGTGTATAGATCAGATGTACGGGATACTCAATCTGGGCGGTAGAGGAGGGAATTTGTTTGTGCTTGGAGGCTGTGTAAGATATACAAGAAGTTAGCATATTGCTGGTCAATAGAATGCTTTGTGCTTTTCTCATTTATTGTTGGCTCGAGTGCTTGGTATCGCAATGCCATCAAAGCCCATCATGTATTGAGACCCGGTGATTCACAGGAGAAGTATGGGTAATAAACGTCCCAGTGCGGTGAGTTCCTTGGCTATCTTGTCACTTGGATAGCTACACCACAAGGAAATACTGCAAAGCCGAGGCTGTGAAGCACAGACAGAGGTGTTACAGCGGCCAACCTACAATTCACAACCAGGCACTTGTTCACGACCTACGGCCAGGTATTTAATGTCCCGCAGGCCTCAAAAATCAGAAAGATACATGGACTTTCCAAACTTCAACAATCTCCAAGAAAACTTCAACAATCTCACTCGACTCTATCAAACCATTTTCAAGATCTCACATTGAACCCCAACTTGGGCTGTTCTTGCCCGTAACCAGACACCAGCTTCTCACACCGGTCCGACAGATCCCATCACGATGTGCTACTTCCTAGTCACAAAGTTCAGCGGCTGCCACCACCGGATCTGGATTCCTGTGAGGTGCCCGGCCGCCAGGGCCTCGACCGTGAATTGCCTGAACTGGGACACGATGGTCCGGACCGAGGATGGAGTGTGCGCGAAGTGCGCGGCACCGAGGAGACGTCATTCATGATTCCATCGCCGTAGGCAGTGCCGAACAAGATGATATTGGGAAGCAAGGAGCAGTCACCAATTTTGGAATGATAATTTTTTGCGGCTTTTCACAAGTGAGAATAGCGAATGGCTTGACCGAATAAATGCAATTTCTCTGCTCTTAATCTTCTTTGGATCCCTACACGAGATGTCTCTGTGTATCGCTTGAAAATGTCCACTCCTTATGATGAGAGGATCTCCTGGCCGTCACTCCTGGCATATGCTATCGCAAACAAATGAAAAACACATTCAAGCAAGGCACTGTACTCAGCACTCGCCAAGATCCTCTGTACCGTTCATTCATCAAGTCATGCAAACCCAACACCCCAAGGTGTCATACCCATCCGTCCATCCATCCATCCATCCACACTCCTCCCTCCCACCCACCCAGCGCAGACAAAAACACCCTCCGGCCCCTTTCAGCCCTTCTTGCGTCCCGTGACGATAAACTGCCCCGTCTCGACGGCGTTCTTCCAGCCGTACCGGTCCAGCGCGGCGCCGACCTCGCTGCGCATGCGCGACACGCCGCCGGCGGAGTGGTAGCCGGTGCCCGTGATGATGGTGAGGTGCTGGCGGCGCGCGAGGCGGGCGCGGTCCTCGCCGAACGAGTCCCACCAGGCCTGGGCGGCGCGCAGCGCGATGCGCACGCCGTCCTGCACGGGCGCGCCGTGCAGGTCGACGACGTCGAGCGAGCTCTGGCTCTCGACGAGCGCCTCCCAGTGCGCGCGGTCCTGGCGCCGCGCCGCCCGCGCGTTCTCGTGCCCGCGCTCCGCGAGGATGCCCGCGTAGGGCCTCAGGAGCGGGTCCGAGCGGCCGCGGCGGGTGGCGAGGCCGGCGGCCTCGTAGGCGCTGTGGGCTTGCTCCCGGTGGGAGGGGGCGGCCCGGGAGGAGGGAGGCTGTGGGAAGGTTGGCGACAGAGGCGAGAATGGGTTTGTATGAGGCTGTGGCTTGGGTTTCTTGGTCGCGACGACATTCCAGCCGGCTGGGTCGATGGGCGGCTTGGTCGAGGGTACGGGGCCCTTGGGATCTGGACCGCGTGAGGTGAGGAGCCTGGCTCCGCGGCCGGGGGTGACAGCGGTGGTGTTGGGCTCAGCTTCGATGCTCTCAAGCTTGGGCGGCGCGAGGTCGTAGCCCAAGTCTACGCGTTTCTGAATGGCCTTGGGGACTTTTTTGTTTGCCCTCTTCTTCTTCTTGCTCAGCACCTCCTCATCGCTAATGAAGAAGGCGTCCACGCCCTTGGGGCGCTCTCCGATATCCTCTAGGTACTGGATGTTGAGCAGTTCATCGTAAGCCTTGTTCAGGTCTCCAGCGGCCTTTTTGAGTGAGTACGAGACGTCGAACTCGGAGAGGTTGGGGAAGCAGAGGCGCAGCTCTGCGGTCTTGTCCTCATGGGTCCAGGTCTTGGTGTCCAGAGTCTGATAGACGTCGTCACGGGAGTCGGACCTCTCTGAGGCGACATCAAGGAGGCTTGTGCGCTCCGAGTCGGAGGTGCGCGCCTTGGAGCTGTCTGTCACTGTGTGGACGGTGTCTGAATCCAGGTTGAGGGCGTCGAGAGCCGCGGCCGGGCTCTCGTAGGGCAGGCCGCTGGAGTTGAAGCCGGACGCTTCCTCGGCGACGACGTTCTCTGCGATGAGCAGGAGGGACTGCCGGGCCTCGGTGAAGGAGGCCTGCAAGTCATAGTCGCTGGCTATGGTGAGGATGAGGGGCTCATCGATGCGCGAGCGGAACTCGTCGAGGAGCTTGGTGGTGAGAGTGTCGGCATCATGGCCATCGCCATCGCTTCCTTTGACTCTGCCAGCCATCACTGCCGCGCGCACAGATGAGAGTCGGCTCGAAATGGTGGAGCAGATACGGCCGAGGGGGTTGAGGGGATTCAGGAATAGCGGTACACGGAATATGAAGCAGAAGCTGGAGTGATCGAGATCATTGCTGGGTTCCGAGATCAATCTGAAGACGAGCTGAGAAAAGCGCAGATCTGAGATGACCAGAGAGCGCTGGGCGGATGACGATGCGTTAGCTTATCTCTGCGCTAACAGAAGAAGCTATTGGAGGTGGCCCATTGCTGTTAGTGGAAGTGGTCTTAGCGGCTGGCTGCATCATCGAAATGCAAGGTGAGCGAGGCCCTTGGGTGACGCAGTGCGAGATGATGGATATATATAATAGTGCTCTTAGAGATCAATCAATAGAGATGTGATCAGAATGCGGGAATGAGATGGGGAGTATTCTGTTGAGGAATGCCGCAGTTTTCTATTGTTTGATCCAGTGTTCAATAGAATGACAGTCGATGCAGTCGATGCAGTTGATGTGGTCGGTGACTCGACGACACCCTCAGATTTCATGATGACTGTACAGAGGTACTTTGCCTTGCTCCGTACTTGTAGATCTCTGTCAGCATGGATGGCATCTGCCGTTTGACAGGTGGCAAACAGGGAACACTTGCACCAGCCCAGATCTTGTTCCTGGATCCATGGATCCGCGACTAGAATAATACAAGTAGACTGCACCAACAGAGCAATTCCTCGGCACGAGCCCCCTGTGGACCCCCTCTGGCACATGCTAAAACAAAGCGCTGGGTCCCTGGGCCGGCCCCCCAAGACAAGGCGACGTCAGCCCACTAACCTGCTCAAGGTTGAAACGAGCTGTGGCATCTTGCAGAGGCCAGGTTTTAGGTAATTATTCCATAGACCCATGCATGTCTGGCTTGAAGCAGCAAAGGTGACAGATTCCCTCGCGGATTGGCCGCGCGTTCATTGGCGAGACATCACGCTCACAGGAGAAGGAGAGTCATCGGCGGCGGTGATCCTTTCAGGTACCTAGGTAGGTAGTTAGGTACCTGCATGCGACATCAAAAGCCATGGATCAGAGCTCGGGACCCGCGGATGCAGCAACAGTACAAGTACTCCCTACCTAGGTAGTTAGGCACCTAAACTACTTGTAGAGCTCAGGACTCCATTAAATAAGGTCCATGGCCAGGCCAGGCTTGTCCCCAGCCTTTCAACAGAAAACACGAAACCAAACTCGTAATAGAGTAGACAGATAACGTGTTCTTCCTGCGGCGGTCCATCCATCGACATTCATTTATTTGTTCCTGTGCCCTCGCTCTGCATATTCTTCTTTGCTGGGTACCTTGCACATTGATTACTGGTTCTAGAACCCGGCATACCCGCTCAAAGCATCATCATCATCTTCAACCTCCTCCATCATGGGCTCACTCGGCCCGCCCAAGAGGCGATTCTTCAACTACCCTCGACCTCTGAAAGCGTCAGTCCCGACCTATTTCATATTCCTATTCCTATTCCTATTCTATACACACATTACAGTATGAACTGACACGCCAACAGCCCGGATGTCGCTCATGTAAACAAGCGCAACCCCAACCCGCCCCTGCGCGGCTTCATTCTCGTCGCAGCAGTATGGATGTATGTCGTTGCTCTGCATGCTGCTTATGCGAAAAGAAACAGCTCACTGACACGTTCATCAGCATGGACTGGATCCGCCCCGTCAGAGAAATCATCTGGCGCAATGCAGGCTTCGGCGACCTGCGCAGCCTCTGGGAGTATCTCCAGGACTACGAGCCGCTCTATGATCCCACAGTAGTGCCCCTCGACAACGGCGAGGAGACGGACGGCGGCGCCAGCGACGCTGCTCCTCCCACCACTCTGGCCAAGCGCACGTTCAAGTTCCCAGAGGCAAACAGGTACTACTCGGTCGAGGACTACCACGAGCTCTTCCTCTCGGGCGAGCTCACCCCGACCGACGTGGCCAACGCCCTGCTGCCCCTGATCCGGCGGGACACCAGCCCCAAGGGCGAGCACTCGATCGCCTGGTTCGACACCAAGGTCGACCTCGTCCTCCGCGCCGCCGACGAGTCCACCGCCCGCTACAAGGCGGGCCGCCCCCTCGGCCTGCTCGACGGCGTGCCCACGGCCGTCAAGGACGAGTACGACATGGACGGCTACGTGACCACCCTGGGCTCCAAGAACGACTACACGGGCACCGCCGTCGAGGACGACTCGATCGCCTCGTGGTGCGTGCGCCGCCTCGAGGCCGAGGGCTGCGTCATCCTCGGCAAGCTGTCCATGGTCGAGTTCGGCCTCGACACCCCCGGCAACAACCCCAACCTCGGCACGCCGCCCAACCCGTACAACCCGGCCTACTACACGGGCGGCAGCTCCTCCGGCTCGGCCTACGCCGTCGCCGCGGGCCTGATCCCCATCGCGCTCGGCTCCGACGGCGGCGGCAGCATCCGCATCCCCTCCTCCTTCTGCTCCGTCTTCGGCCTGAAGCCCTCCCACGCCCGCATCTCCTTCGACCCGGGCCACAACCACTCCTACACCTGCTGCTCCCTGGGGCCCATCGCCGCCGACGTCCGCTCCCTCGCCATCGTCTACTCGGCCATCGCCCAGCCCCACCCGTCCTCCCAGTGGTCCCCGGAGCTGCCCGCCCCGCGCCTCCTCCTCCAGCCCTCCGCCGCCGCGCACACAAAGACCCTCGGCATCCCCGAGGCCTGGTTCGCCCGCGCCGCCCCGGCCGTCCAGCAGCTCACGCGCTCCCTCCTCGCCGACCTCGTCCAGCGGCGCGGGTACCGCCCCGTGCCCATCTCGATCCCCTTCGCGCACGAGGGCCAGATGGCCCACGCGGCCACGATCCTCACCGACGCGGCCACGGCCCTGGCGCCGCAGATCTGCGGCGGGCTCACGCCGACGACGAGGATCCTGCTCGCGCTGGGCCGCACGACGCCCGCGACCGACTTCCTGCTGGCGCAGAAGCTGCGCCGGCTGCTGGCGCAGCACCTCGCGGCCCTCTGGGCCGAGAACCCGGGCATGCTGATCGCCACGCCCGTGACGGCCTGCGCCGGCTGGCCGCTGCGCGGCGGCAGGGCCGAGCTGCGGTACGGCGTCAGCGACGGGGACCGCACGCTGCGGTCCATGGAGTACGTCTGGCTGGCCAACTTTTGCGGCCTGCCGGCCCTGTCCGTGCCGGCGGGCTACGTGGTGCCCGGGGACGGGGAGGACGAGGTCGCGGGGCCCGACACCGAGGGCAAGGTCCCCGTCGGGCTCATGGTGGCGGGCGAGTGGGGCGCCGAGCGGTCGCTGCTGCAGTTCGGGCTGGATGCCGAGGAGGTCGGCGCCGAGAGGAGGTGTCGGCCGCCGATCTGGGTTGACGTCGTGGAGCGGGCCAGGAAGGGCGGTGCCTGAGCGGAGAAAATCTGGGCCGAGTATGTTTTGTGTGAAAGGGGGTAAATAGAGTCATTAATAGGATCAAGTAGGTAGATAGGAACGAAAGAGAAAAGAGAACATGGTGCTCAGAATCATTCATTCCATCAAATTGCTGAAAGCTCACTTTTTTTTTCTTTTTCCAACCCCTAACTGACAACAATACCATGCTTCCCACCCTTCATCGGCAAAACCACACTCTGCCCTTTCCTCTCCCACCTCCCGCAGACAACCTTCCCATCGACCTCGACCCTAGGCTTCCTCCCCTCCGCAACAACAGGCAGGACAACCACCCCTTCCGTGCCCGCCGGCGTCTCAACGACAGCCTCATACCCCCCTTTCCTCCCAGCACTACCACCACCACCACTACTCCGGACCCAACTCGCCCGGAACCTGCCCAGCCCCGTGACGAACCCCCCCTCGGCCCTCCCCAGGTCCCCAAACAGCGGCGCGAACCTCCACCGGCTCCCAGCCACGCCCGTGACGCTGAGCCCGAGCACGAACTCGGTGAGCGCGCTCGTCGGCCCGCTGGACCACCCGTGCGCGTGGCTCACGTACGACGGGTCCCCGCCGTAGCCCCGGTCCCGGCGGTACCCGAACGTGCCGTCGACGCGGTACCCCTCGACGACGGTGCTCTGCGTCCCGTTCCGGTGCCGCAGGTACCACCCCCAGCTGCGCCGCACCAGCTCGAGCGCCCTGTCCGCCCGGGCCGCCGCGAGGTGCGCCTGGACCTCGAACGAGGATACGAAGGGGGAGACGTTGCCCGGCAGCTCGGGCGGCTCGGCGCCGAGCGGGGTCCAGTTGCGCGTCAGCCGCTCGGATATCGCCCGCGCGGCGGCGGAGGAGGCGTCGACGACGCCGAAGAGCAGGGCCATCGAGTTGGCGTCCTGCGGGTGCAGCGCCGTGTCCGTGGCGTTGTCCTTGAAGGCGCCGTAGGCGGCGTCGAAGCAGTACTCCAGGGTGGCGTTCCGCAGGGCCGACGCGCGCCGCCGCCACGACTCGGCCAGGGTATCTGCGTCGCCGGCGCCGCTCCAGCGCGCGAGGTCGGCGCCCGTCGTCAGGGCGCGGTACAGGATGACCTGCGCCTCGGTCATGTTGAACCCCGTCTGCCAGCGGGCCCAGTCGCGCGTGCCGCTGGCGTCGAGCAGGCCCGAGGGGTACGTCTGCTTGGCCGTGATGAAGGCCATGGCGCGGAGGTAGCCCGCCCAGTTGCGGCCGAGAAAGGCCGTGTCGTTGGTGTAGAGGACGTAGTTGTAGGTGCCGACCATGGTCCACATGTGGTACGTGTCGCTGTGCTGCTGGAGCAAGGGCGGGCCCGCCTCGGGGAAGGAGCCGTCGGCGTTCTGGTGGTCGTACACGGCCTGCAGGGCGTTGCGGATGGACTCGAGGTCGCCCGTGCTGACGAAGGCCGATGGCACGGCGATGCCCATGTCTCCCGGCCAGACGGCGCGGTCGCGCTTGGCGCCGTCGACGATGACGGTGTTGCCGCTGCCGATGGTGCCGTTGTTGGCCCACCCGGTGCGCAGGAAGGGCGAGTGCCGGCCCGCGTTGGTCGGCACGGCGTTGGTCTGCAGGGTGTAGGCGCCGGCGTACCAGATCTTGTTGAGCAGGTCGTCGTCGCAGTGGAAGTAGCCCTGGTAGGCGCGGAGGTTGGGCCACGTGGGCTGGAAGCCGATCTCCAGGGACACGTCCTCGATGGCGACTGTAGCGGCCGGCGATATGAGAAAGAGCGTCATGTAGCGGAACCCGCCGCGCAGCTTCTCGTCCGGCATGACGTAGACGACGTCGCCGCTGGTGGTGAAATGAGAGTAGATGGCGCCGTCGGGGCCCTTTTGCGAGCCGTTGGAGTCGTCGGACCACTCGCCGATCCAGTTCTTGGCTTCGGTGAACGCCAAGCCCACCGCGCCGCCGCCGCCGGCTTCCCCGGACACCGTGTACTTGACGGTCACGATGCCGCCGACTTCGAGACCAAAGTCAAACACGAGGCTGGAGCCGTTGCCCTGCAGCTTCATGTCGTCGCCCGGGTATGAAGAAATCATGTTGCCATCTTTCACGGACAATATCGACTTTGGCGCGACATTGCGCGAGGCGGGAGCGTAGATGTTATCATCCCAGGGGCCAGGAAAAGCCGCTTCGGTGACGGAGCTGCATGGCGTGTCCCGCCAACACTTCTGCCCTAGCACGAGCTGCGCGGATGCGCAGAGACACACAAGCCCTCTCAACATGCTCGCTGGGAGGCAAATGAGGTTGCAGCGGCCGGAGTTTGCCTCACATCCACCCGTCCACTCAGGGAGCGAGGCCCGAGATATATGTGATTCATCTTGAAGATTTCGTCTGCCTACTCGAAACGAGATGGCAGAGAAAGATGCCAAAAGAAGACAAAACAGTGCAAGCCAGGGTTGCTTCGGGTGAAATAGAATCCCGAGAGAAATAGATTATCCGGAGCCATAAGTGCCACGTCCACGATGAAAGCGACAAGAGAGCGCGGAGAAGTGGAGGCTTCTCGCGCGGGGGAGCAAGCAGAATGAGGGGGGCGGGACGAAAAGGATCGGCGTTGCACCGCTAGCCAGGTCAAGAGCTCGTCGAGCGTCAGACCGAAGAAGCGAAGGCGGATTCTCGTCGGGAAGGCTGTTGAGTCCTTGGGTGAACACATGGGTTTGGGCAGGCCATGATGAAGGTTGGACGGAGAGACAAGTTGCGTACAGTAGTTGACAAAGAGGAAGAGAGACATGTTCGTATCAAGTAGGCTCGAGTCACCAACTGCCAAGGCACGACATCAATGCCGATCCTACCTGGTAGAGACTTGCAGATCGATCTCGCATCAACTTGAGGTTGTGGCGTCAATGGGGCAACAATGGAAGCCTCGAGGTTACACCATATTCAGCAGAGCAAGCATGGAAGTCTGAGCAATTCGAGCAAGAGATGGAGTCAAAGCCAAGGAGCGACGCAGGCCAAGCTTCACAAAGGAACCCGTCTAACGGTTTTGCGGGGTGGGGGTTGTACTTTGTATGTGTTGAACGCGTGCTGTACCCTTGGCAAGATGGCATCCTGGAGAGGATCAGCAGCTGCTGTCGTTGCGTCATTGTTCCAAGCAAGCTCTAGCTTGCTGAACGCGTTCAGAAGAGAACAGCGGCGACGAGGAGAAAAAGAGACAACAACATCATCATCGGATCGAGAGACAATTCCATAGGCGAGCTGTAGCCTTGAGAGTCGAGTGCAATTCGCGGGTGAACTTGAGCTGATAAAGGAACAACGGGAGACACTGGCCAATCTTGTCGGTGAAGAGGAGGACTGGGGGTGATCAGCATGCAGGCTGGCAATCCATGACACCAGGGAGCAGCCAGAAATGACGTTGTTCTGATGGCTCGAGAAGGCTTGCTCCAACAGTATCCTGTTGACGACATGCGCCGACAAGTGCTCTGCTGGCCTGCACCGCTCGGGCTCATAGCCGCTCTGGCCTCATTTGCTGCTGTCCCTCGCTTGAGGGTGTCGCCATCCTGGTTGGTCAGAGGCCAGAAGTGCCAGAGGAGGGAGGGGGAGGGAGGGCAGCGCAAGAGATGAGGTTACATTGGACCATGATGAAGAACAAAAAAGGCAAAATATAGATAATTAATGCGGGCGACTGGCAGGTGCTCCAGTAGCTACCAAGGCCTTGTTGCTCGCAGATGACAAGGTGTTCAGTCCGACAGACAGACAGACAGACAGACAGACAGACAGTCCGACAGCCAGAGCATCCGAGTATCAAGATCCATTGTCCTTTGGGTTGACAGATTGATACCATCACATCATTGTCGAGAGATTGATGCTGAGGGCAGCTGGAGGCAGCCTTTTTCCAAATCTAGGTACCTAAGGTGCAAATGCACACGTGACAGTTGACACCTGGGGAGCCAACCCGACCAGGCTCCAGGCGCTAATTCTGCAGCCAAAGACACCAGAGACACGCTGGAGACAAGCAGATGGACACTGCCCGCTCCGCCCTCTCCACCCAAAATTAAGCCACATGCATGGGCGCTGGTTGAAGCCCAAGCCCAGATCGCTCTAGCGCATCTTAGTGTCAAAATCACTCAAGCCCAGTCCTGTGGCCTGCACGTCGCCCGCCTGTGCAAGTGGGCTCAGTGGGAAGCGAGGACGCGAGCACCCCATCAAGTGAGACCAGACTACCAGAACCCCCTTCTCTACAGCGCCCGCCTGCCCTCTCCCGCCGCCCGCCCAGAACCCTTCGATCCTATTCGACAGGCCCAGCCATGACGCCTTGGCAGTGATATCGTCAACTCACGCACGCGGGTCCTCCACCGACCAACTTCTCTCCTTTGTATCCTGCTGCGGCCTCTTACAACATTCTAGCATCCCCCCCGTCTCACCACCGATCGCGCCCCCCAGAGACCTGTCCGCCACGTCGTATGGGCTAGGCACGCTTGCGGCTGCGACTCGATCGCCGGGCTCCCTGCTCTCCTGAAATCCGAGCCGTTGCATTTGCACCAGGGATCCTCTTTCAGGCGCCGAACCCACGCCCGCCCCTTTCGACACGCCCGCCGATTTTCTCTCCTCCCGACGAACCCGACTTTCCTCCCGTGCATGACCGTATTGCGACTCCCGTCTGGTCGGTCTCAATCGCCAAACGCCGCACGATAGGGGATCACTCGGGCCCGGGCCTTGTTGGGGCCCCCTTCCTAACGTACAGATGATGGTACGTTCCTCCCAAACCGCGTTCAGCTGCCCTCTGGTCCCCTCTGCATGCCAGGAGAATGGTGGAAGATCTGTACATGAGACAACTCGATACCAACTCGAGAATTTGAACAACACTCTGCCGAAGGGTCCTCCCCCGGCAAATACGCGAGAGGGTACAGCGCGGAAGGGAGAAAAGTAGTGGATTTTGTTCCGGCTAACCAGAACCTCTCCTCGTGCAGACCTCATCTAGGACCCGCGATGTTGGCGGCAGTTTTGCGACTCGTCGTGGGCATGCCAGCCAGCTGTCAATCTCCGACCCAAGCCACCACGTAACGGAAGCGATAGGCGACCTCTACGGCGACAGCGACGATGAATCCGTCCACGACGCCCGCCGGCAGTCCCGGCCGCTGAGTTTCATCGCCGCCCCGTACGGCGGGGAGCAGATCCAAAAGGAGGAGCAGCATGGCAAGCAAGACCGTCCCGAAGATCGGCATAAGCTGGTGCGCACGACCTCGGACCAGACCACCGCCACGACCGCCTCGCTCCCCAACGGCCATCAACCCATGAAAAAGGCGCAGACACTCCCGACGAGGATACCTAGCCAACGCAACAATTCCTACGAAGGGTCGCTCTCTCCCAGATCGCCCATTTCCCCCTTGTCGCCGTCCCTGTCGCTTCGCGATGTCAACGGGGATTCCTCCTCGTCCTTCCCGCTGACCAACATCGACGACCCCAGCGACATCGCCCAGGAGCTCAGCAATCTACAGGCACTCCGGCGCATGTCGATGGATGTCGGCAACAACAGCGACCCGGACTTGCTCCCTTTCCAGGGAATGACCCTGACGGCCATGCCCTCGATAGCCCCGACTGGGGAGGATGACGAAGGCGACCTATCCCGCCTGCTGTGGGTGCCGGCCAAGGTCCATCCCGAACTTGCCCCGGATCAGTTCAAGAACTTTCTCGAAAAGCGAGTCCAGTCGATGAAGCGAAGATCGGGCGACTCTATGCTCTCGGTAGATACGATGGACTCGGGAAATGATGGCGGAGGCTTGCGGCGGAAAAAATCCATGCTTTCGAAGCAGATCGACAAGAACGGGGCAGACGGCTATGTCGACGGGGCAGAGCGGCTCGAAAGAAAACGATCATCGACCGGGCAGTCGGCTGCGGAGCTCAGCCTCGACGAGCTAGTCAATGACCCAACCAAGGTTGTGCAGAAGCTTACCCTGGAGACCCAGAACGCAGAGGCCGGTGCCGAGAGGAGCAGCATGGACAACGACATGCCCATATTGCCTGTGGCACCGGGTATGGGGCTGCGAAGGTCAACGCGAACGACGTACCGCAAGGGAGGCAGTCTTCGTGGCGACCGCGTGCCTTTTTCCAAGAGAGTGGCTGCCCGGCAAGCAGACAAGGAAGCTGCTGAAGAGTCGCCGCGCACCTCAAAGTCTTCCGAGTTTGAAGCACCCAAAGGGCACGGGCTGCAGCGCGTGCAGTCCGAACCCATTTCAGACAATTTCTCGCGCCCCGCCAGGTCTGTGAGGCGGCAGCACGGGTTCTCGAGGGACTCGCCGTCCAGCGCTGTCGACACCACCCAGACCGACTCACTAGACGACGAGACTCACCACCAGTTCCCCGCCAGAAAGCAGTCTATCGACTCGACAATGTCTGCCTCGACCGTCCCCACCATCGTGGAAACTCCGGCGGACGAAACGCCACAACAGGAGACCACCCTCCCCTCCAGGCCATTTCCACAGCGCTCATCCTCCCAAAAGGCCGCCATGCAATATTCGCCTCAGCAGCACCAAGACGAGCAACCCCCTCCAGCACCACAACAATCAGCACAACAACCACCGCATCCAGCCCCGACACACCCACCACCTCGATCCAGCAAACGTCCTTCCCTGCGCACGCCCAGCCATGGGTCTTCTGCCAGCATGGAGCACCAACCCTCTCCCGGCGCAAATCATACTCTGAACGAGATGGCGCAGCATCCCTCGCCCTTGCCAGGAGGCGGCGCGACTCGCACGGACAGCCTCACCTTCATCCCCACCATGTCCATCGACGAAAGGAGATACGACAGGAAGAAGGAGAAGGAAGACAGCGAGCCCAGCAAGACTATGAGTTGGAAGTGGTTCAAGAGCGAGGACAAGGATAAGAAGAAGAAGAAGGAGAAGGAGAAGGAGAAAGAGAAAGAGAAGGAACTCGAGAAAGAGCGCGAGCGCGAGCGAGAGCGGGGGAGAGAGAGAGAACGCGAGAGGGAAAAGGACAAGGACAAGGACGAGCAGCGGAAATCGCGGTCCAAGCTGGGCGAAAAGGTGCACGACAACGCCCGGCTGGATCTGCTGCAGAGCTCCATCGACAACGCCATCACAAAGGGGCGGGAGAGCCTGCTGCTGGACCGGGAGAGCATCGACAACAAGCTCTCGGAGGAGCGCAAGAAGGAGAGCAGCCGCAAGGGCAGCGACTCGAAGAAGGAGAAGGACGGCTTCTTCGGCTCCTTCTTCGGCGGCTCCAAGAAGAAGGAGAGCAAGGAGCTCGGCGCGCCCAAGGGCGGCAAGCAGCGGGCGCTGTCGCCGGAGCCGCCCGCGCGCCTGCTCAAGCCCGACGTCGACTACCCGTACACGCGCTTCCCCATCGTCGAAGAGCGCGCCATTTACCGGATGGCGCACATCAAGCTGGCCAACCCGCGGCGCGACCTGCGCAGCCAGGTGCTGCTGTCCAACTTTATGTACTCGTACCTGGCCAAGGTCCAGGCGATGCACCCGCAGCTCAACGTGCCCGTCTCGCCGCAGCAGAAGCGGCAGGAGGAGGAGCGCAAGCGGCGCGAGCAGGAGCAGCAGTACCTCATGGAGCAGCAGATGCAGCAGCAGCAGGGGCAGCAGGGGCAGCAGCAGGGCGGCGACGGGCAGAGCAGCATTGACCAGTTTAACTTTGAGTACCACCGGGTGAGTTCCTCCTTTTGAGATAGCCTTACACACACTCGTTCAGTGTGATGTGATAGGCCTTGACTGCTGACCAGATATTCACAGTCAACGAACCAGTACGGCGACGCTGGGAGCCATAACCAGGACGGCAGCGTCGACTATATAGACGACGCTCAGATTTACGAATACGATCACGGCGGGCACGACCAGAGGGAGGGCGGCGGTGGCGAGTATCACCACGACCAGAACGGGGGCGCCCGGCAGCAGGACTATTACGAGTACGACCAGCAGCACGATGGTGGAGGTGCGGGTTCGGGTGCCTCGGGCAGGAGAAACGATAGCAACGACATGTGGTGAGCTACTGATGCTGCTGATGCTGCTGCTGTTGCCACGGATCAGTGGGCAAAGCCGGCCAAATCGCATAGGGACCGGGCGTCAATGGAGTTGCGATGAACTCCATAATGCAAGAAATGGTTCGGACCGGGCAGCCCTGCATTGTTTTTCTACCCATTCTCATTCCTTTCTTCTTCTCTTGATGGACGGCCGGGCGGGAGCGGGTCGAGATGAGGCCACATCGTCGTGGTCCGACTCACTGGGTGGCGTCTGCCTTGGTTTCGAACTGAGCAGAACCACCGGCGTCCGCCCTGTTCCAGCTCCAATGTATACTTTCGTGATCAAAGCATAGCCGGGATGGGACTATTTGGAATTCTTATGTTGTTTTCTTTGGCCGAGGCTCTCTTTTGCAAGAGGGCAAGCCGAGTCGGGACTGGCGAGAGGAGATCGAACGAGTTGGCCGGGAGCATTACCGAGAGTGCGATGAGATGTGTTACGACTACGAGGGCACGACGCTTCTAGTCGGATGACGAGGGCGGGACGGTGGACGGGACGATGATACATCTGCATATAGGGGGGGGAATCAACACAATGAGAGAAATCACTTTTGAGCGGCAATCACAGTGTCTCATGCAAATAGTGAGAGATTGAAACTCGATAACCTAGTTGATCTGTATCTCGACTGTATAAACTGTATACCAGGTAAAGCACGGGGAGTTGCTTCTCGATAGACATGTTTGTCGAGCAGTGCATCTCCAGAAAACATTGCCCGTGCTTTCCCGGTTTGCGAAGCGCAAATGTGATGAGAGATTGGTGGTGGGAAAAGGAGAAGCGCAAATAGCAAAGGTCAACCGGCGCTAAACCAAAGGCGGCGGGAGCACATCCCTGCCAAGTCAAGCCAAACTGTCTGTGCTCCAGCCTGTAGTTAGTGATGCCGCCCAACTTCGAGTCCCGGGTTTGGGCACTCCAACACTAACGCGCCCTGAGGCTCTAGCGTATTCCCCTGCCTCTCAGTGGTGGTGGGCGCAATGTTTGGCCTGGCAGCTGCGCTGAATTAATGACTGGTCTCCCTCTCCCGTCACTCTTTTCCTGCCCAAAGGTTCCAAGGTTGGCCTGGAGTCCACCTTTCCCCAAATATTGACGACCACCAGTCGACGCCACGACCACCACACACACTTACCTGCCTGCCTGCACCACCGCCAGCTCGGCTGCTTCTCACATTTGCGCCAACAGCAAATCTCTTTGCACCTACCATCTCCCATCTTCATCCTCTCCCCCCTCGCCATATCTTGTTCTCTACGGCTGTGACTTTTTCCCACCCAGTCTGCCATCTCGCCCTACCTATCTTTTTGATACCCCCCTTTCTCCCTGCGACTCAATCGACGGCGCAACGCACCGGGCAACGCAGTTCCGCACATCTCGAGGCCAATCGTGCAAAAATATCAACGACGGAAGGAGTCGATCGCGAACCTCTTTCCCCCCCTCGCCCTCCCATCTCCATCCGACCCTCGAGACCTCTCTTCTTCTCTCTTGTCTCCTCGGTGCCTCCCGAGCTCGTCTGCCTCGCGACCTCGCCTTCTCCTTCTCTCTCGCCTCACCTTCTCCTCTCCATAGCTCTGACATGGCATCTGTGAGCTCCCTTTGACTTTTTCTGCTACAGTCCGGTCACCATCCCATCCACATCTGCCCCTCGTCCCTCTTCACCACCACCCTTACCAGCCCATCTCAAACGTGCCAACCTCATCACCAGCTGCACATGGCCGCCGACACCACCATGGCGACTGCTCTAGCCTTCAACAACCGCCCCCAGTTGCACCCCAGCGGGCCACTGCAGTGGCGCCAGCGTCACGGTGTTAGCCAGAGACTGACAGCTTATGAATATCAGCAACCTCGCCAGCCTTACAACAGCAACCAAGGCTACATGCCTAACGGAGCACCTGGCGCCCACCCCAACCTGCCGCTCCAAGCGACTCCTCTCCTGCCGAACCAAGGTCGCGTCATCCAGACCGGTCCCATCCGCATCCTCTGCATCGCCGATGTCCGCGGTATGTCACCACGTCCTGACATGCATCCCCGTCCCCCGACATGTTCGATGTACTGACGCTGTCGCAAAAAAAGGAAACCTGAGATCCCTCAACGAGCTCGCAAAGCAGGCACGCGCAGACCATGTCATCCACACCGGTGACTTTGGATTCTACGACGAGACGTCCCTCGAGCGCATCGCCGAGAAGTACAGTCCCACCTCTATCCTGCCTTGGATCGTGGACCACATCACTAACCAGCTTTCTGCCACAGGACGTTGAAGCATGTCGCCCAATACTCCCCTCTGATCCCGGAGCCTGTCAAGAAGTCTATCCAGCAAGGCCCGGGCCCCGTCAAGTCGCGATTCTCCCCAGCCGAGCTCCCGCTATCAGAACTGCCGCTTCTCCTGTCCGGCGAGGTCAAGCTCGAGGTGCCTGTCTATACCGTCTGGGGTGCCTGCGAGGATGTCCGGGTGCTGGAGAAGTTCCGATCCCGTGAGTACAAGGTACACAACCTGCACATCATCGACGAGGCACAGTCAATGCTGCTCGAGGTTGGCGGTGTGAAGCTCCGTCTGCTCGGCCTGGGCGGCGCAGTCGTGATGCATAAGCTGTTTGACAATGGCGAGGGCAGGACTACGATCGCTGGAGGCCAGGGAACCATGTGGACTACACTCCTGCAGATGGGTGAGCTCGTCGACACGGCAAACCGCGTTTACGACCCCTCCGAAACCCGAATCTTTGTGACCCATGCCTCCCCCGCTCGCGAAGGTATTCTCAATCAGCTGTCCGTCACCCTGAAGGCCGATTTCTCCATCTCGGCTGGTCTCCATTTCCGGTATGGTAGCTCTTACAACGAGTTCTCGGTCAACCCCACTCTCGACCATTACCGCGGCAAGCTTGCTGCGAGCAAGGCGTCGTTCAATGATGTCTGGGAGACGGTCAAGGGCGAGGTGGAGCCCGCCATCGAGCAGAACCAGGCTCAGCAGAACCTGCTGAAGAACGCCCTCGGCATCGTCGAGAAGATGCCTGCCACTGCCGCCGGTGGCAACCCCTTCGGCGGCCCTAGCCCCGCTGGCGCACCCGTCGGCCAAGTCGACGAGAGCGCCTTCAAGAACATGTGGAACTTCAACCTCGCCGACGCTGCCTTTGGCTGGCTGGTTCTCGAGGTCCAGGATGGCCGCATCGGTACCGAGATGCGCGCACAGGGCTTCAACTTCTCTCACCGAGGCCAGAAGCAACAACCCAACCTGCCTCCGGGTGTCCCGGCCCCCTCTGGCACCCCCCAACCTACCGCCCCGGCTGCCGCCCCTGCGGCGCAGACTGCCCCTGCTGCCGCGCCGCTGCCCAGTCGCCAGGGCTCCGCTCAGCAGGCACCGAAGCCCGCTCCCGGCTCCGGCCCTGCCAAACCGGCCACGCCTCAGCCCGCCTCTACCCCCGCGCCGAAGGATGCTGACAAGGCTGCCCCGATGGGCGCTAACGGTGCCGCCCCCGGCCCCGAGTCCGCATCCCCTGCGCCCAAGCCGACAGAGATTATGGGTCTCTTCGTCATGAACGCACAGAGCGACGACTTGACGCGCGAGATGTTTGCCGATGATGACCGGTCCAGGATCTCCAGGATCGAGAAATACGGACAGACCAACAAGGTCGTTCACTTTGACACCAAGGAAGACCGAGATGGCGCTCTTGCCCGCCTGCCCGAGGAATTCAAGACCCGCACCCAAGAGGATCGTAGCAAGCCTCTTGTGAGGATCTATCAGCCTCGCGAGTCTACCAAGACGTACGGCCGTGGTGGCGGTGGCGCCGGTACCTGGGGTAGCAGCAACCGCGGCGGCGCTCCCGGTGGACAGAGCGGATACCGCAGTGCCGGCGGCGGTACTGCTAGCGACAGCGAAGGCGCCGGCCGACGTGGTGGACGTGGAGGGCGTGGCGGACGAGGTGATGGGCGCGGTCCCCGTGGCCGTGGCGGCCCGAGGGGTGGCATGAGCAAGGGCGAGGGCGGTAACGGTTCTCCAGCCCCTGCGGCGGCGACCCCGACCGAATCTTAGGCTCGATATTCTGCCTGATCCCGTTTGTCCCTTGAGACTCGAAGGCTGGTTTCTACTGCCAGCAACCCGGCCTTCGCCTTTCGTCTCAACCCATCCCCGTGTCTCAGTATTGTCATCATACAACGTCGGTTCATAACGCTCTCATCTGCTACAAAACGTGGCCATGCGCGCCATCTGCCTCGAGGCAGGCGCAGGGATCATATCTGCTCTGACTAGTTTTCTCTTGTTTTTTATTACGCTTTTTCTAAAGTTTCCTGCTCACACCAACAACTACTACTACTTCTTTTGGCCCTGGAAAAGTAAAACAGAATTGTAAAAAAGGCGGACGGGGGGAGAGAGAGGAGGAGTGGGACGTAGAGGGGGGTTGGTTGTCTTTGGTCGGTTCTTTTTTTACAACTGCTCTTGTTATTCTCTTTTTTTGTTAGCTGCCAAGGGATGGATGGATGGATGATGGACGAAGAAAGGTAGCCTTCTATTTCTAAGACATTTTTCCAGGCAAAGGGGAAAAAGAGGAAGGAGACTAGAAGTGAGCAAGAAACGTTTATGAAAGAGAAGAAGAAGATTACTCAGAAATAATACCTTGTTTTTTTTATTACTATGTTACTCTACTGAAACCTGTGGTCCGTGGTCCGTGGTGCGAGAAGGAAGAGAGGATGAGAAGAGTCTATGAGGTTCTAGGCCATGCTCCTGGTGACAAGGCATTTCGTGGGACGGCATACAACGTTGACGTGTATGTGGTTTAAAAGAGGGACACGTCTTGATGTTGTGTCTGGTGTTGAGTAGATATCTCGCGCATCCGGAACTTGCAAACTCGCGTACATGGAGGTCCGGGTGAGTTGACTCATCGGCCACGGGCTATACCATCGTCGAGAGGTTAAAGAATCGGGGACTAATAACAACTGTATCGTTATCACTGGGAACTGTCATAGTGTCTCTGGATCATAGGTGTTCAGTTCATTGTGCCTCTTCAACTGTGTCTGATTTATAGTGAAGCTCGGCTTGTACCTACAGGTAGACCGAGAACCAGCTTGTGGGATAGATATATCTTCTGGCCACTAAGTGCTAGACGTTCAGAGGGACGGACGGACGCGAAAGAGGTATATCTACCTATTTGTTGGTAGTCATCATCCGTCTCCAATAGGCAAAGGCACGCGTCTTCTTCTACCGTTTTGCCCAACAATGCTTCGCCGTGATCGTACGGTTCATCAACCAAGAAGTCTTCGCACATATTCCTCTCAGTTAATACAGTTCTTTTCTCGTTCTACTATGTTACAGAGCAGAGGTGAACTTCATTCTCCCCTCCAAAAGAGTCTATGTTTCACCGCCTTGTTGCGAGACATTTCTCGATATCTCTCGCACGATGAAGGAAAAAACTGGTCTTACAAGAGCAATTGTTACAAAACCACCCACCATACAAGCTCTCTCTTTCACATTTTCCCAAGCAATATTCATTTCCTCCCCGGAGCCTTGCTTACTTTTTACTTCCTCTCGATGGGCTTGACACCCTTATGTATAGCCGCCACGCCGCCGGTCAGGTCCTCGTACCCGGTGCCGCCGACGACGAACCCGGCGTCGACAATCATGTCGCGGAACTGCTCCTGGCTGGGGAACCTCTCGATGCTCTCGACGAGGTACTGGTAGCTGTCGCGGTCGCCGGCGACGAGCTGCCCGATGAGCGGGATGGCGCTGAAGGACCAGCGCTTGTAGACGGCGTTGAAGAGCGGGTGCGCGTCGGCCTTGCTGAACTCGAGGCAGGCGAAGACCCCGCCCGGCTTGAGCACGCGGTAGGCCTCGCGCAGCGCGGCGGGGATGTCGGTGAAGTTGCGGATGCCAAAGGCCACGGTGTACAGGTCGACCGAGGCGTCGGGGACGCCGGCGGCGCGCAGGTCGGTGGCGTCGGCCTCGAGGAAGGAGAGGGCCGCGCGCTGGGAGGCCAGCGGCAGGCGCTCGGCGGCGCGCTGGCGGCCGACGGCCAGCATGGCCGGGTTGATGTCCGAGATGGTGACGGCCACGTTGGGGTTGGCGTTGAGGACGTGCGCGTGGTGCAGGTGCCGGAAGGCGATGTCGCCCGTGCCGCCGGCGATGTCGAGGATGTGCTGCGGCGCCTGCGGGTGGGACGGGGAGGAGAGGCCTGGGGAGAGCGAGGTGACGAAGTGGTCTCTGTTTTTTTTGGTTGTGATGGCCGGTGGTTAGCGTGATTCGCGGGATTGGGAGACGGGTGTGTGAAGGAAAGGGGGGGGGGGGGGGGGGGGGGACAAGCGTACTTCCAGATGCGGTGCCAGCCAAAGGACATGAGGTCGTTCATCTTGTCGTACGACTCGGCGACGCTGGTGAAGACGCCGGCGACGCGCTGCGTCTTCTCCGACTCGGTGACGGTCTCGAAGCCGAAGTGCGTCGTCTTCTCGCCGGGGCTGCTGCCTGAGCTGGTGGTCGCATTCTGCTGTTGCTGCTGCTGCTGCTGCTGGAGGCAGCGCGTGGTGCTTGCGGAAAAGGGTCGGGATATCCTCGCCGGGGCGGAGGAGAGGCTCCGGAGGGCCCGGGACCGGAGGAGCGGTCGCGCGGCCATTGTGCAGTATGGGCCGGCTGCTGCTGGCGGCAGCGGTTCAAAGGAGGGGGGGACGGAGGAGAGGGTTCGGCGGTCGTGGTCAGGCGATCGGAAGGCTGAGAGGGCGAAAATGGAAATTTGAGGTGTGGCGCCGTGGCGCGCTGTGGCTCGGGATCTCAGCCTTGTGTGGGGGGTGGTTTTCTAGTGGGTGGGACCGTACAAGGCGTGTGGGGATTTTGATGGTTGAAACGAGCTCTTTTCTGCTCGAAACAACGGTGGGGGGATATGCTGCTTTGCCTTGTCTTGTTCCGGAAGACCGGGCGAGTGAGTATATGAGAAGCTCGGTCACACTGTATGAACTTGTCGAGCTTCCCGCCACCCACTTATGCGGTTGGGGCCTCGCTTGCTGCTGCTGCGGCGGCGGCTTCGGCCTTCTCCTTCTTCCTGGCGGCGATGATGCGAGCGAGCCAGCCGATCTTGTTGAAGCCCCAGATGAAGGCCGCGAAGGCGATGGTGAAGAGCACGAGGAAGACGACAGCGATTGTTGCTGCTTGAGACATTATGGAGGTAGATGGGTGTTGCTGAGGAGGCTGTTCAGTGAGATTGTCGTGATATCTTCGTCTCGGGACTATCGTCGGTGAGAGTGTTGTGTTGTGTGATGATGGGAGAATGGTGAGGCTTGGACGCGGCTGATGGTTGTGGTTTGAAGCTTTGATGATATTTGATGGCGTGTTGAAGGTAGAAATTGCAGGTAGGTCAAGCTGCAATGAGTGCTGGAGTTTGACAGTGGCAAGCAGGTACTCACTTCTCACTTCTCACCCTCGATTCACTTTCACGTCAAGTCCCCACGACTGGTTTTGCTGCTGCAAATAGTCTATGATTTCTGATTTTGGTCTAATTACACTTTCAAAGAATCCCGCCCCCCTTCATAATCATCTACGTCGTACTCCTCGGGGTATTCCTCTAGATGTTGCCTCAGCTCCTCCACCTGTCTCTTCTGGTCTGGCGTGAGATCCTCGTACACATCCTGGAACATGGAGATGATTGGCGGCTTCTTGATCTTCTCTGCCTCGGAGAACGCCTTGAGCACATTCCTCCTGATGGTGTCGCGCGCCTCCTTCTCCTTGGCCTCGTCCCAGCACCCCTTGGCCTCCATCCACTTGCGCAGGCGCGAGATGGGGTTGTCCCGGCGCTTCCAGTCCTCGACCTCGACGCGCGCGCGGTAGGCAAACGAGTCGTCGGACGTGCTGTGGTGGCCGACGCGGTAGGTCATGCACTCCATGAGCACGGGCCGGCCGCCGCCCTCGAGCGCCATCTCGCGCGCGCGCTTGGTGGCCTCGCGCACGGCCCACAGGTCGTTGCCGTCGACGCGGATGGTGTCGATGCCGTAGCCGAGCCCGCGGCTGGCGATGCCGTCGCCGCGGTACTGCTCGAGGGACGGGGTGGAGATGGAGTAGCCGTTGTTGCGGCAGACGAAGACGACGGGGCAGGAGCGCGTGGCGGCGATGTTGAGCGCGGCGTGGAAGTCGCCCTCGCTGGCGGCGCCCTCGCCAAAGTAGACGACGGCTATGCGCGGCGGCGCCGAGGGGTCCTGCATGCGCTGGATCTTGAGGGCGTAGGCGGCGCCCGCGGCGTGGGGGATCTGGGTGCCTAGCGGGGAGGAGATGGTGTGCTGTTTTTGGAGGAGAAGTCAGTGTGCTGATGTGACAAGGTAAACGGTGTCCTGGATGCGCTTACAATATGCAGTTTCTTGCTGCCGTAGTGGACGGGCATCTGCCTGCCCTTGCCCGGGTCGTTCTTGTTGGCGAACAGCTGGCTCATAAAGTCGCTGAGCTGGAAGCCGCGCTGCTGGAAGACGCCCTGCTCTCGGTACTGGGAAAAGACGACATCGTCGGGCCGCAGCGCCGAGGCGGAGCCCACGCAGACGGCCTCCTCGCCGGCCGAGACCATGTAGAAGCTGATGCGTCCTTGCCTCTGGGCGTCGAACATGATGATGTCCATGATGGAGACGGTCAGCATGTCCTTGTACAGCTTGACGACCTCCTCGTCGCTGAGGTCCGGCTTGAACTTGCGGTCCACGACGACGCCCTGCTGGTCGACGACGCGGTAGGTCGGCATGGCCGGGTACTCGGACGGGTGCTCGAACTTGAGGTCGCTGGTGAAGGCGCTCTTGAGCGCGCCGGGGAAGGAGACGAAGTTGGAGTCGGGCCTCTGCGAGAGCCCACCGGCGGCGCGGATCTGCTGCCGCGCCGCCGCGGCGATGGGGGGAGCTGTCGTTGTCGACGCCCGCGCCGAGCAGCGGGCGGCCAGGGTGCGGGCGGCGGCGGACGTGGAGACGCGAGCCCGCATTGTGTGTTTGTCGGGGGGTCGTCCGGTTATATGACAGTTCCAGACGCTATCGCCAGTTCCATACGCTTGTTCCTTTCGCAATTGAGGCCGCTCTGTGTTCTACATTCGGAAAAAAAAAAGAACAACACTTGAGAATCTGGAAGAGGGAAAGGGAAGGGGGGTTGAGTCTGGGGTAAGCGTCGTCGAGAGAGAGCCGCTCATTCCCCGGAAACACCGACGTCACCCTGAGCCGACGACAAGCGCTCGGCACAAGAGGAATGCCGCTTATCGGCGCCGTTGATAAGGAGAGCTGGGGAAGCACATTTGCTGCACCTTGTTGAAACATTCGGAGAGGTTGTTGATTTTGGAGTTGATTTTAACTCTCTTGGGTATATGGCACGGAGGGAAGGCTTTGTCTTCGTATCTGGTTTTAACAATCTAGAAAGCGGCTTGTTTACTTCGATGCACTCTCCGCAACTTCAAGACAGGCTCCAACAGGACGGATGCCCTCCCAGGTACAGCCAAATACGGTGGTAATCCGACAATAGCAGTTCCCAGGATCTGACTGAGTTGAAAGAGTGACACCTTTGAGTAGTCAAGATGGAAGTTGCGTTCCCTGCAGCAGATGAAATCAGATCAAGTGCTGCCCTTAGAGATACCTAGGTGCCTTGGACTGAGCAAAATACAGGAACGGCAGCTAAGAATGATTTGATCAAAAGCAACACCAGTCGGCACTTCAAATAAGAAAGACCCTTAGGAATTGTAGAGACATGCAACCAACAGGCAGTGGGCCTTACTCCTCAAGATCGACCGGGGACGGGCCTCCAGGTCTACGTCGGGCGGCTACAAGTAGGCAGAGCCTCTCTCCAGCCAATGTCGCGATCGCACGTCAGACCAAGCGCCAAGATGGGCGACAGTGCTGCGCTAGCGAAATAAAGACTGTGCCAAAGGGGGGGCCAGGATGCCCGTAGTGGGGGTGGATTACTGGCCACAAGGTACCACCCCACCACTGAAAGCCTGCTAATCCGCCTAGAGGGTGCACCCTGGGGGTACATTGCGCTGGCGAGCGGGACTGGACGGGCCCAGACAGTGAGTGGTTGGGTCAAACGGACTGCCCAGGTGGATGGATTGTTTCCATGTAGGAGGTAGTTATGGATGGATGTGCTTGTGTTAAGGTACTTTAGGTAGAGGTAGGTGGTTGTATGGGCCGGACACCACCAGCCAGAGTGATGCTTTTAGCATCAGCCCCATGGGTCAATCGTCCCCGAAAGGCTCAGTCGTTCAACCTGTGGCTCGGAATCTTCCACCAAACTCTCACAATTTACCTTTCTGCGACCCCATTTCGTACATCCGTGTCACCACTGCATCCTCACCCCCCTTCCTTTCGGACATACGATCATCCTGACCCAGCGATCCTGTGCTGCCGCCGGGACTCTGTGCTGTTCGTTGCCTGACAAAGACGACGGCCGATGCCACAGAGAGAGTGTTGAGAAAGCAAGCGACCAAACAAGAACCCGACCGTCTCCCCCCAGCCCGACGACCAGCGATACGATCCCGCCCGCCAAAGCCTCGCCGCTGCATCCTGGCCACCTGCCCGGCCTTTGCCTCATGGCGTAATCCATGGCAGAACGAATCTGTGCAAAGCCGCGCTCCAGATCGGTTGTCGATAACGATCCGCCAGTGCGACTGCCTTCCTCCTCGACGCCTTCCTCAGCATCGACTGCACCCGCCGTCTCGGGCTCCTTCTCCTCCCATCTCCAACACGCTCCTGCCCGCTCAGCGGCCTCCTCGACAAGGTACAACGACTCTTTTTTTCTTCTTTTCTTTTTCTTCGGTCGTCTACTGCGTTTGCTCCTCCTCCTCCTCCTCCTCCTCTCGCCCTCCGTCATCGCCAACCTCCTTTCATCTCCATCCTCAATTCTCCCCGTCTCTCCATCCCCCCAGCCTGCCCGCCCGACCCCTCCTCTCCTCTCCCTCACCTCCAATTTCCTGCTCACTCACCTCCCTCCACTATCCTGCTCGCCCTTGGCCATTCGTTCCTCGCCAACTTCGATCCTTGGGTCTCATCCCGCCTCGATAATTCAAGCGTCACCACCGCCCCTCCCAAGTCGCGTGCTAGGCAATCATCCAATACAGCGCCCCCGTCGGTGATTCACAGCGACCGCAAACCGACCTCGAGCTGCTTCCCAGGAGTCACTGTCTGCCTCCCATCTGGTGACAGTGAGGTCGGACCACCTGAATACCCCAACAGGCCACCAGCGATAGGAGGAATTGTCTGCCAACGCACTGCATCCCCATTTATTCTTCACCACCACTTCGAAATCTTGACCATCAACCCCACACACTTTATTCTGCTCCTTCACTCGATGCATAAACCTCCCACCGACGGCCAACAAACTTCTACTTGGTTCGGCCGTCGGTTATCTCTCTGATGATATTTAATTTGCATCACATACAACTCATCCGCAAGAGATCGAACCTGTACTCATGTCTCCCAGAATCACTCGCGCCTCCGCTCGCCAAGCAGCAAGCCAGGCAGAGTCCCCGGCTGCTGCTGCCGCTGCCGCTGCCGGTTTGACGACTGCGGTTGCTGCTTCCGCCTCGACCCCGAATCATCCTACCCGAGCTTCGACACGCAAGCGGAAGGCCAACGATACCAGTCCTCCCCAGGCTTCCCCTCCTCAACCCACTCCTAGCCGTCGTTCGAAGCGGCAAAAGGTCCCCGACCCTATCCCGGAGCCCGTAGCACCAGAGCCCCTTCCGCCTCGCAATAGGAAGGGTAAAGCTGCTGCCACCATGTCCAGCCCAGGGTTTGTAATCCTTGCCAGCTAGCAGACCTACTTCTATGCTAACCATCTACTAGGTTTCCCCCAGAGTCTACCCTCACACCGTCAAATACCTCCGCTGCTTCCAGCCGCAAGCCCAGCCGTAGCAAGAAGAACACGTCAGGTAAGTATTTCTTTCACACGCCCATGGCTAGTCTGCCTACTCACCGTCATAACGCAGACGTCTCCGCCACAGCCGCATCTACATCGGCCCGCAAGTCAAGACGCTCTTCGAACCATGCCCCCGATCCAGATACCAAGATGGCGGGCACCGACGACGCGGATAACGACTCGCTACCGCCTCCACCCCCGACTATAGATGAAGATGGTCAAGGGGACGCCGGAGACAACGGCGAACATGACGAAGACGACGATGACGAGGAGGAGGAGGACGAAGAAGGCAACCCCTATGGAGAAGAGGAAGACGATGACGACGAGATGAGTGCGGCAATGAACCCCTTTGGCAGTGCACTCGGCGGTGCGCCCCGGGGCATGTCCAGCTCCTTGGCCATGCTCAGTAGTCTCATGTCGCTGTCGGGGATGGGCCAACGATTCAGGGACATCCTCAGCAATCTTCGCCAAAAGGAGGACCCCTCTCTGCAGCTTATTGCCCTGCAGGAGCTGTCAGAGATCTTACTCGTGTCCAACGAGGATAACCTGGCAGGGACATTCGCACCCGAGCAGTTCGCTAAGGAGCTTGTCGCTCTCATGCAACCCAACGAGATCACAGGAGAGGAGAATCCAGAGATGATGCTTCTCGCCTGTCGCTGTCTGGCAAACCTTATGGAGGCCTTGCCCAGCAGTGCTAGTCACGTTGTGTTTGCCGGAGCTGTGCCCGTTCTGTGCCAGAAGCTGCTCGAGATCTCATTCATCGACCTGGCCGAACAGGCCCTGAGCACTCTGGAGAAGATCTCGTACGAGTACCCGACCAGCATCATCAGGGAGGGTGGCCTGACGGCGTGTCTTTCGTACTTGGATTTCTTCGCGACAAGCACGCAGCGGACGGCCGTCACCACAGCTGCCAACTGTTGTCGAATGATCCCGGAGGATACCTTCCCCGTCGTGCGAGACGTCATGCCCATTCTCCTGAACGTCCTTAACAGCAGCGATCAGAGGGTCGTCGAGCAAGCATCCAAGTGTGTGTCGCGCATTGTCGAGAACTTTAAGGGCGCCCCGTCCAAGCTCGAGGAGCTCATCGACGTTGATCTTCTCAAAGCGATCCTTCGCCTGCTCCTTCCGGGAACCACCAACCTGATCAGCCCGGACAACCATACCAAGTTCTTGCGCGTTTTAGCCATTACGGCCAAGGCCAGCCCGCGCCTCTCGGCCGAGCTCTTCAAGATGAACGTCGTGGAGACATTGTACCAGATATTGACTGGCGTGTCCCCACCCAGTGGCACCGAGGATGTAGCTGCCAAACTGGACAGCGTCTTGATCATGCAGGCCCTTATCCACCGGCCCCGCGAACAGATCATCGAGACTCTGAACGTCATCTGCGAGCTTCTTCCCGCTCTTCCTGGATCCGCCGATCCGGCCTCGGGACAGTTCGTGAAGTTGGAAACGGCGGATCCCAGTGCTTCGCGAAAGAAGTCGACCAACGATAAGCGAGTTGAACTCTTGGCAGGTTGCAAGACCGAGGTCCGGCGTTTCGCCCTCATCCTGTTCCCTACCTTGACAGATGCGTTTTCCAGCACGGTCAATCTCAGTGTCCGCCAGAAGGTGCTGATGGCCCAGCTGAAGATGCTCTCTAACTTGGATATCGAGATTCTGGTCGAGGCTCTCAAAGCTGTGCCTTATGCTTCTTTTCTTGCATCCATTCTGTCTCAGCAGGATCATGACTCCCTAGTCATGTACGCATTGCAAGCGACCGAGTTGCTTATGAGCCGACTCGACGAAGTCTACCGCTACCAACTCTACCGAGAGGGCGTCATTGCCGAGATTACAAAGCTTGCCGCCGAACAGCCCGCGATCGAAGAGATTGATCTGCCTATCCTCACTCCTCGCCCTCCGCCGCCAGTCGTCCCGGCCTCTCATGATTCCGAGGACCATCATTCAGATCACGAGGACGAGGACGGAGAGGAGAACGACGATCAGGCTGGTGAGGCTGAAGACGAAGATGGAGAAGACGAGGGCTCCGACCATTCCTCTGCTGACGAGGACAACGAGCACGAGCACGATAGTGACGATGAGCACGACAATGAGGAGGGCCACGGGAGCCAAGAAGAGGACAACGAGAATGAGGATGACGACGACGATGAGGAGATGTCCGGCTCCCCTAGCAGTGATTCTATGATGTCCCTCGATGCTCCTCCCACGCGCTCCATTGTTCGACCTCCGTCTCTTCGGCACCGCATTGTAGAGGTATCCAAGCAGTTCCTCGAGACCCACGAGACAGAGAAGCATGGAAAGGCCATGAAGAAGAAGGCCAGCAAGGTTCTGGATCGTCTCTCCGAGATTGCCTCCCAGATCGAGGCCTTCTATCTCCACCGCTCGTCCGCCAATCTAGCCCCTGAGGAAGGCCAAGAGCTCTTCAAAGCTCTGGCATCCTTTTTCGATTCGGATGTCTTGGAGAGCGTGACTAGCGCCGAGCTTCTTGCCTCGAGCGTTGTCCGTGTTCTTGAAGGGGTGTTCAGTAATCCCGACGAGTCTTTGGCCACGGCTGCACAGTCTGCGTTTCTCCAAGTCTTCATGGGCTATTCAGTCAGGTCAAAGCCCAAGACTGCGACTGCCGACTCCCCGGCAACGCCTTTCAGCGTCCTGATCCACAAGCTGCAGGATCTTCTGAGCCGGTCAGAGCATTTCGAAGTCCTTACTGTTCACCACAACGCACTTGATGGCAATCGGAGCAGTGCCGCTTCGATGCTAGCCAAGCAGATTAGACTGAAACTGGTGGCTGATGACGACTCGGATATCCCCCGCGCATATCGGAGCATCATGGTCACTATCCACGCTATCGCCACGTTCAAGTCCTTGGACGATTACCTCCGCCCCCGGATCAGCCTTTCGGAGCGGCCGCGCAGCGTTCGCCGCGAGAACCTGTCTAGAGCGCTTGCTGCTCTCGCCGGCAGTGCTGGTCTCCCGTTTGGTGTTCCCTCGGCATCAAGACTCGGAGAGCGAGCTCCCCCGCAGATACCCGGTTCCAGTCCGTTCTCTTCTTCCGGTCCAGGCCTCGGGTCCAGCACTCGATCTGCTCGCAAGTCTACTCCGCGTCCAAGCCACGCGCCCGAGACGCCAGCGCCAGCTTCTGCCTCGGCCTCTACGCCAAAGGAGAAGGCGAGCGTTCGTCGGTCGACGCGTCGTCACCCCGGCTCTACTGCCACTCCGCCCCCTCCACGGCCTCCTCCGGAAGAGGACGACGATTTGGAGAACGCACTGGAGTGTGCAGACGAGAAGCAGCTCTCGGACGACGACGAGGATCTCCACGAGAGCGGTGCACTAGATACCGTTGTTGGACAACTCGATGAGGACATGGACGACGAGCCCACATCGGACCCGTCGGCTGTCAACATGGAGGTGGCTGCTGGTGGTAAGATCACAGCACGCAAGGAAGACGGCACCCGTATTCCCACTCCATCGCACGGGTCTTCAGCAACGCCATCGCGAGCTAGCGCCTCCGCTGCTGCTGCTGCACAGAGCACCCCCACGCCTTCTGCGTCGTCGCGGCCGTCCTATGCAGCTGCTCTGCAGGCTGTCCCTCAGGACTGGCACATCGAGTTCAGCACCGATGACAAGGTGATCCCCAACGAGACCACCATTTATCGAGCGGTCCACAGCTCGTCACCATCTGAGGAACAGGCTGGCCGTAGCGTCTGGTCAGCTGTTCACTCCATCAAGTTCCGCCGCGTGCCCGGCCCCCCACCCGCAGAGACCATTTCTTTCTCCACCTCTACAGGAAACACCGAGGCAAGCGAGGGCACTACGCCTGAGACCCTTGCGAAGAACCCTACATCGGCATCGATCCTACGCCTGCTCAAGATCCTGCATGACTTGAATGCCAACATCGACGACGTGCTCGTCGAGAACAAGGACGCTGTCAAGCTCAATATCGAGCCTCTGTCCCAATTTGTCAACACCAAGCTCACAGCCAAGCTAAACCGACAGCTTGAAGAGCCTCTCATTGTGGCGAGCAACTGCCTGCCTGGCTGGAGTGAGGATCTCGCCCGGCTCTATCCATTCCTATTCCCCTTCGAGACGCGCCACCTATTCCTGCAGTCTACTTCCTTTGGCTATGCCAGGTCTATGAGCAGATGGCAGAATGCACAATCTCACGAGGAGTCCCGCCGAGATCGACGAGACGAGCGGCCATTCCTTGGTCGTCTGCAGCGGCAGAAGGTGCGAATCTCGCGCTCCAAGATCCTCGAGTCGGCGGTCAAGGTCATGGAGCTGTACGGAGCATCCCAGAGCATCCTTGAAGTAGAATATTTTGAGGAAGTCGGCACTGGTCTAGGACCGACTCTGGAGTTCTACTCGACTGTTTCCAAGGAGTTCTCGAAGAGGAAGCTCAAGCTCTGGCGCGATACGGACACGGATGCCGAGAAGGAATTCGTTGTTAGTCCCAACGGTCTCTTCCCCCGGCCTCTGAGTGATGAGGACGCAAACGGGCCCAATGGTACGCGCATCCTCGGACTGTTCAAGGTGCTCGGCAAGTTTGTTGCGAGGTCCATGCTTGACTCTCGGATCATTGACATCAACCTGAATCCCATCTTTTTCCGCATCGGAGACGAGTCGTCTGGTGTCCGTCCCTCCTTGGGCGCTATTAATGTCGTCGACCCCGCACTTGCTCGCTCCTTGATGCTCATCAAGAAGTTTGCTATGGCCAAGAAGGACATTGACGAGGACCCTCACCGAACTCCGGCGCAGAAGGTGGCTGATGTGCAGAACATCACTGTCAACAATGTTGCGATTGAACAACTTTCCCTGGACTTCACACTGCCTGGTCACGCCGACATTGAGCTCATTCCCAACGGCACTCAAGTCAACGTGACTATCGAGAATGTGGATCTTTACCTAGAGAAGGTTCTCGACATGACTCTTGGCAAAGGTGTTAGACGCCAGGTCGATGCCTTCCGTACTGGTTTCTCGCAAGTCTTCCCCTATTCCGCTCTCAGCGCATTCACGCCTGATGAGCTCGTGACTCTGTTCGGGCGTGCCGAGGAGGACTGGTCTCTTGAGAGTGAGTAAATACCACGGGCGTTCTTTCCTGTCACTGAGGGCCATGGTTAACCTGCTTCGCAGCACTTATGGATTCTATCAAAGCCGATCACGGATACAACATGGACAGCAACACTGTCCATAATCTCCTCGAAACAATGAGTAAATTCACTCCGCAAGAGCGTCGAGATTTCCTCCAGTTCACGACCGGTAGCCCCAAGCTGCCTATCGGAGGTAAGTAGCTTAATTCAGATATCTGAGATCCTGTTGGTCATGCTAATACTTTAATTTTCCCCCAGGTTTCCGAAGCTTGACACCGATGTTTACGGTTGTCTGCAAGCCAAGCGAGCATCCATACACCCCGGACGACTACCTCCCCAGCGTCATGACATGCGTCAACTACCTCAAGCTGCCCAACTATACCGACATCAGCATCATGAAGAAGCAGCTTTCCACGGCTATGAGGGAAGGCCAGGGTGCTTTCCACCTCTCGTAAGCGCCGCCGGCGCGCACTAGCCGCACAAATTTGATACACTGCCCTCGTGGTTAAATACAGTACAACTCATCACAGCTGGGACATGAAAAGGGGGGATGGATTACTACAGTCTTATCGGCATGACATTCGCCAAGGCATCGTGGAGGCAATCTTGGTGCCGTGGTCATTGCACAAGGGACAGGACATGAATGAACTATGAATTGCATGGGGGACACAAAACTGCGTGGAGGGACTTGTCACATACATTTTTTCCTTGGCGCGGATGAATTTCTGTTTGTTTGCGTCCTATCTTTACCAACCCCCTCTGCGCGTTTCTCAATTTCCATGTTTCTTTTTTCCTGGACTCGGGATCGATTTGAGCGATGCAATGGAGAAAAGCGGCACGCTCAATGTATGAAATACCTTAACCTAGCTCTCTCCATAGATTGGCAAGTTCTAATGATGGTCATTACTGATAGCGTTATACTGGCAGTGTTTTTGCCTACGCCTGCACGCATGAGTGGTGATGGCTTTTTGATGCTTCCGCCGTGTAATGTTATAATCTGTTGGTTGTCCGGAATGTATGTGTTTCAGCACACGAAGTCTGATTCATGGTATCGTGGGTTTATTTGACTACATGGCATGGTCTATCAATCTCGCATTCTATCCAAGGTGTACAGACTATTGAAGTGAGACTATGCACCTCAAGAGCTTCATGAGACCCTTGTGGCCATGCCAGCCACCGGTCAGAGCCGCGGCAACGAACGAAGTGGCGGCTGTCAAGATGGCCATGCCGGCGTGCCTGCCAGCGCCGTACTTGTCTCCCTACCCGCAAGCAGACGGCGCTGATGGGCCTAAAGACACGAAGTACAAGTCTATTGAAAAGAACTCTTGATGGTGGTAGGTATGGAATTTGTCGTGGGATTCGGCGCGAAGAGTTGATCCTTCTCGAGGGGGTTCTCGGACATGCAATTAGCAGGGATCACGGCGCTGATGTCATCCTTGTGGCGGGGCGCCCCGATAAGGTAAAACGCATCCCCACGACGCGTCTCGACGCGTTCCCTTACACGCCTCTTTAGCTTGGCACACACACACGAGGTTTAAGTGGTGCCACTTCACCACTGAACCCCGTTAAGTGTATTCGCCATGCCCGGACTGGTCTTAGGCAGCATTGAGCAAGTTAGATGCTGGTGGAGTCATCCTGCCTCCCATCGTCACTGCTGGCTGCAAGTGTGAAACTGCTGCAGCTCCCCTCCCATCCAGCCAGCATTGAGCACTCGCTGGTGCTCTCTCCGTACGGACCACCGAAAGATGCCTCCCCTCCCCAAGACTCGTTCCCGCACGTCTACCCCCGCCACTGCACCCGTCCCCAAGGCGTACCGCTCCTCACGGCCTCCCCAGCAGGCGCACTTCCCCGGCCGCACCAAGAAGATCAAGACATACGGCCGCAGCTCGTCGGCAAGGACCGCGCGGCAGCAGACCCTGACGCAGCTCAACTATGTGATCCCCACGCAGGAGGAGGAACAGGACATGGACGTTCTCGTGGGCGACTCGCCGGTTCGGGGCCAGAAGCGCCGGAGGACCATGGGGGACAGTCCGACGTCGTCGTTTCACACGCAGACCCTCACGCAGCTCATGTCGGTCAAGGGCGAGGAGTCGGACCAGGAGCACCTACTCAAAATTAAGGATTCGGAGGACGAGGGTGGCTTTGGTGGCTTCGATACCGACGACGACGATAATGAGGAGAAGATTGTGCAGGACTCTATGAAAGAAGAGGACTCTATGAAAGAGGAGGACAATGAGACCCAGGTCAAGACGGAGAGCAGGGAGATCTCCGTGGTGCCACAGACGCCGGCCGGCAAGCGCATCAAGACCGAGATCCCATCTTCTCAGCCCACGCCCTTCACGCCGATGCTCGAGAGGTACACCCCCGGCGGCGACATGAGATCTCCGCTGAAAGAGAGGTCGACCAATGTCGGCGCGCCGCTATCAGCCGAGAAGATACTGTCCAAGACGCCGAGAACTCTGGTCATCGAAGACTCGTTCTGCACAGTGCCGAGCACGACGCACAGCGAGGACCGTCCGTCACCGGCACACAGGACCCCCCTGAAAGAGCTGCGGCCCTCACAGGTGCGAGCACGCGTGAACCTCGAGCTTCAAGCGGCGGGGACGGACGAGAAAAGGAGCTCGCAGGACGAGATTCCCGACTCCGACGACGAATGGGGTAGTCTGGGGCCGACGCCTCAAAAGTCAGATCTGAGTAGTGATATACCCGATCCGGGCACACCTACTCCTCGGCCTCGAGAGCGACCGACTGCCCGGTTCACAACCGAAGAAACTCGGATCCCCCCAAGCCCGGTCGCAAATGAGAGCACAGAAGTTCAAGAGGACGAAGAAGACGAAGAACCCACCGTCCTGGACTTGCGCACATCAAGCCTGTCGCCACTTGCGAGGAAGCAGCAGACCATCATATCGAGCAGCGCCGATATCGAGAGGGAAACGCCGATTTCTTCCCCCCCGAGGGCCCCTTCATCTTCTCCCAAGGCTCCTCCGAACCGCACGCCTGTGAAGCACACCCCCGCCAAAAGCCAGTTTTTCAGCCAGGGTCTCGAGAGCCAGCGAGTCCCGCTGGAGATCATCCAGTCCCTGGGCCCCGTGGAGCACAAATCCGACATCATCATCTCCGTCCACCCGCAGCACGTAGACAGCATCGTCAACGGCACCAAGAGCCACGAGTTCCGCAACTACCGGATCCCGCCCTCGGTCAGCAGGTTCTGGATCTACACCACCAGGCCCGCCTGCCAGCTGCGGTACATGGCCCACGCGGGCGCCTTCCAGCGGCCCGGGCAGATCGACGGCGGCAGCGGGGTCGGCAACGCCGAGTTCAACGCCGGCAGGGGCGCCAAGTACGCCTACGAGCTGCGGCAGGTGTACGAGCTCAACAACCCGGTCTCGCTCGACGTCATGCGCCGCAACGGCTGGGTCGAGGCCCCGCCGCAGACCTTCTGCTACGTCCCGCCCGCCGTGGCCGGCCAGCTCCTCGGCAACCTGCGGTGCGCGCTGTTCGACGACGGTGGCGGCGGCAGCAACGCGCTGCTGCAGCAGCAGCAGCAGAGCATCGTGGACATGTCGATATCGCAGGAGGTCGAGGCGCAGCTCAAGAGCGATATTGCTCACTCGACGCAGCAGCCGCAGCAGCAGCAGGCCCCTTCCTCCCCGCCCTACGGCGCTCAGCACGCGATCCTGGTGCCCTCGAGCCAGGGCCAGGAGCCCCCCGGCACGGCTCTGCCCTCCTCGCTCAAGACGGAGGGGACTTCGTTGTTTGCCCGCCCTTCGCTGCCGGCGAGTAAGACTGGCTCGAGCAGCCAGCGGAGGCCGACGACGGCGGCGGCCTCGGGCTACGTGCGTCCCTCGCAGGCGACGACGGCGAGCCAGCCGTCGAGCCAGCAGGTGCCCCTCTCGCCCGAGAAGTCGTCCGTCCCGCGGCCGCAGACGGTGCTGTCGAGCATCCCCCCTTCCTTCCCCGAGGATCTGCTGGACGACGGCGACGACGACGACGACGGCGAGGGCCCGCTGCGCCGCGGGGCCGAAGAGGAGGCGTCTGGGCTGCCGTTCTCCATGGGGTCGTCGTCGCAGCTCGTGCTGCCGGACAGCTTGTACGAGGACGTTAGGAAGCCTCCTGTGCTGCTGGACTCGGAGGACGAGGACGAGGATGAGTGAAGTGGGGCGTGACTGGACTGTAGCTTTGTGAATGCTGTGCTTGTGTGATTAATTAGGCCTAGCTGGGGACCTGGCCCGTTTTCGTGGTATATACTTTGTTTTTGTAATGACGAGATCATGATCGAGTGCATCAAAAGGGACCTTCTATCGAGATATCATAGACTCGTTAAGCTTATTTTTCTACAGAAGATAGTACATATGGTACACAGCGCCGCAATTCTATCTCAGAACGACGCATCTCTATGGTCTCCTTGCCTGCGGCTCTGTGACTGTGGTTGGGCGATGGCGTCGAACATATCCGCCGGCCTCTTCCACGGCCTGACCCTGCCCCTTCTCGCCGGTTCTTGTTGCACCGGGTCAGCCGTAGTCTCGGGGATGCCCTCTTCCCTCGGCACGCCAAGATCAGCCCTGACCTCATCACCGCTCTCCTCTCCCGCCGCCGCCGCCGTCTCCTCCTCCTCTCCGCGAGAAGGCGGAGCAGCCCACTGGATCTGGTCAAACGGCACGACCCTGCCCGTGCCCAGTAGCGGCGCAGCCTTGGCGCTGCTGACTTGAGCCTCGGCGCCTTGGCCCTCCACGAGCCCGGCGAGCCGGCAGATGGCCAGGCGCGCGCCGGCGACGCCCAGCCCGCCGGCCCGGGGGTCCCCGGCCCCCGTGACGAAGACCTCGGGCTCCCACCCGCCGCGGCCCTCCTTCCAGCCGGCGACCTGCGCGGGGGCGGCCTTGCGGCGGCCCCTGCGCTCCGCGCGCCGCAGCTCGTCCCAGACCTGCACGCAGCGCTTGCGCAGGAGGGCCTCTGGCGACTGCCGCTGCTGCTGCTGCTGCTGCTGCTGCTTCTCTGCTCCGCTACCTGCAGCAGTAGCGACGGATGAAGAGGGAGGAGAAGACGAAGAAGAGGAGGAGGAGGGTGGGGAGGATGAGACGAGCTTGTCGGCCTTGGTCAGCACGACGGCCGTGCGCACGCCCGCGTCGCGCAGCAGCTCGAGCGCCAGGCGGTCGCCGTCCTTGACGCCGGCCACGCTGTCGACGAGCACGACGGCGCCGCGCAGCATGGCCCGGCGCGAGAGGTACTTTGCGATCTCGGCGCCCCACTCCTCGCGCGAGTGCAGGCCGTAGCCGGGCATGTCCATCACGACGAGGCTGTGCTGCGGCGCCGGCTCCCGCTGGTGCGCGGCCGTCCGGCGCTGGGAGCGCGTGGACCTGCCCCCCGCGCTGCTGCTGCTGCTGCTGCTGCCCTCGCCGTCGCCGTCGCCGTCCTTATCATTGTTCGCGCCGGACGGGAGGAGCGGCAGCGGCGGTCCGAAGCCGTACCCGTTGAGCGTCTTGGTGCAGCCCGCCGTCGCGCTGGTGACGGCCAGCCCGGCGCGGCTGCGCTTGGAGCCGTGCGACCTGCCCGCGCGGCCGCGCGTCTCGAGGCCCGAGAGGGCGTTGAGCAGCGTCGACTTGCCGACGTTGGAGCGGCCCAGGATGCAGACCTCGGGGATGCGCGTGTTGACCGGCAGGTTCAGGAAGCGCGGGGCCGAGTAGAGGAACCTGGGCCGGGGCCGGAGGAAGAGCGAGGTCGCCTGGTCGAGGGCCCTTGCCGGGGGTTGCGGGGCCCGGGTTGCCGTCGTCGAGGTCGTCGGCGATGCGGAGGGGGAAGGGATGTAGGATACTGAGCGCTCTGGGAGGGTCGGGCCTCCGGAGGACGGCTGTGAGGGAGAGGAGGAGGAGGAGGAAGAGTGCAGTCGGAGCTGGTGGTGGGAGAAGGTGATGGTTATGAGCGTTGGTCGTCGCGTCGGAGGGAGCGCCGGGAGACTTGGTATAGTTTTCAGCCGCATGCTGGGCAATGTGTAGAGAACCTGGAGCTCTTGGTCAGAGCCGCAGGTCAATTGGCTAGTGCTACACGGAAAAGAATGGACGCTGAAGGAGCTCGCAGGTCATGCATGTGATGGTGAGAGACTTGGTGTAGCTCCCATCAGATAAGATAAATATTTCCTTGGGCCGCGCGCCCCCCAAAATTTTATGTCCCCGTCGCAAACCGGGATCCGGTATCGATAAACGCTTCCCGAATTTCTCCAACATAGAATCCCGCATCCAGCATTACCATCCCGCCACATCGACAACCACAGCTTTGAACAAGACCACCACCGACACATCCAACACATACGCAAAAGGAAAGGAATAAAACGGAGGATGTCCCACCCCCAGGCCCCGCGCCTCCGCGCCCTGTACCGCTCCCTCCTCCGCGAGCTGCCCCCGCGGCCCATCCTCTCGTCGCCTCGATCGCCCATCCACCAGCGCCTGCGCGACGGCTTCTTCTCCTCTCCTCCTCCTCCTCCTCCTACCTCCTCCTCTTCCTCCACCACCAGCAGCAACGCCAGCACGCCTCCCCCGGACTCGGGAGCGGAGGCCTCCGCGCTCGCCGTGGGCCAGGCGGAGCAGTACCTGGCCTACCTGCGCGCGCAGCGCACCTACGTCAGCCTTCTGGAGCGGTACAACCCGGGCATGGGCATGGACGAGGAGGAGCGCGTGCGCCTGACGGCCCGGCGCGTCGGCATGGACCTGCCCGTCGAGTACGGGCTCGAGCCCGAGAGGAGCGGGGAGGGCGGTAGCGGTTCGGGGAAGAAGGAGTAGTAGTTGAGGCTCATACAGACATTTGTATAAGGCAATGGCATTATCTCGCAGGCCAGGCCGGCGCAGAAGACGGAACGGAGGTGGACGAAACCGAGGGTGGCTCTCGGCGGCCAGGCTCACCAGAGGAAGCATGCGGAGTAGACATATATATACCCAGACGTGAAGAGGTGACGAGGATCAATTCGTCCCTGAGAAGTCTCTTGAGTTTCAAGGGACCAGCAGGCCGGTGTCCCCCGAAAGAGCAGGAAACAGGAATTTATCAACTCCATGAAGGGAGGGCTCCAGAGTAACCTTCACAGACACAAGCCTGCTATCCAGAGTCCAGACATTGAGATACGGCAAGGTCCAATGCCAAATGTACAACATGTATAAAAGAGTATATACAAGAAAAAAGTATCCTAATCTACGAGATCCAGTGTATCGCTCCCAAATCGTGCTTCAATGTTCCTTTCTTCCCTTGTCCCCATCAACCATCAAATCGTCATACACAGGAAAAACGAACTCATCGCTAGAACATAGGGGGGTATCAACTCATCTCTCTCTCTCTCTCACTCTCACTCACACACACACACACACTCTCTCTCTCTCTCTGTGTGTGTGTGTGTGTGTGTGTGTCTAACCGTCTCAGCCACTCTAATCCGCCAGCCATCAAAACCTCACCCCCGAAGCCCCAACGCCCTCGTCCTCAAGACTCTCGTCCCACCCGCCCGTCTCGAGCAGCCACTCCCCGAGCCTCTCCTTGACCCCGCCGATCGTGCCCCCCAGCGCGTCGCTCCACTGCTCCTGCACGACCCGCACCTTCTCCTTGAGGTCGTCCGTCAGCCGCCGCTCCTCCTCCCGCCTCGTCTCCTCCACCCGGCTCCGGTCCCGCCCTTCCTTCTCCATGACCATGGCCTTGGCCGTCGCCAGCGCCTCCTTGACCTGGTGCAGCAGGCACAGCAGGTTCGTCTGGCTCTCGATGAACTGGTACGAGCTCTTCTCGGCGTGCAGCAGCAGCGAGAAGAGGTACTGCATCGGGTGCTGCCGGTAGCTCGGCGTCTCGTCGTACTCGTCGGCCGGGATCTGGATGTGGAACCCCTGCAGGTCCTGCGGGATCTTGTCCAGCACCCGCTTCAGCGGCGGCGCCAGGTCCCAGAAGGCGCTGAGCTGCACCTCGACCCCGCGCATCGCGCTCTCCTCCACCACGTCCCGGAACTCCTGCGTGCGCCGGAACACCTCCTCCGAGAAGGCCAGCGCCCGCTTGGCCGCGTCCTCGGCGAAGAAGGCCTCGGCCGACGCCATCTTCTCCTCGTTGCCCGCGAGCCGGTATGGCGTGATGATCATCTCCTTGTACCGGTCGTTGCGGTCAGACAGAAGATCATAGATGGCGCGGTGCAGTGTCTCGCGCGCTTCAAAGATCCACTTCAGCAGCGTCAACTTCTCGAGGAGTTCTGGCTGTTCGTCGCCTTCCTCCTGGGGCATGTTGGGGTTGGCCTGGCGGGTCTCGACGAACAGTCGGCCCCGGAGCTCGTCAAAGAGCTCTGTCGCCTTGGCTATGCGGGCCGTGAGAAGCTCGTTCAGAGGCATGACGACCGCATTCTGGAAGTGGTCAAAGTCCTTTCTTTCCAGCTCCTTCAGCTGGCCCTTTTCAGCGTCGTTCGAGTCAGACTCGATGGCGGCCGCTTCGCTGTAGCTCATGTTCCCGCACGAGATTTCGCGCTGGAGGTTCATCCTGAGCTCCTGCTTGCGCTTCTTGGCGGCCTCTGCAGCTTCCTCGCGCATGGCTTTGCTCTTTTGCTTGAACCGCTCGTTGGTCGCCTCGATCTCGGAAAAGTCCGATATCGCACGCACGGCAGTCCGGATCGAAGTCAGCTCCGGATGGTTGTTGTTTACAGCTGGGTGATGGCGCGGATAAGGAGGCGGGAGTGTGACAAGCCGCGAGACATCCATGTGGCTGGCGTTTGGCGTGTTGGGCGACGAGATAGACGAGACGAGAGAGTTGCGCAGGTGAGACTTGGGAGTGCTGATATTCTCCTGGAGTTGATCGTGCCACCCTGTCTTCTCGGGCGGATACTCGCCTGTGGAATCCCTCTTGCTGCTGCTTGCAAACGAGCTTGGCCGGTCCATCCACTGCAGTGCTTCGCGTGCTTCTTTGGGCACTCCCATGTATTTCGACTCGCGCTTTGAACGCTCCAGTCTGCCGCCTGGCACGCCATTCGAGTCCGTTTCCCACCATCTGCTCGACGGCCTCCCTCGAGAGTCGTCCTCATCAACATTGTCGCTGACGCTCATGCTTAGAATCGGCGAGAGAGAGGGCATGTAATTCGACTGGTAGTTGCCCTGGTTCTGAGGCCCAGTCACAGGCGACAGCGGCGGGAGGTTCGCAGACGCTGGCGCCGAGCTTGGTCCGCTAGACGGGCCTGCCTCCCGCGACACGGAGCCGAACGAGCCTCTGTGTGACCGGCTCGGTTCTGACGACTGAGGCGTGAACTCCGGCGCGCTGATCTGGGAGTTCACAGACTCTCTCCTGGCAGCCATCGGTCTGAACAGGTCCCTGGTCAAGTCAAAGATCTCGGAGCCCATCGCACCAATAGCTGTCGAGTATCTCTCGCGCCGGATCCTTGATTCATTGACGATGAAATCTGCAAAGAGCCGCACTCTCTCGGCGTCATCGGCAGCGGCTGTCTCCTTGTGTGCGAATGCCTTGTAACGCTCAATGGTACCACGGCAAAATTGCTCGGGAGACTGTTTGACTACCGACTCCTTGGTGACTAGTCGAGGTGACTGGGGGCCTGGGGCGATAGGCTCGAGGGTGAGCCTGGTTTGTGACGATGATGCAGATCTTGTATGTGGTGGGGGAGTTGGCAAGGCCTTCGGGGCGATTTGTCCTGATGGACCCGCGTTGGCAGCGTATGGCTTCTGTGGATGCGGAGAGAATGGAGGCGTAGGTGTTCCGGGGTGTGTTTCTGCTTGAGACGATCCCGTTGCACGAGGCGTGATGTTTCTCGAGTCTGGATAGTACTCCAGCGAAGCGGAGTCCCCAGACTGTGGTGTCTCTTGGTTGCCGCGTCCGCTCCTAGGGGTGGATTTGTTGATGGTCAGCTTCCTCGTCAGTCCACCTGACGGCGGGATGACAATCTCGGACAGCCGGTGACCTTCTAGTGACCCATCTATTGAACCTCGAACACCGTGCCGTGTGCGACTCTCATTCCGCCTTGCTAGCAGCGTCTTTTCGCCCCTCACCGCCCCTGTCCTTGCCAGACCGCCAGCTGGACTGGACCCTGAAGCGCTGTGGTCTTGGCTCGAACTCGGACTGCCAACGCTGGAGATGGACTCCTCAGTCGAGGTCTGAGCCGGCGAGCGACTGCGCGCATCGCTGTCGTCGACCCAATCTGCCGGTGTGGGTGGCACAGGCCCCAGCTCCGCTACACCCGACGGCGGCGGTCGTCTCGTAGGCGGCGAGACTATGGGCTCACTCCCGCTGCTCGGTCGCGACGCACTCTGAGATCGAGACGAAGCAGGTGGAGGACCGGGAGGCGGGGGTGGTAGCGGCATGCCGGGTTCCCATCTTAGCTGCGATGCGGATCTTGACCTCGCTGATGTCGGGGTGATGGTTGCTGGGGTAGAGACGGCACGACGCGAACCGGGAGGTGCATTCTGAGGAGCCTCAGCTGGTCTCGTCTGGGGTATTTGAAGTGTCAACGGGACGGGTTGTTGGCGAGATGAAGTTATCGATGTTGGCATTTGGCGGGGCGGTTGGATATCCGGCGGCGTGATTGCTTGCTCTTCACGCCTTCGACCGAACGATGGAAGGCCAAACCGGCGATCACGAGAGGCCCCTCTACCGCTCGACCCCGGAGGCGGAGCAAATGCCGGGTTCGCATTTGACTCTGGCGATGGTCGGAGCGAGCCAGGCAGTGGCGCTCTGCACGCAGATGTGTTTGCGGCCGGCGACTCATAGGCGACACTGACCGGTCGTTGACTGCGAGGAGGCGAGTATGGTGGTGGAGGAGGAGGTGATTCTAGCTACAGGTCAGTCAAAGGTCTGGTATTAGAGCAGTTTGAGGGGACTTACGCTGCGCATCCATCAGGGCATGCTGTCTCTGATCCGCGGCGACAAGCGGTGACCCCATCCATTCTTGCGGATTGTACGGTTGAATGGCACTCACCGGGGTCTGAGCAGAGAAGGGCGTATTGGATGTATAAGAGACTGCCGACACAGGCGTTCCAGCTTGGTTGTGATACCCGCCCACGCCCAGGGAGGTGGTCAGTAGCGGATTGAGCCCGGCTCGTAGTCTCGACGTGGGGTCGCGAGCGCTGCTCATCATGGTCGAAGATGTAAGTGGAAAGTCCACTGACCCGCAAGTCGGAGGACTCAGCACTTCTCAGAGTCGACTTTGCGTCTAGTTCTCATAAAGGTAAATTCGTAGGCCGACGTCCGATCGCGAAGATAGCACACAGTCGCTGGAGAGAAGCCGTCGCCGGTGGCGCCTCTTGTGTACTTGGTCCCAACCTGAAAGCCTGCCTCTGTCTACTGACGCTTGGCCAGTCCAAAGAGATATCGTTCGACTCAAAGAGATATCTTGGTTAATCCATCATACCCTGCTTCCACCTCTTGTCGACAGAATTGGCCAAGGGGGAAAAGCGTCGAAAAGGCAGCCTCCTGCGCACCACGGACACGGTATCGGAGGTGACCACTGCAAATAACAGAGTCAATGCCGGATCCAAGAGTGGACGAGGTGCAGAAGATAAAAAGAGAGGGTGGTGCAGAGCGTGTGGGCCGCAGGACACAAGGTACCCCAGGCCTGGACCAGCCAGCATCAATCAAATCTCGGCGTGCGGGAGGCGGCACCCCCGTTCAGTGCACCCCTCTGGCGACACCACCCGGGATGGATGAGCAAGGGTGGTGAGGGGCAGGCCTTTTTCGACTCTTTCACTCTCTCTCTACCGTACTGTACCGTCTCGAGGGACGATTGTGTGTTTCCCTTGCGGGTGCTGCGTTGGCCAGGATGTTCGCCCGCCGGCCGCCTGGAGGCAAGCAGGTCGGTCCACTGTCCGGCAATCTGATGTAGGTGCTAATTAAGCAGTGCGACCTATTGTTCTTGCACGCAGGGGTTGTTTTCAAGCAGATCCAGGTCTGGGACGGGTCGGGCTAGAGGCCAAAAGCACCGAATCGGTTGGCCACGGACAGTGAGCACTTGGGTGGCAGGTTGTTGCAGGTGGTTCTTGGGCCTTGTCGTGATATGGCCTCCCCAAATGCACGATCAGGACGGTGAGGATCTGCCTCACACTGCTGCAACTCTGATCCCCTTTGCATGAGGGTTGGATCAGGAGCAGGAGCCTTGGCTGCTTGGCACCGCGTGATTTCCCCTGTCTGTGTGTAAGTCTGGCTGGCGATCACCCAACTGCCTGCATGGCTGCACACCACGATAGACACAAGTACACAGAGGATAGGTATCTGATAGTTACCTCCTTGTAGAGCGGGAGAGGGAGAGAGCGGGGGCACGTGGGAGTGTGGTCGGTGAGTCTGGCATCTCCGCCTGGCAGCCTCTGGCTTTGTGCCTGTCCCTCGAGATCAAGGGACTCGGCCTGACCTGACGGGAGGTGATTGGTCTGGGCGGAGGGTTGCGCATGTGCAAGACCAGAGACAATCTATTTCGGGATGGCAAGACAAGCAAGACGTTGACAGGCCGGTCTCTGATTGGGCAGGCCCGTGTGAACAGACAGGGGAGGCACCCCTGCCGGCGCTTAATCGCCCCTGCCCATTCGGCTTCGATCCACTCAAGGCAGTCCAGAGGAGATGGCTCTAAACCATTCCGGGGTTAGCTATCAACACCCCTGAAGACTTTCCTTTGACTGGCATGGAACACTCCAGCTTTCTTTCAAGATTTGCCTTCACCCACACCTGGATGCTCACAGCAAGGCCCGGAACTTTCCAGCCATCGCGAAGAACAACCGTGAGATGCAGATTGGTAGTTGTACTTGGCCAAGCTCTGACTCCAAAGGCCATGCAGCCTATCTGCTGGCTGACTCAATCTCTCCCACGCCAGGCACAGCACCGTACTTGAGATCGACCAAGACTTCACCACTGCAAGCAAGCCAAGATGACACATGCACCGAGTGCTGAACACGGGTAAATCAACAACGGGCCGGGAGCACGCAATTTCGGCCCCAATGCAAGATCAATCCCGGATCTCGTTAAAGCTCAATGCTCCGTTCCGTTCCACTCCCAGGCGGTTGTATTTTTGGTGGCATAGACCGTCCTCCCCAGGAAGAATCAACCGCAAACTGGGTCCTTTCGTGCCGTGATGCCCTTGGCTCGCCCTGCTCTGCTTTGAAACATCAGACACCGCTCAATCAAGACTCGTCGGCAGTATACTCCATAGAAGCTTCTTTTCCTCTTTCTTCGATCCATGACAAGTTATAAATAGCGTCGGGCCCTCTGAGGGGCCCTTGGACGGGGGGGAGTGGACCCGAGCAAATGCTGGGGATTTCGAATCACTATCACAGGCGACTGCATGTGAAACGCCGCCGTTGGTCTACGTACACAAGCCTCGCTTCATTTGCTCGATGCGGAAAGGAGGCGTTGGTTGGCTTTCGCGCCTCACCAGTCGCCTCTGTTCAATTACACGCGCCGGCGCGGGTGATGCCCCAACGCCTTTGCTTTATATAGAAATACTCTTCTACTCGTCACATCCCCCCTCGTCCATCCTCGCCGATATGTGCGCGTGCGGGATATTCCAGCTGATCCCCGTGACTAGGTAGCTTGCATGTCGTCGACCGATGATGTACGTCTCTCTCGCCAAGCCAAAGCCACCAGTCCACCTGAGCCTCATGTCCCCGCCGGCTAGATGCTATTCCAAGACCGGAAAACATCAGTTCCGTCGACTTAATGTATAATAGATGTACGTCTCCAGGGTTCCCTGCTGAGTGATAGTCAGATTAGTCCACGAGCTCTTAGTAAAGGCACACGACTATTCACCGAACCAATCGATTTGGGCAGTGGGATAGCCTGTATGAGTTCCATAGGAATGTATGTATTGTTAGCATCGAAGCATCTCCTGACTTACTTCCGCCAATTATTCAGACCCCCCGCTTGCCCGTCTCAACAAGGACCTTACGGCACATATCTCTGAACGCGTACTCGATATTAGAAAAGAACGACTGGATAAGCTTGTCATAGGACAGGCCGCTGTGCGAGAATTAAAGATAGAAAGCACATTCATCCGTGAAAAGCAACATAAAACAAGTCGCGCTGTCCACCACTCTCCCACTCCCCACTCCACCCAGACCAGCTCGGAGACGGATACGCTATCTGATGAAACAGAAGCAGATCAAAGAGCTTTGATACGGCTCCCGGGAGACATAGTTTGCCCACTGGCTTCAGCCTCTTCAATCGACCCAGACCACACACGCCGTTCCAAACAAAAGCCAGCAATGAAGAGCGCCTATCCGTCCTGACCCGGCCTCTCATAAGGAGCAGAGATGCAGACATGCAGAGTCCCTCAGCCTCAATCACTCTGTGTCTCGCTTGCTAGTAGCAGGCTCGCGAAGAGCCGCGATGTAGAGATCGGTGATCTCTTTGTCAGTCTTGCTGTTGGCAGGCTCGCGCAGGGCGGCAATATAGAGGTCGGTGATCTCCTTGTCACGCTTGCTGTTGTCAGGTTCGCGCAGCGCCGCAATGTAGAGTTCAGTGATCTCTGTAGCACTCTTGTTGTCTACAGGGTCCGCGCTACGCTCTGCCTTGTGGTAGACGGCAGCGCGGGTATCGGCCTGAGCAGGTCATGTATGTCAATGGACTGGATCCGCGAAAAATAACTTGGTAGGTGCTCACAGACATTTGCAGGCGCCGCCGAGACCTCGAGACTGGCGAATGCCACAACGAGACTAGCAAAGATAGAAGGACGCATTCTGGCGATGGGGGGCGAGTGACTCTTTTGGGAACCTCACGAAGTTTGAGAAGATTGGTGATTCAGAGATGAGTTGCGGCAGTTAGTAGTAGGTAGAGAGCAGCGAGATTTGTCTGCCCATTTATACTACGAAAGGTTCTAGTAGAAAGACGCGGAAACCTCTAGAAGAACATACCGAAGTTCGTCGTAACAAACATGATCATGGTAGGCTATCTAATAAGCTCAGAAACCTACTCTTCAGCTGCTCATTTTCAGGTGGCTTTTAAAACTGCCGTGGCAGAGCATGCCGTCAAAGAACTTGAAGGGCGGCAATGTTGATGATGGAGGCAGTAGCGACATGCAATATTGACGATGGCGACAGTAGCGGCATAGCGATGGTCCAATTCGCTGATGACATTGCATAAGCCGTCTTACTGGAACGCATCTTTATGTCAGCGGGCGCAACAATCACGTCTCACACGTCGCAGGAAGATAGGCTATTGTACGGCGCCCGACGATATCTTACTCCGAAATCCTCGTCTACACGATAGTCACTGCATAGCCTAACCGACGTCTGACCCGGCCTGTCTCTCCGATTGTGGTCCCCGACATCCGCTTGGTCTCTCCATCCTCTCTTTTCTATCTCTAGAAACGCAAAGTATTGGGTCTTCAATTCAGACACAATCGATATCAGATGATTAGAGTTGAGTTGAGAAAAGAGCAAACAGCGGCCCTTGACTTTGGAAGTCCAGCACAGAATTGGCGAATCTCTAAACCACCACGGTCTTGAAGATGCCGCTCTTTCCTTGTACTGTTCCTCATAGTCCCGTCGCGAAAATGGATAGGCACACGCAGGACGAAGACGAAGACGAGACACGCAGTTTCTTACATCACAGCTCGATTCAACAGCATGCCATGAGAAGACAGACCAGAAAACTTATCATCCTCACCCTCGTCAATGCAACTATGCTCATACTCACCGGAGGCCTGTTTGTCACCTTGTTGCATGCCGAATTCTTCGTCCGGAACGCCGACTTGCGTCGTGTGTCGAGCTACAGTAAGTGTGATCGAGATAGGGGTAAAATAACCTCATAATTGAACTGACAAACAAAGGCCCCGTTCACAACCTGGTCGATCTCGATATGGGCCTCGTCACCGCCAATGGCACGCTCTTCCCCCCCAAACACCCTGCCATCGGCCGGCAGATGCCCAACGACGCTGCCGACCTGCTGTGGGCCGACTGGGAACTCACTCGGGTCCTCCCCATCACTCGGTCAGACATTCTACGCATGGGAAAAGACCCCAGCACTGTGGCCAAGCTGGATGATGCCGCATGGGGCCTCGGCGACGACGCCTACGTCGCCACGTTTGACGTCTATCACCAGCTTCACTGCCTCAACACGCTGCGCCACATCGCCTACGGTTCGTATTACTCCAAATCAGGAGTCAATGCCACCGGTACGTCTATGAATGAGATCCACGTCAACCATTGCGTCGACATGCTGGTGCAGGCGCTCCAGTGCAGTGGCAATGTGAATCTTATTACGATGCACTGGGTCGAAACCCAGACATACCCGTACCCTGATATGTGAGTGTCTTTTCGGGCTGGATCTCTTGAGATACATAGCTTACACCTTAATATAGGTCAGTGAATCGGAAGTGTATCAACTTTGACAAGTTGACCCAGTGGCGGCGGGAGAATACGATCGATATGGACAAGTACGTCAAGGTGATGCAGAAGCCGGATGGTGTGAAGCAGCGCCCTGCGCCGGATGCCCTGTATGAGTTTCACGGCTTGGATAGCCCGAATCATCAAGGTGGTGCGAACCCTGGCGAGGATTTTAATTTCTAGCTGACCGCTCGGTCATCTTGAGTAGTTGCTCATACTCTGTATAGATAGATTCATTGGTCTAATAGAGCAGGCGGTGTCTTGATGACGCTGTGTGAAATACACCAGCTTGTTGGTGATCTTCTGTGCATATCAAGAGTACCATCAAGTTTCGTACACAAGTAGCCTCGATTATCAAGACCGTACTGCAACAATGCGCCATCAACTCCCACCTCCTCCCCGTCCTCTCATGAGCGTATGCGCATAATGCCACCCCTCCCCCATCATGTCCTTCCGGACGCGGTAGTTCCCCTCCGCCACCCTCAGGACCCCGAGGTCCACGTCCACGACCCTCATCCCCTCAGCCCCAGGCTCCATCTGGCTCCCCTCCACGACCCCGACCAGCGGCATCGCCACGCGGCTCAGCCCCCCCTCGTTGACAAACACGACGGCGATGCCGCTCTCGCACGCCCGCGCCACCGTCACGCTCTCGAGGAAGACCCGCTCGCACTGCGGGTTGATCTCCCGCGCCGCCCGGTCCACGTCGGACAGGTACCAGCAGCACGGCACGAACACCACGTCCGCGCCGTCGGCCACGAGCTCCCGGAACGCCTCGGGGAAGCTCAGGTCCCAGCACACCAGCATCCCCGCGCGCACGGCCTTCTTCTCCTTCTTCTTCTCCCCGCCAACGCCTTCGTCGTCATCATCCCAGGTCAGGGGCGTGTCGAACGCCGTGTGCGCGTCCTGGCCCGAGGACGTCAGGTGCGGGCGCTCCGGGTGCCAGAGGTTCTTCTTCTGGTAGGCGCCGAGCACCTCGCCCGTGCCCGCGGCGACAAAGTACGCCATGTTGCGGATCTCGATGCCCCGCCTGTCGGCCCTGCCGGCCTCCTGCTCCTCCTCCTCCTCCTGCGGCGGCTCGTCCGCCTGGCGACGGGGATGCACCTCGCAGATGGTACCCGGGACGATGCTGATGTCCAGCTCGCGAGCTAGGCCCCGGTACCGGGCCAGGTACGCCGCCGAGGCCCTCGTGGCGGAGACAAAGTCTGCGTGGTCGGGGACCCAGCCCGTGAGGTGATACTCTGGCAGCACGGCTACATGGGCGCCCTGGGCCGCGGCTTCGCGGATGTGTGCTTCTGCACGGGCGAAGTTGGCTTCTGGGTCGACCGGCTTGGGTGAAGCGAGTCAGTGAAATGGAATTGATTGGTTGTAACATGAGTTGTTGATGTGCGATCCGGGGTTGAACGACCTACTACTGACCTTGGGCTTAAGCTGTATCAGCGCAAACTTGTACACTGGCGCCATCTTTCCTTGTGTATGTCAGATCTAAAGGCTAGGATTCGTAGACAAGTAGCTAAATCGAACCAAAGTACGGTTTAGAAAGTCGCATGCCGCGCCAAAGCTTGAAGCCGGAGGGATGATGTCAGTCAGTTTTAGTCGGTCTTAGGCTGGATTTGCGGGGGGCCAGCAAACCGAAATACGAGCGGAACGGGGATATCAGATCATGAAGCCGAGAAGTGATGCTTTCCAGTGAGTCATTCATGTTTGTCTGGAAGACCGAGAGACGAAATTGCGCTTGATTTTCGATTTCTGCCAGACCACACTTTGAACGGTTGCATAATGAAGAGGGAATGATGTATCTGGAGTATTTTATATTTGACGTTAATTCGTATGTTCGCTGGGCCAGACCTCTCCGAGAGCTTAGCTGTCGCGCTGCCCTACGCTGCCTCTCTACCAATGCATCCCATAGACATCTATGGATACCAAAGAACGCGGCTCCTCAACCCCCTGCCTTGTCTATCCACCCCGATATATGCACCGCCCACCCTCACCCTAAACCATCTGCGCCGAGAACGCCGTTGCCAAGTTTCCTTTTCAATATTTTCTCCTAGTTGACTCACAGAATAGTTCCGAAGCTGGCGATGAAGCCGTTAGCAATGAAGACACACGTAGACGTTCTCTCTCTCTCTCTCTCTCTCTCTCAGATACAAGCCCGGAACAAACTCACCCAAAAGTCTTCTTGATGCTCCGGACATAGTACTCGTCCCAGTTGCGCTTCGTCACCTCCTCCTGGCCGACGGGCACGCCGCTCCACGTGACCCGCATGACCGTCACGCTGTCGACGTCGTTCTGGTCAAACTCGATCTGCAGGCGCGAGTAGTGGCCCGCGGGCCACTGGTCCAGCCGCCAGCTCTGCACGATCTTGGCCGGCTCCTCGAGCTCGAGGTACTCGCCGCTGACGTTGCCGCCGAACAGCTCGAAGCGCCCGCCCACTTTCGCGCCCTCGAAGACCTTGGGCGGCGCGCGCGTGAAGGCCGCCAGGCGCTGCGGGTCGGTGAAGGTCTGGTACAGCTCGGCGGCCGTGGTGCGGAACTCCTCCGACTCGGTGACGGTGGTGGTGTTGACGAGCTTGCCGCCGCTCTGCTGCGCCGCGGCCTGCTGCGCCGGCTTGGCGGCGGCGGCGGTCTGCGGGTGCATCTTGGGCGTCGAGAAGCCGCTCGAGGGGTTGGAGCCGGGGGCGTGCTGGATGTCCTTGCCGTGCTCCGCGATCAGGGCGCCGGGCAGCTGGAGGAAGGCCTTGCGCAGCTGCGGGACGAGCTTCGTCCGGACGAGGTCCTTGACGGGCTGCTTCTCTTTGGACTCGGAGTAGATATCGATGTCGAACACGAACTCGTCCTCCTCGGTGTCGTGGGCGACCTCGGGAACGGTGATCGTACCGGAGACCTCGTCGGCATCAGGAGCAGAGCCTGCAGGGAGAAGGCCAGAAGGTTAGCATAGGAGCATCCCCAGGACAACAAACGCCAAACATTGGCGAAGACTACGGGCAGATTGACACGCGATAAAGGTGGATTCAATTGAGGATTCTATGGGAAACGTACCTGAGTATTCCAGGACGAGCTTGACATCATAAATGGTTATAACCTTGCCCTTGCGCTGGCTGACGTCGACGTCGCCCTCCATGCTGACCACCTTGCTCACGCCGGCCTTGACGTCGCCATTCTCAACCTGGACCTTGGTCAGGTTGTCCTGGAACCACTGCCTGGCCCATTCCGAGACGTCCTTGTTGACCCAGTGCCAGTTGTTGGGGTTGTGCAGAACCATCTTGACCTGTTTTGTTCGGGGTTGTCGCCTCGGGGAAACGGAGTACGGAAAGCCTGCAAGCAGTGTAAGAAAGCACGTCAGCACCAATCGAAGTGAATTGTGGCATCTGCGTTCTCTCAAGACTGCAGGGAAGGGTAGGGCGATCAGGATCGGCTTGGAAGCCGCAGCATATTCTGTCATCAAAGGAGGGAGTACAAGTCACCCTATGACTGGTGCCAGCTGGTATCTCATCATGCAAATTGCCCGGTGGAGGAAGAGGTGAAAGGAGACGAAGGTGAGGCTGAGAGACGCAGAACCGTGGAGTGCACGCAGAACTTACCTGTCACCTGCAGATAGCAATGGGGGATTGACCTAGAAACGTAAGAGGTTGGGTATCAATTGTCTCAAATATGATGCGCACTGAGGGAAAAGGAAGCCAAGGAACAGTCAGGCTGGAGGAGAGAGTAAGTAGTAGAGAAAGCTATGGAAGATCGGCGCAATTCTATTTTGTTCTCTGCTTTGGTCGCTGAGGGGCCCAGAGTGGGGGTGTCGTCAGTGCCTGGAAAAACTCATCTTCCAGCAGCCTTGCAGGGGCGCCGACCCCACATTTAGCTCTGTGAGTGCTGCCGACCCACTCGATGGCGGCCAATGCGTCCTGCGCTATTAAACTCAGCCTCCCAGACCGACTTTCATCACTGTGGTGTACTGTACAACACCACACAAGCCATGACAACTCGGCCTGATTGATTCAACTCCCAAGGCAAAGTGATCATACATAGCAAATGCAGAAGGTTTTGAAACGAGAAATCCCGTCCATTTAAGTTATGCAGACATGAGATAAATACACCGTTCATAAAGGGGCCATACACAGTACACAGGACTTTGAGCATAACCTCTCGCTGCCGCCAACCAGAAAAGGCAGCAGACTGACTGCCTGCACACACAACAATGGACAAGTTAGAAAGAAGCTTCCTCCGTCATGTACTAATATTCAGCCCAACTCCCTTCTCACTTCCCCTGCCTCCCTGACCACCCCCTTCCCTTCCCTCCCCCATCTCTCTTACCTCCCGCCGCTCGAAAACGCCCCCTTGACCTCGGCCCTCGGCCACTCGAAGAGCACGTCGCCGCCGTACACGTCGGTCACGACGCGGCTGATCCGCAGCTCCACCTCGCCGTAGAACCGCTCGCACTCGCGCGTCACGCGGTTGACCAGCCCGCGGCTGAGGTTCGGGTCGTCCGCGTCGCCAAAGTGCTTCTCGACGCGCTTGCGCAGCGTCTCGATGCCCTTGCGCACCTCGCGCGCGTCGTACTGGCCCAGCACCTTGTTGAAGATGGACTTGGAGTTGCTCGGCTGCGCCGCCACGGCCCCGGCCGTCTTGCCCGACGCCAGCTGCGCCTCGACGTTCTCGAGGTGCTCCAGCAGCTTGCCCAGCGGGCGGCGCATCACGGCGTTGAGGTACAGGCCCATGTGCTCCGCGAGCTCGGCCGACGCCGCGTCGCGCCACTCGTCCAGGACCTCGATGCCGCGCGGGTTCTCGACCTCTTCCAGGTAGTGGTTCATGTTCTCGATCAGCAGGATGTGGAAGTTGAGCGCCTCCTTGTCCTCCGGGTCCGCCGAGCCCGCGCCGCCGACGGACACGGCCGGGTTCTCGCGGGCGATGACCTTGAGAGAGTCAAACATGGTCCGCAGGAGACGGTCGTACTCGCGGTCGATTGTGCGGCGGGCGCCCGAGTTGACGTCGACGCCGATGAGCATGTTCTCGACGGCAGCGAGGAAGTTGGGGAACGTGCGCATGAACGAGATGACGCCCTTGCGCTTCTTGATCTTGACCTTGGTCTCCTCGATCGCCCGGATCTGCTCGTCGACGAACCTTCTGAAACGGCCTTCCAGATTGCCGTGCAGCTTCTGCAGCACATTGTTGAGGTAGTCCTGGTTAGACTGGCTCATGTCTGTGAGCTTGCGTTCCAAAGCCGCCAAAACACCAATGCCTTGTCTGGACGGAGAGTTAGTGTACTGTAATCAAATCGAGCTTCACACGTCACAACTTACAGAGGATCTTGTGACAAAACCCAGTCCACCAAGTTCTGCAGATCTTGCTCCAGGAACGCAAAGATGACCTCCATCGCACGGGTCACCCGCCTAGCAAGCTCGCGGTCTGGCTCCATAAGTCTGTGTCGCTTCAGATCGCCCCCTCGCCTGTCCCGCGGCCTGCTGGCAGCGACGACGTCGGTAAAGTCGGCCTGCTCTAGCGTGGTCGCGTGGAAGAAGTCGACGATGAAGTTCTGCTCCATCTCCACGAGCGGCAGCAGATCGTCCAAGACTCCCGCAAACGCCTCGTACGGCAGACTCCTGCTGTCAGTCGAAGTCTTGTCCACGCTAACCTTGCTTCCCTCGCCAAGAGGCGACCTCAGGCTCCTCGCCAGGGTCTGGCTTCGCTTCACGGTGAGCTTGCGGGCTGTCGTGGCAATCCCTTCCTCCTTCTTCTCCTGCTGATAGGTGAAGAGGAGCTCTGCCTCTTCCCCAGTGGGCTTTCGGGAGTTGCGCTTCCAGGCATCGAGCGTCTCCCGGAATTCGCTCTTGTATAGGGGGTGGCTCTTGTCCTGGTAGACCTGGATGATCCGGTTCCAATTGTCGAGATCCACATCGCGGGCGTAGAGTATCAGAGGGCTGTACTTCCACAGTAGCTCCCTGCCGGCGTCGTGGCTGCGTGGGTCGACCTTCTTGGCGAGGGCTCCTTCCATGGCTCTTCTCGTCGAGGCGCAGGCCGTGTCGATTTGCGACGCCATAAAGGCGACAAGCCGTCGCATGAACGTGTCGCTCTCGACCATGTACATTTCCTTCTTCTCTTGCACTATCCTCATCTTGCCAAAGTCGCTGTTGAGCCCTGGCTGGTCACCGCTGGTATCCTCACTGGGCCTTGGCTCGCTGGTACCCATTGACGGATCGATCTTTATCATGGCCTTGAACAATGTGACCAGCGCTGCTTCGATCTCTTCGATACCTGCCGAAGTGTCCAGCGGTGCGGTGCGCAGCGACTGCAGATCCTCGTTGGTGATGGCACAGATATCCAACAGACCCTCGAGTTCCTTCTTGAGAAGTTTCTGGTTCGCGGCCTGCACTTGAAGACCTTGGCCCTGAGCTTCAATGTATGAAATGTCATCCGAGAGTGTCTATGGGTAACGTTAGTGGATGTGACTGAGCGAACTCGCTGGATAGATGGGGGCAACTTACAGATAACTCGACACTGTAGAGAGTCAGAAGATTATCGAGCTCCTCACACTCGGCAATCGCCACGTCGATGCCTTTCTTGATCGCGCCAACCCTTTCGTCCTCCTCCCGGAACCGCGCGAGCCAGCCACCGGCTTGTGCCTTGTTCAGCTCGCGCTCCACATCCAGCCTCATCTCCTCGTAGTTGTGTCCCCTCATTTGTCCCCCTGGGACCCATCCGAAGTAATCTAGCCATTTTGTAAATTCGCCGGTCTTGGTGTTCATGAGACTGGGGTCGACACCAAGAGTCGCCAAGTACTTCGCATCGTTGCCTGCGACAACTGAGCGTCGTGATTCCTGCTCCGGTTCTGGCTCTGGCGTCTTCTTGGCAACTTCCAAGATTGGTCCCTGAGAGCTGGAAGGGCGACTGCCACCTCCAGGCACCGTGATCTTGACTTCTGGCACGCCGGAATTCCGGAGCGGAGTCTTTGGACGTTCTTCGGCCTGAGGCTTTGGCTTATCGACCGAGAGCGGCCTAGGCGGTGCTGGGACCACGCCGGTGATACCGTCCGGTCCTTCAGCACTCTTGGTCTGTGCCGCCTGGCGTAGACGCTCTCCAGCACCCCCGGGTCGGGGCTTGAAAGCATTTGCGGCGCTGGCAGCCTTCCAAAAGGCACCGGCGATATCGCCTCTAGACTTCTTCTTGATCATCGGTCCAAGGCCGGGTCGTGTCTCCTCCTCTGGTGTCTCGGTCTTCTCCGTCGGTTCTTGCGGGGTGGCTGGGCGAGGAGTCGACGTTGCCGAGGCGGCCGACACGTTGGTGAACGAGCCGTTCAGCGGGGTCTTGAGAGGAGCAGGCATGTCGGCTGTGCTAGGTGGCTCGGATGCTGGCGTCGAGGTGCGTTCGTTGACTGGCGGTATCTCTGGCCGTGTGCTACCCGAAGGTTTTCGTGGTGACATGCGGTCCGAGCTGCGAGGTGGCACGACCGGGTCCCTGTCCCTGGTTCGCATCGAGCTCAGCGGTGCTGGTACCAAACCTTCGTCGTTCGCGCCCTGCGGTCGGGTCGGGTCCATGGGGGGCCGCTTCCTCTCTGGGGGTTTCTCCTCCGGTGCGGGAGTTTCTGCCAATCCAAACGCGCCAGTGCCATTCACCGGGCCATTCCTCGACCTTGGCGGTAGACTACTGGCATCATCGCTGCGGATGGTAGACGCAGCCACCGAGTCTTGGCTCTTGTTACTCCCTGCGAGGCGGCGTAACGCGGCTTGGTTGGCGGAGCGTCCAGAGTCGATACTCCCTGCTGGAGACCCAGGTGCATTCGGTGGTGCAAAAGGTCCGCGTGGTGCGGCGCGAGGCTCCGGAGTTACACTGGGAGCCCCATAGCTCCCAGATGCAACTGACAGGTTGCTCTGGCTTGTATTTTCTGGAGGTGGTGCCGGACGGGGTGGTGGCGGTGCAGCTGCAGCTGCTGGTACTGCTGATGGGGTTCCGCCTCGTCTTTGCACACCTCCGAGGATCTGGTCCAACTCTTGCTGATCGAAGCCAGCGAGCTGCGGCACTCTCCCTCCAGTATATTTGCCATATATCTTGAGCAGGCTGGCAATGAAAAACTTCTTCTCCTTATCCGTCTGGGCCTCCCAATAATATGGTTTCCCAAGCGACACGACGAATCCCACGGTGCCGGCCCATGATCGCTGATCTGGATTGAGGCTTGGGCTGGTAAAGGAGTCAATCGAGGTCAGGTCGTCGAGGTTCCACGTCTTGCCGATTGAGAAGGTCCCATTCGGATTTTCTTTGGATTTATGCACACGAACACGGCCGGACTTTCTCACAGCTACGATGATAATACGGGGCTTTTGCGTCTGCGGCGATCGCGCTTGGGGAGGGGGCGGGCTCGTTGGGTAGCTCGAGTACTCGGTGATCTTGATATGGGTGATGTATGTTTCAAGGACTGCAGCACGTTGGTTAGTCGGCGATTTGATCACAGAATCCAGTCGCGAATCGTTTGCAAGGCCTGTTGACGTCGCAAGCTGCATTCACGGATGGGATGGTCGCGAAAGGGACGGAGCTACTCACCCGACCCGTCTTCATCCTTCTTGTTGAAACAGCTGTCGATGATGCGTCGCTTTTCATCCTCAAACCTCTCGGCCCTGCTCAGCTCGCGGCCATTCGCGGTCGCCATAGCCGCGTCGCCTCACCAACGGACGCGGCGGGTTGTCTTCACTCCAGATGGGATGCGGATTTGCGCGGAATCACCAACTGGGCAGCACTCGTCGTTTCGGATGTTGCAGCATCTTTCGGCGGGGCCAGGAAGGGGCGCAACAGCATGCGAATGAGAATACCCGGCCGACTGCTGCACGGTGGTGTTGCGATAACTTGGGCCGCGCGATTGACTTTGTCTGGCTGGTCTGTTGTCTGTTGTCTGTCGTCGGGTGGAGATGTGGTGTCAAGTTTCCAGATTGCATGCGGATAATATTAGAAGCTTCGACGACGAGGTTGGCCATTCAATGAGGGTTCAGTCCCTCGGAGACGCGGCGGCGTGGGTTCAGCTAAGCACAGCTATTCATATCCATTCCATTCCTACTAACTAACTAGGTAGGCCGGTCAGCCAGCCCAAAACCTCCTGGATCAAATGGAACCCAAGGAGGGCCCACATGGAAGGTCTGTGCTACTTCAGTGGCTGGAGCGGCATGTCCCGTGATCCATCCCTTGTATGTTTCGCATTTTAGGGGGCTTCTTTAGCGCATCTTGGGGCATTTGACTGCTGTACGGAAGCTGGAGACTGCTGAAGCTGTATCCGGGGCTTAACCAACACGGAACTTGGATGAAGATATGCCGCAAATATGTCATCGATCTAGATGGCTACATTCAGAGACCTTTCCAGACCGCTTGTTCTATGGCAGGATGTGATGTGTATCCAAAATAACCCCACATGTAAGCTTCAGTGGTAGTGTTCAAGACACAGGAGCTTCTGTGGCTTTACTACGTCCCCGTCTCTCCACGGCCGGCATGTCAGAGTCATTAAAGCAATGCCCTGGCACCATGACGTCTATAAGATTGTCCCAGAAACCCAAATCATAGAGATTCTCGACATCCTTTAGTCTCCACACCTGCTCCCACTCTCCGCTCCCCTCGAGCTTAAGAGAAGGATGGGGCGGCCGGCCGTTTTCAGTCCTCACGAGCACCTGGTCCGCCTCGACCGGCCACCTCGTCCACATCGGCTCGACTCGCGGGTCCTTGGGATGGTCGGGGCCCATCTTGCGCTTGTAGGCGAATCCGTCTTCCATCTCGTCTTTCCAGTCAGACCATTTCATGCTCTCGTTGGTCGTCACTCCGGTATAGACGTTCCACATGTTGTAGCCGAGCAAGCCCCAGACCAAGGGGCTCGTCAGCAGTGCGAGCAGGCTCACGGCGCCAATGTTGATCCGCTCGTGGAGCCCCCAGGACCAAGCAAGGAGCCAGGCGCTCCAAGACATGGGGCTGCCGTCGCTCAGCACCGCCCTCCACGGCAGCATCGACCAGGTCGGATTGCGAGCCACGGCGCGCTCGATGACAAGGGACATGCCAAGGGCGCCGCCATAGCTTGTGAGTACAGCGGTCGAAAAGAGGCACAAAAGGAACCATCGGGCATTGTTGGCACCAACGCAATTATTGATGAAGACGCAGTGATGGTCCATGCGACTGATACAGCGTTTGCACACGGAGCAGTGCTTGGAACGGGCGGGTTTGAGAAGGTGGCAGGTGCGGCAGTCGGTGCCTGGGTAGAAGAGCGTGAAATCATAGGGATATTGAGACATGTGATAGGCGTGGTTGGATGGGTCGATGATTCCTGGGTCCGTGAAGGCGGCTAGATAGGTGAAGAGGTAGGGGAAGAAGACAGCCATGGAGAGGGTGAGCTTCTGGACCGCGCTGATGAGAGGCCATGCTAGCGGAACGGCGATGTATTGGGACACGGACAGCAGGAGAACGAAAAAGATCTGCTCAGTGTTAGACACACATTGCAGGTCACAGACGCTGACTTGGCTGACCGAGAGATACTCACTAGAACGGTTGGATGCTTATCGTACATGATGAATGTGCCGAAGCGGGAGAGCGAACTTGTGAGCCGACCAGAGGTGAGCTTCTGGTCCAAATCCATTACCGCTCGAGGGATGTAGACCCATATCAGACGATACAGCCAAGCAACTGGGGTCCGCCTGCACGAATGAACGAGAGTCAGCATGCTATAAATACGAGATAGGGAGGCGGAAGACTTTACCTCAGAGCAGGCAGCCTTCCAAAGAAGGCGACGAAGGTCATGAAAGAAATGGCCAGCACTACGGCTGCGATCTTTGCTAGGGGGCCCATATTGATGTTTTTGAGTCTTGAACCTCCAAACCCTGCATAATCAAAAGTGCCTAAGATGTTGAAAGTGCGGCAGAAGCCTTTTCAGCAGGCATAAACATCTGTCGATTCAGGTTCGGGGACGGTGATCTGCCCTTCTCGTTCTGGTGACTCAGCAATCGAAATCCAGCGAAACCAAAAGGCGGCGAGGCTGCTCAGCTGTCACTGATCAGCTCTGCCATGCATGTCATTCCACAGGCTAGGACGGAAGCGTAGCGTCTCACACTGAGAGTGAGACTGGTCACGACGCACTGGTGACGCGCGACCTGGGACTGGAAATCGCTCTGCTGAGAGGGGCGAAGCAGCAGACCGGCCGATCCCGATCCTTCCTCGAGAAAGCCGGTTCTCGTACTCAAATCTCCTCCTTCTTTTGTTGTTTCAAGGACCCCGATTTCGCGAGACTATTTGCTGACTGCCTGTTATGCGCACTCGGTGCTTTTCTTCAATCAAGATTGGGAATCTCTCTAAGCGTGCATAGAGGTTCTGCCAGTAGGTGCATACATTAGCGCGAGCGAGCGCCCCGATACATGAATGTGCTGACGTTTGAGGCACCAGCAAATTAAAGCGGAGCCTGGACAGAGCACATGGTTTCGCGAATGGAAAGAGCAGAGGTCTCCACCTTTGGAACCACACGTCACGCGTTGGCGTCACATTCTCAGACTCCGGCACAGTGAGTGAGTGCAGCTTCTGGTCCATCGCTCGGGGCTGATTGTGAGCTGTGGCCACGGGGTCAAGACGACAGATGCGATGAGTATTTAAGGATTTTACTGCCTCTCTTCATTCACTCACTGCGTTGAGTGGACTACGCTCTGGTAATTCGCCTCCTCGTTTCGACTGTTTGCCAGCTCATGACCCAAGCAACTCACCACGCAATATCAACCGACCATTCAATATTCGAGCTTGCCACGTCTCGTTTCCGACTTTGCATGATATAAAACTATCATACAGAGGTATATCTGGTATTCTCTAGCAGTTTGCGACCAAGCAGGCCGGCTGCTTCAACGCTTGAGTCTCGTCGACTGGTTGGAGGGTTAGGGTTAGGGTACCCCTTATCGCGCCTGGCTTGACAAAATACTGTCGAATGGCGCCCGGAATCGTTTATAGTGGCGTGGGGGGCGCTGAGGGCGATGGAATATTCAAGGGACTCAAGTTCTGGATCGCTCAGCGGGTGCCCATGAGAAGTACCTGGGTTGAGCGCATCGAAGTGAGTACGCTGTTCCCTACCTATGCCACTTAGTACTGACCGGATCTTAGAGCAATGGCGGTTCGGTCGTTAAGCTGGATAAGCTTGCTGACATGATCATTGCCGATCACAAGAGAAAAGATGCACCGCCAGGGTCATACTCGTGGAAGCTGATCGACGACAGCGTGAAGGAAGGCAAGTTAGCGGACCCAGAGACCTACCTGATCGGTCGTCCTCTCGGTACTTCGAGGCCAGTTGCATCATCACAACCCACCAAGGGTACACGCACGCCGTTTACCAAACAGGACGACGATATTCTTGTCGCATGGGTCATGCCCTATTTTAGAAGAGGCGAAAGGACTGCCGGCAATGAGATATACCAGCAGCTCGAACAGAAGGTAAGCCCATCAGCCTCGTCTGTGTCGTCTTTATATTCATGCTGATACTGACTTCTCGCCCCGTAGTATCCGCATCACACCTTTCAATCCTGGAGAGATCGCTGGGTCAAGAAACTGAGACATATTCACGAGACGAATGCGGCCGCGGCCAGCGGCCCTCAAATGCCACCGCCTTCGCCTGCTCCAGCGCAAAAATCTCCTTCTCGCCCGCCAGTCAAGCAGGCTTCAAAGAAGATCGCACCCGAATCCCGGGTCAAATTCACTGAAGAGGATGACGATCTCTTGCTCCTTTACGTTCGGGAGCGGGTTGGCGATAGAGGTATTGGTGCAGATGGAAATAAGATTTACCAGGAATTCGCCGAAGACGTAAGTCCAGCTCAGTCTGTCCTCCCAAGAAATCACACGTCTTGCTGACGGGAGACTTCATTTTTGTCTAGTTCCCGCACCATTCATGGCACTCTTGGCGCGACCGCTTTATCCGCCACCTGAGGCCACGATTAGAAGCTTCTGAGTCTCATGAGGAGGAAGCAACCTTGTCGCCCGCCAAACGCAAGTCGCCCCAAAAGACGCCGACGCAGTCTCCACAGCAGCCAAAGCAACCGATCTCTGCCACCCCGTCCAAGCATATCCAGCAACGACAGCATCAGAATTCACGCTCGCCAGCAGCCGCAGAGATACAGAACAAGGACTTCCAGCAGACTAATGAAACTGAGGATGCTGAGGTCGGTCTGTCGACAGAAGATGGTCAGCAGGAGCCTGTGGAAGACGAGGAGCATAGCTCCGATTTGCCACCAGCGGACCCTCGAACAAACAGACAACAATTCTTCGACGACCTGAAATCCTTCATGGAAAGCAACGAGGATTTTATCAATCTGTGGCCTCAGGTGAATGGCCATGCCATCGACCTTTTCGATCTGTACCAGAAGGTAACAGCGGACAACCCAGTCCCTGAGCACCGAAATTGGGAACAGATCGCCGAGGCACTCGACTTTGACTGGATCGAGGATCCTTCCATTTTGGGCAATCTGCAGACATGCTACGAGAAACATCTCGGCGAATTCGAGCTCGCCCTTCAAGAGTTTGAGGATATCGAACAAGATGACGAAGGTGATGGATCAGAAGAAGAAGAGGAAGCAACAGCATTTCCGCCCACGGCAGCCATGAGGTCTTCTCCCCCTGTTGTTACTGGCTTGAAGCGCTCCATGGAGATGGCAATGATGTCGGACGCCAGTCTTGACCCAGAAACCAGCACCAGGAAGCGATCCCGGCGTGATCCACATGGAGAGATTCCGAGCACGCCCGATGAGAAATTGGGCATTAGAAGGCCACAGAAGCTGGCGGCTCCTCTCCCAATGCCCAAGACACGCGATATCATAGCAAGCCCCGAACTCGATAGCGTCCGAGAAAGCTCCCAGCAACTGCCACCACGGACTCGGATCGTCCACCAACCACCGGTGGAGCCAGAAACTCAATGGTTTGATGCTCAGACACAACAGCAGGAAGACGATGTCTTTTTTGATGACGGGCTTGATATCACGCCTTCCCAGCAGCTCCGCTCCGAGATCGAGCAAGTCAGTCCTATTCCGTATCGGCTCCAGAAGCGAGACAATGGCTTGGCTTCCACAACGCAAGGATCAGGATCTGGGAATGGTATGTCTGAGAAAGCGAGAGGCAAATTGCCCGTGAGGGTCAGCGAGCCGTTGTCGAGGAGCCGAGATATGCCGTCGAGGAGTCAGAACGAATCGTCAACAGAGCAGAAAGCGAAACGTCGAACCTTGCCTTCGTCGTTTGGTGTGCCCCGACCTACTCCACCCTCGGTTCAACCACAGCCCGCCCGACATATACCAAGACCTACGGAGGACGAGGAAGAGTCGATGTTCGTTCAGGACGACGATCCTTCACCAGAGCCAGTGAGGCCTATGCAGACGGCTCCGCATTCGTTGACTGCCTTAAGAGCCGCTGCACTGCCAAACGTCGGGACTCGTCATCGAAGCTCTCCTCAACTTCCTCCCACAAAGACGCCCACATCGACTGAGCAGAATAAGCTCGCAGAGACCATCGACCATTTTATATCCATCGGCTATCCCGAGAACATCGTCATCCAGGGACTCAAAGCCGCGACCATGAACGTCGGGCTCGCGGGCTCGGCCATGGAGTCGCTCATGGCGGGCAAGGGGATCCCGACGCACCACGAGGGCATCTGGACGCAGAGGGATGACCAGGCACTGGAGCTGGTGGACTCGGCGATGGACAGTCACGGCAAGCAGTCGGAGAAGGAGATGAGGAAGATCCAGAGGGAGTGGAGGAGGTTGTCGTACAAGCACGGGGTCGAGAGGATCGAGGAGCGGAGGAAGTTCTTAAGCATGATGGATGCGTAGTTGGTAGTTCATAGCTGGTATAGGCGAGATTGTATTTCGTATCCGCAGTGCTGCATACCCCTGATGATGGACGTTAATTCTGTGTAGATAATTTGCTGCCTACTAGCTTTGGGGAGAGTGGAGGTGGTGTAATGGTACTGTTCTGTGATGGTTCGAGATATCAACGTTGTGCCGAGGTGCATGCTTGTGACAACTCGCAGAGTGCAGGCTTGGTATAAACGACCAGCCCAGATGATGCAGCAGACATAACGCCTACCTCACCTTGCACTTCACCATAGGCCTCAGATCTATCTCGCCGTGGCATACCCCCTATAATAGTTCAAAGCACGTCCCTATGTCAACCCTTGATAAGACTGGTTGGTTGGCTCAGTGGGATAGAGCACCAGCTTGCGGGGAGACGAACTAACTCACCATTGCACATCGGTGAGGAGGCGAACTCTTGACAAGACAGTACCGGGTTCGATTCTGGGTTCCGCCGAGATTTTTCAACTTTGTTTGATGAGGCGGTTCCCACCTCGAGGGGATGGCTCCGTCCATCCTTCAGGACGGGAGAATCGGGCTCGGAAAGTCTTTTTTTGCTGATCGAGACCGGTGACACCTGAGGTTGTTTTTTTCTTATCTTCTAGTGGTGAGTGCTTCCCCTTTTGGGCAAGATGAGGCTATTCACAGATCAATTTCCCATCACTTTTACCACTCTATGGAATTGTGAATATGAATGCCTTTGTTCTTTACTAAACGTTCATATTCACTCCTGCAAATACTACCAAGGATTTCGGAGGCAAAACAACACTGCTACTCACCGTGATCTGCGCAGCCGCCTTACAAGTAACAAGCCTGATCATTCGACCTTGACTACCGGCCATCTACACAATGGAAGAAAGGAATGAAACGGATTTCTTGGTGTTCAACTCTTTCTTCTTCCTTTTCTTCCTCCTTGTCATATTTGTTTACTTCGCCCCCTTACTTCCCCGTCGCGCAAAGCTATATACCCAACGCCGGCTAAGTTAAGCTTAGTCAGAAGAATAAAATGAAATACACCATGATGGCTGCTGCGTAGCCGTGTTAAAATTCGTTGGAGTCAGCATCAACATATTCATGCCACATCAGTTGTCGATTGGAACCTGAGGCATGTGGGATGCTGTTGGGTGGAAATGGAATTTCAGTGACTCACCAACACAGCCTTTGTCTCTTCCTAACACAGCACCATACACTCACTTTACCCTGCATCGGCCATCATGACAACCACGGAGGCATAAGAAGCTGCACGATATTCTGCTGTCTTTGCTACTCCCTGGTGGAGATTCTCTTGCTGCGGGAATTGTATAATACTTGTCTTCATGAAGGAGGCAGAGAGAGGCACATAGCACTCTAGTCACAATGACCAATGATCGAAGCCTTATGATCCCACCACTTGTACAGTAGGTTGGCACACAAATAAGTGATGGTCAGACTAGTTGACGGATCCGGTTTTAGGTCGTGAGACTACCCTTTGAGTTCCAGAAAACTAGAACTTGGCACCCATTGCCAGTATTGAGGTATCCCCTGATGAGTTTCCCCGACAATTCCGACCGCTTCGCAAGGTAATGCAGATGAAAGCTAGCTGTCTTTTGGTTTTCAGTACTTTTGAAAGATGGATGGAAGTTGGAATCCACCCATTCCATTCATCCATGGCAATGTCCACTTTCGCATGGCTGAAAATACGGCACGAGTGCGCTTGTGCTGGACGCTGTGCTGGATTTCCCCAGCCGCTGTCGAGCACTGTGGGTGGGGCGCTAGGGTGGCATCGGCGCCCCACCGGCGGGCACTAAAGAGCCGCCACGAGGAATGGCCCGCCGCCCGCCGCCCGCCGCCCTGCCACCTCGGCCATCCCCCACCAGATCTGCCACCCAGCGCTGCGATCCCAGCTCCAAGCCACAGCCCTTCCCCGGGGCAGGCGATGCACCGGACTCGAGAAAACGTACGTTGACATGCATTTTGTGTAGAGTATACTGCAGTTCGCGGCATTGAGGCGCATCTGCGGTTTTTTTTTTTTTTTGCTAGGGCAGCGTCGCGTCGATGTGGGCGGAATTTGGGCTGCTGTTTCGAGCAAGCATTAGCCCAGCAGCACCGAAATGTCTTCGTAATCACCTGCACCGGAGAGCAACTACAGCCACGGCCAGCAATAGGACCAGCCAGATGTTTTACATCCCATCCATCCCTTTGCAAGTTGATATCTAGCCTCTTCTAGATCGTCAGGAGAAGTGTTGGCTCGTGGGGAGCCTGGGACGGCTGGCATGAAGGGGGCGGATCCACGCCTTGGCCTCTGGCATGTGGTAAATGGGCTGGGAACCCGCCACGAGACTCGTCCTTCATAAATATCTGCAATTCTGTCTATGGAAGCTCTGAAGATTTCCCAAGACATTGGACTCTTTTGTTTATCAATGAGTACCAGACAAGATATCTGCATTTCCTTTTTCTTATCTGCGTTTTCACGCTGACTCAACATCATCACCGAGCAACAAACAGACATCAAAAGCCTTCCATTGTTCTGAAGTTCGACTGGTCGACTTCATGTTCTTTACTCCTTCGCATTAAACACATACGGAACATCATCAGCAAAGGCACTGGCTTGTTTTATTTGGCCTCATTTTCAGAATGCTTCGCCCTTCTTGCACCCTCGCCTTTCTCGCATTCTTCATCGCTCTCATCACAGCGCTTCCTACCGAGCATGTCCTCTGGAGCAGAGGAACCATAAAGAGAGGCGGCTTTCTCATGAGCGGGGACGATGGGAGCGTCTACGTCGCACCGGCAGCAGCCCCGGCGCCTGCTCCGGCTCCGGCTCCTGCTCCGGCCCCGGCTCCCGCAGCTGCGCCAGCCCCAACACCACCCCCTGCGGTAAATCCCGGACCTGCCGCGGGACCTGCCAACTACGCGCCTCAAGGGAACGCTCCACCCCCGAGTGGTGGCGACGACAGTGCCCAGGGCGCACCAAACATCGTCGCCAACGCCTTCACCACCGTCACCATCAGCCCCTTCCTCACGACTAGGACGAGTACAGTAGGGGGCAGTGTCGTCACTGTTCAGGCTCGCATCTGAATTCGGTTTTGTTCCGGGAAGTGACTTATATATGTATATCCTTTTGGGGGACTGGGTCTTCTGCTCTCGCACGCTGGCGTTTCCTGCGCGAATTGGTTCTTGTGTGTATATTGGCTTGCTTTGCTCTGCCTGCATTGACTGCATTGGTACCTGTTTATGAACCTGAAAAGACGGGATGGTATTGGTGGGACACGATCTCTTGAGCATACGAGTATCTTAGACTTTTAGATAGACGACGCGAGCAATTGTGCTTGTTTCAAAGCCGAGCGCAAATTACATCACTGTCGCTTCCATTCGTCGTCTCGTCGGAAGTGTGGCGCTACCAACCCCAAGATCCCTCCTCTACTTCATATGGCTGTCCCCCATCGTCTCCGTCGTCGTCTTGGTCATGATCTCCCTCAGCACGTCGTCGCAGTACTCCGGGTCGGGCCGGAAGTAGATGTTGCCCACGTTGAGCTCGACGACGAGGCCCCAGTCCCGGCCCGCCACCACGCCCTTGGAGTCGACGACCACGTCCTCTCCTCCACCACGGCCGACGCCGCCGAGCAGCAGCAGCATCTCGACGGCCCGCGTCACCGTCGACAGCGGCGTCATGTGCTCGGCCGCGTGCTTGCTCCAGACCTCGTCGCCCAGGAGCGCCGTGCGCACGGCCGCCGGGCAGAGGGCGTGCGCGCGGATGCCGTCGTCGGCGTGCAGCTTGCGCGCGACGGTGCGCGTGAAGTGCAAGATGCCGGCCTTGGAGGCGGCGTAGAGCGGGGTGAACTCCTGCGGGTACTGTTGTTTTTTAGTGTTAGCAGGCTGCGACACTGCTGTTTGCAAAGTTGAGAGAGAAGATACATGGCCGAGACAACTTACGATTCCGCCCACGCTGGCCGTGGTGATGATCGTGGCGCCTTGGCCCCGGTGCGGGCTCCTGCGGAAGTAGTGCTGCGCCAGGTAGGTCGTGCGGATCACGCCCTTGAGGTTGACGTCGATGCACGCCTCGTTGGGCGGCGGCGGCGGCGGCGGCGGGCCGTCACTGGCGTCACCAGCAGCGGTATCGTAAAAGTTGCCCTTCTCAAAGATGCCCGCGTTGGCAAAGACAAAGTCCAGGCGGCCCTCGGCCCGGAACACCCGGTCGAAGGCGGCGGCCTGCTCCTCGTACGACGAGACGTCGACGCGCGAGAAGGAGGAGCCCGGCACGGCGGACTCGGCGGCCCGCCCCGTGGCCTCGTTGAGGTCGAAGAGGTGCAGCCTCCAGCCCTTGGCGGCGAGGGCCTTGGCGACGGCGAGGCCCATGCCCGAGGCGCCGCCCGTGATGATGCCGATCTTTGGTGCGGGTGTGGCCATGGCTGTGGAGATCTCAGGAAATGAGGTAGGCTGAGATTCTGTTTACGAAAGAATGCAGAGTCGACTTTGTATAGGATAGAGAGTGTGAGAAATATGTTTTCCACGGCCGGATCTTGAAGTCGTTCTCACTGTCATCCGGCCGGAAGACGTGATCCGGAGTGGAGTTGCTGTGGTGCTCCGAGCACTCCACTTTTCCGGCAGGTTTTGTAAGTCATCGCATGGAACAGAATAGCACACGAAAGGCCTAGCAAATTCTCTAGAATGTCGTTGAATCATATTTAATGAGAGCAAGTCTACCCTAGCCTATCTCGAATATAGTGGCCTCTTTTTCAACGAGCTGAAATGCCGTACCACTACTGGTGGTCAACCCGAATCACAACTTTGGAGAAGTGCTTCTTCTGCTCCAACCGCCGATACGCATCCTTGGCCTCGGCCAGCTCAAACACCACGTCGTCGGCGGCCGGCTCGATCCCGCGCTCGTCAATGTACCGCACCGCGTCCCGCAGGTGCCGCCGGCTGCCGCCCAGGACCCCGCGCACGATGCACGTGTGCATCAGCGCCGCGAACAGCGGCGGCTGCCGGGCGCCGGCGTCGCCGACACCGCCGACGACGAGCACCACGCCGTCGGTGCGCACGGCCGCCAGCGACTGCGGTAGGGTCTCGGCCCCGCCGATGTCGATCACGAAGTCGAAGCCGCGGCGGCGGCCGGGCGTCAGGGCGCGCGCCTCCTCGCCCCACGACGGATTGCCGCGGTAGCGGACCGTGTGCGCGGCGCCGAGGGCCCTCAGCCGCGCGGCCTTGTCCGCGGAGGACGTCGTGGCGACGACGGTCGCCCCCGCCGCGGCCGCGAGCTGCAGCGCCGCCACGCTGACGCCCGCCGAGCCCTGCACGAGCACCCAGCTGTCGGGGCCGACGGCCCGCCCCCGCAGGCAGAACAGCGCGTTCCACGCCGTGGCCCAGGTGCAGGTCAGCGTGGCGGCGGGGAGCCAGCCGAGCGTCCCGGGCGCGAGCACGAGCGCGAACTCGGAGAAGACGCCGTGAGACCGCAGCGTGCCGTCGGTGCCCTGGCCCAGCATGCCGGCCGCGTCGGCGAAGGCCGCCTGCGCGTCGTCGCCGGCGTCGCGGGCGAGGTTGGGCGCGAGGTGCGTGACGACGCGGTCGCCCGGGCGGAACTCCGTGACGGCCGGGCCGACGGCTTCGACGAGGCCTGCGCCGTCGCAGCCTGGGATCAGGGGCGGGTTGATGGGGCCTCCGAGGTTCTGTGCTCTGGTGTGTTAGATGAGGGAATCCGACGAAGTAGACAAGCTTGCTGATGATGAGGAATTTCCAGTCCTTTGCTTACGGTTGGCGTCGGGACGGCTATGTCTCTGTGGTTGAGACTGGCAGCTTGGATCCGGACGAGCACATCGTGTGGTTGGAGGTCTGCTGCTGACGGGATGGGAATGTTTGTCTGAAACTCCAGGGAGGTCTCAAAGTCTATCTGGCTGGTAAGAACCCACTGGCGAGCCATCTTTCAAATTTCACAATAATGTTTGTGATGGTCTTGATATTGATTCCGAGCTGTGGATGAAACTTGGGGGAAATAGTTGGATCAAGAACACACGCTTGACTTGACTAGCCTCTCTTATATACTAGAAGTCACTGAATAGAATGTTATTAGAAATTCATTATAAATTCATAGCATCTGATGACAACCAAGTTCTCGATTGTAGACTGGATGTACCACATGTCGAAGCGAGTCGAGGGTTCGGCAACTCAAGGAGATGGAGTCGATCTGGTGAGAACTGGAGCACTTGCAGCGAGCCTCCGTTCAAGCTTTACTTAGCGCCAATTCGCATTTTCCTAATAGGGCTTAGTTCTGCCATTCAACCTACACCTTTGTCATCATGCTGATGCTCGTCATCTTACGAGGCCCGGCTTAAGATCACCGACGTCCTCGCGTCAATCCCCTCTGGGAAATTTCTCTTTCCCAAAGCGGGAAGACAAATATTGCTCAAGATGCAGTTGCTCTTTGTAAACACCACAAATGGCTCACGCCTGTCGCGGGAGCAGTCAAGGCGCATGAGGGGCCACGTCACGAAGGCCGCTTTCTCGGAAAGGCGGCGGCGGCGGGCCATGAAAGGCGAGATCCCTGACACGGCGGGCATGCCGCCAGGATGCCAGGTCATGGTGCCGTCGCCCCTCCGATCATCACCTGGCGACCCATCGCGTGCGCAGACCGTCACACTCCCGACGACGCTCGTAAACGCTAATCAAATACCACAGTGCCTTACAAATTGCTCCAGTCTACGATGGTCTGCTACTGGCACGATCCTCCAGCAAACTCTCCAACCCAGGCCTGTTGGATGGATTTCATAGTCTCCGAGCCTGCTCTCTTCGAGGGCACGCTGGCCGCCAACACGCGGCACTGGTCTCCTGACCCAGCCTCTCAACGACGAGCCGATGACCATGTGTCGCGGGCTATCAGCCTGGTCATTGACCGGATCCAAAAGGGCAGCGCACACACGGATGGCATACTTGCTGCCGTGGCCACGTTGGCATTCGGGGAGAGTCTCCTGCGCAACGAGGCGGCCTGGCAACTGCACATGGATGGCTTGGCCCAGGTTTTGCAGGACCGGCGATCGAAGGGGTTGTGGGAACTGCCAGAGTGGTTCACTGGCTTGCTCATCATGTATGTGCCAAGATGATGCTCTATTCACACCGAAAGCTGGACTGACATGGAGGGGATAGGGACGTGATGAACAATGTGATGAGTTTTCCTAGAGTATTCCCCGCTAATGTCGGCGAGCAGCTGCACTATCACGGGAACTCTGAACTGTCTCGAGTGGTTGTAATCGGCAGCAGGCTTGCCCAGCTCCGCCACATGCTAGAAAACTATCACGAGCGTGCGGACCACCAAGACATCCCTGTCAACGAGATCAACTCGACTGTTCGAGAACTCCACATAGCGGCCCAGTTTCTTGGCTCAAGTTCAAGCCCTTATGTCCGCGTTGCCTCGCTAGCTATCGAGCTGTATCTCCACTTCTCTTGGCCTGAACAGCCCAGTGCCGACCTCTCCTCGCTCGCCCGGCGTCTGAAAGATGCATTGCGCCAGCTCCCTATCAAGCCGTGTCCATATATGGACCTCACATCAACCTCATTCGTCCTGGGTCTGGTGGCAGCAGAACACGACAGCGAAACAAGACTGTGGTTTCTCTCGAGGCTGCGGGCAGTCGTGGCAGACATGGAGTCCCGCGGGTGGACACGCCCGTTGCAGCATCTAGAGCGGGCTATCGAGTCCGACCAGCGCCTCGCTGCCCGCTTCAAGGCAATATGGGATGACGCCAAGGACTGGGTGCCACCATCCGACTTCTCGTACAACCGATGATTACTCCTGACTGTTAGTCTTCTTCGAGCAGCGAGATTCGTTCTTCGCCTCGGGACGACCGCCACTTGTTGGTCGCTTCCAGGAGCTCCGGGCAACCCTTGATGGTCCAGCCCCATTTGCGAACGAAGCCCTCCGTCAGCTCCCAGCCCTCATAATGCCACGGCGGCGACCAGACAACTACACCGCACCTCTCGTCATCCGGGAGCGTGACAGTGTCTACAAGATCGCCCAAGAGGTCCCTGCCAAGCTCTTCTTCGTCAAAGGTGCCGAGGGCCCTGAGAAAGTTGTCACGCCAGACTGGGTGAGGCAGGCTGTCGACCCAGCGCTCATGCATGACTTTGGACTGCATCCTTGTGGGAGCCAATGTCGGAGGGACTGCTACGTTGCCGTTGAGAGGGACTGTGTGCACCGAGCCGTTGGAGCAGTCGTGAGGAGCACTGGGCACCAGGCCGTCGAGGAGCTGACCGTTGGTCAGGTACGCACGAAGCACGTTGAGTTGGATAAGGACGATCAAGTGATCAGAGGAAAGTGGAAACCGAACTCGTATGGGCAGCGAGCTTAGCTTTAGAATAGGTCTCCGGCCGTGGCTTGGTCCGCGGAACAGGGATGCTGGCAGGTGGATGACCGCCTGCTGTTCCTCGTCCCAGCATGGCACCGTATCCTCAGAGGTTGCAGATTTGGAAGTAGCTTGGAGGGCTTTACGGCGTCCTGGGAGCTGTCAGCGGCTTGGTGGATGTTGTGGAGTGCCGGGACTATCTCGGCTGCGAGACTACTCACGGTACGCCCTTGTACCCAATCTGATCTGTCTCCTCCTGCGGGAGGCTGGATCTGCCATGCCGGTCCAATTGTCGTCCAGATTCTTGGCCTGGAGATTGTTAGTGATGAGACCCAGGACCACTGCATGAGCGCCTACTTCTGTCAGCTGCGGCATCAGGGCTAGCTTGATTGGGGCCTGTGGAGGATACATTCTCGCTGCATTTGTCAACTTGAAGCTGATTATGAACCTGGGATCGTCATCGATGGACTGAGTTTACGATACGCGCACCCGAATGCAAACCGTTCACCATCCCTGCCAACCTTTTGTTGTACCTGTCGGCAATGCCCCCCTGGGCCCGGCGGACTTAATCCCCTGTCTATGTCCGGGATCGCATTCACTTCCCCATCTAGTAATCAGGGACAGCACTAACTCATTGCTGGTCTAGCTTCATGCAGCCTGTTCACATACACTAAACCTTAATCACAACCGTGTTATCAAGCGACGGCCAAGAGCGTCACAAGAGCACAGAATAACACGCGTTTGAAGATCTCCAAGTAATCGGGATGGGCCCTGGAGGGATCCTGTCCCGTGTCAGCCGACCAAGTGGGTGTCTGAATGGTTGACGGAAGTTCATCAGGAGCTACCTCAGTCTTAACAATCAATATCCTTGTCACATCCTTGCCCTAAGAACTCGGAAGGGCTATCCCACTACCTAAATCCGATGGGCTTGATAGATAGTCAAGTACTTCTGTTAGCAGTCCGTCAACTAATCTGACCATCACTTGGCCGACGCATGCCGCGGACACGGGCAGTCAACTGCCGCAAGGCAAGCTGCCAGTATATAAATATGTAGAGGCAGTGCTCTCTGGATCGAGCACTTTGCCCTAAGAAGTACAATCGCAACTGTTTCTCGAACAACCCAAGCAACATGACTTTCCATCCAGACTCGCTCCCTGACCTGACAGGCAAGGTCTACATTGTGACGGGTGGCACCTCCGGCATGTGAGTGCAGTTCCGTTCCTCGCGGTCCCTCCTCCCTTCGCCTGCCCAGATCTCAACAACTAACACCCCAACCTCCAACAGCGGCTTCTACACCGTCGCCCGTCTAGCCCAGCATGGCGCCCACGTCTACCTCTGCGCCCGCTCCGAAGCAAAAGGCCGCAAGGCCGTAGAGGAGATCCAAGCCCTGTACCCCACCGCCCGCGTGAGCACCTTAGTCATGGACCACGAGGTCCTCGCCTCCGTCGCCGCGGCCGCGGACCTCTTCCTCTCCAAGGAGTCCCGCCTGCACGGCCTCGTCAACAACGCGGGCGTCATGGCCGTGCCGCGCCGGCTCACCGCCGACGGGTACGAGGTGCAGTGGCAGACCAACTACGTCGCGCACTGGCTGTTCACGGAGCGCCTCCTGCCGCTCATGCTCGCGACCTCGAGGGCGCTGCCGGCGGGCGCCGTGCGCGTCGCGAACCTGACCTCGGGGGGCAACATGATGGCGCCCAGGCCAGGGGTCGACTTGGCCGACACCTCCCTGCGCGAGGGGTCGGCCATCGCACGCTACGGGCAGTCCAAGCTGGCCAACATCCTGCACGCGCAGGCGCTGCACCGGCGCGTCGGGCCGCGGCCGGGGCGCGATAGAGCTACGGAGGGCGAGGTCTGGACGTCGTCGATACACCCCGGCGTCGTCAAGACGGGGCTCGACGCCAAGGCGACCGAGGCGCCGTTCTTCATCGGGATCATCACGTTTGTGCTCAACGTCTTTGGGGCGCACTGGCCGGCCGACCGGGGCGCGTGGACGAGTGTCTTCTGCGTGGCGAGCCCTGATATGAGGGCCGAGCAGAGCGGGACGTTCTTCGAGAGGATTGCCAGGGCGGGCACGGCGATCTCGTCCAAGGCCAAGGACGAGAAGTTGGAGGCGAGGTTGGAGGAGTGGACGAGGGAGGAGATGGAAAAGAAGGGGTGGGTTTGAGGGTGAGGGGAGATGTGATTTGCGGTTGGTGTGGTCGTTAATTGTGGTGTGGCTGCAGTTGTTTTTCCTGGACGATTCTATCATGCGCACTTTCCACTCTGGCTCATTCGAAGCTATGATATGTTGTGTTGTTATATATCTAGCTGTTAGACCATATTGACATGCTTTCCTGATGTAGACACATCGCTCGAGTTCCAAAAGCTAGTTACAGTCTTCCACTGGGTGTAGAATCGAAGGCCGTCGGCGCCATAGAAGTTGGGAAGGCCGGTCCCCGCGACACTAGACTTGTTCCCTGTAAACGAGAACATGGGCAGTGGAACAGGAATCGGAACGTTGACGCCAACCTGGCCGGCCTGGACGCTCTTCTGAAAGCTACTTGCCGCAGGCCCTGACCGTGTGAAGACGACCGCCCCGTTGCCATATGGGTTGGCGTTGATGATCTTCACGGCTTCCTCCAAGGTGTCCGCCTCTAGACAGACCAGCACCGGCGCAAATATTTCTTCCTTGTAACACCTCATGTGAGGTTTCACGCCGGTGATGATAGTGGGTGCGACCTGCGATGAGAATCAGTATGGGATCGTCAACTTAAACAGGTCAGAGAGCTGCAAGGCTATAACGTACCCAGTTTCCACGAGGAAAGCCTTCTGGCGCCTTCCCGCGTCCATCTAGAACAATTTTTGCTCCCTCGACTTCCGCGCTGGCGATGATGTCCTCGCATCGCTGGCGGCTTTGAGGACTGATCAGCGGGCCGAGATCGGAATCTTTGGCGAATCCCGGCCCGACCTGGAAGCTTGAAGATACTTGGACCAGCTCATCAATCCACTCCTTGGAGCTGCCGACGAGAACGAGGGCGCTCAAGGCCATGCAGCGCTGGCCCGCAGCTCCAAAGGCAGCCCCCGCGATCGATTTAAGCGCGTGGGAGCGATCGGCATCTGGCAAGAGTGCAGCATGATTCTTCGCCCCGAGATTGGCCTGCACCCTCTTTCCGTTGGCGGTTGCACGGCTGTGAATGTACTCTCCCGCCTTGTTGGAGCCGACGAACGAGATGGCCTTGATCTCGGGTTCGTCGAGGAGGAAGTTGACCGTTTCGTGGGCGCCGTGGACGACGTTGACCACGCCGGGAGGCACGCCCGCCAGCCTACACAGCTCCGCAATGATCATAGCGGCGCCGGGCACGCGCTCGGACGGCTTAAGGATCAGGCAATTGCCGGTGACGATGGCGATTGGGAGACTCCACAGGGGGATCATGGCCGGGAAGTTGAACGGGCAGATCGCGGCCACGATCCCCAGGGGCTCGCGGTACGAGCGCGTCTCCATGTCCTTGGCGACTTCGAGGACCTGGCCCGGGAGCTGCGTGGTGATGCCGCAGGCCGTCTCGCAGACCTGGAGGCCGCGCAGCACATCGCCCTTTGCGTCCCCAAAGGTCTTGCCCTGCTCCTTTACGATCGCGGTGGCCAGGTCGTCGGTGTGCTCCCGGATCAGGTTGGTGAGCTTGAAGATGACCTGCTGCCTCTTCATGATGCTCGTCTGCTGCCACCCTGGGACCGCATCGCGCGCAGACGCGACTGCTGCTTGCAGCTCCTGGGGCGTCGATTTCGGGACGAGGGTGACCACGTCGTTCGTGGCGGGGTCGTGGACTTCCAGCCACTCGGTAGTTGAGGAGGGGACGAACTCGTTGTTGAGAAAGTTGTCCGTCTTGTGCGGCGCCTGCACCTTGTCGTGGTTGGCGCCATAGCGAAGAGACTCGAGGCGCTGCATCTTGGAAGCAATGAAGCCTGTAACTGTATGGGGGTTGAGAAGGTAAATGCAGTGCGGCCTAGTAGTGTAGAGGATGATGACCCATCCGGCATCGGACATTGGCAGTGGAGCGGCGTGAGATCAATCTGCCGTCCGCCAATTCAGCCGATAGGAAACACCCGATAGGAGCAAGGCGCGGGCGGATCTCCCTCCCTCGGACTGTTCCGATCGCAAGAAGTGCCGATGGTTCAGCATGTTTACTGGCCGTCCGAGCTCATTCTCCCATCATGTCGCGTGTGAAGAGCTGTTCAGATCCCTGAGACTGATATGAGATAAGAATGAAGCTCCGAGCCCGAAGCTGCCAATAGTAATATGAGACATGCAGCACCTACCCACATCTTAAGCCAACTACACATGTACGACATGATCATACACCATGTTCACGCCATCGCACGAGCCTATCAGCAATATAGAGTTCTTGCCCTTTCCGATCCGAGGGACTGTTGTCATTATCCGCACCTCTGAGGCCGCCGCCACCAAGAAGTGGCAAAGTCGCCAAGGTCAAGGCTAAAGAACAGGTCTGAATCGATGACAGTCTGCGAGAAGCCTTGATAGCATCCTGAAGGGCAGGGCGGCGTTAAATTTCCCCGGCAGACTGAGTAGCTAAAAGACATATCCATTCTTATAAAAGAAGTATATCTTGGAATGAAAGAAAAGTAAGGTCCAGTATGAAAACCTGCGTCTTGCCGCGCTGTACATATACCCTAAATCCGACTTCGTTCGGTCGGAGGGTGATTGGTCTAGTGGTATGATTGTGAGTGTGATTTGCCACTAAATTTAGCCCATTTCAATTAACTAACAAACAATAGCTTGCTTTGGGCTTATGGCAACTGCAAGAGGCCCCGTGTTCGAGTCACGGATCACCCCGCTTATTTTTTTTTTTCTTTTTTGCGCCTCCATACAACAAAATGCACAGATCCGACCTGGGAATACAGCAGCAATCTCTAGCAACTGCCCAGCTTTTTTTAGTAGTCTTGATGGCCTAGAAGAAGGAAGTGTTTTCCAGCCTGAGATGTTTATACATGAATTTTAAACTCCCTGGGAATTCGTCTCACGACGAACTCTTCAGGTGATATAACTCTCCTGTCATGACCAGAGCTGTCAGTTGGGTATCATCATCTTATGAGAGAATCCCATTAAGAAGCATGTACATATGCAATGTGCATTGGGTCTCAGCTAAATCAAAGGCCGGTTGGGAGATGGTATGATCCACAGTCCAGAAAACAGGTATGTGTTCACTTTGATGTAAGCTTGAAGCTGCGCACATCTATAGAGCAGTAGTTCTAGTCCCCAATTGTAACTTATCTACCCCCTACTTAAGCGCATCCTTGAATGTTCGTCCCCAATCTTCGACCTTTGGAATTTTTTTCTCGCAGAGTGTGTAGATATTTCACGGCAAAAGGCTGCTTTGTCGTCGCCACAAATATCTGTAGGAGCCTAGAGCGAAATAGTAGTCTTAAATCACGCTGGCCGGGACATTCCTGAGCCTACGCGCCTCGACCGCGATCTCTCTCCAGACCAGGATCTCCTCCCGGTGGCCCTTCATACCTTGGAAGCCCTTACGAAACTTGAGGATATGCATGCAGGAGGATGTGCGATAGAAGGTAGTTGTATTCAAGATGTCGCTATATATTATTTAGAAGATATGAGAAACATATTAGGGTATCCGCTGACAGCCAGGTCACGAATCGTCTCTGGCCAATTCTGGTCAACCGTCCCAAGAGCTGATCTATCGACTGAAAGGGTGGTTGTAATACCTCCGGATCAGCTCGTAGATGACCATGATACCGATGTCTCCCCGTATCTGGGAGGGCAACTTGCTCTCTGCCGCGAGCTGTCGGACGTATTTAGGCCATACGATCATCTCATGCTTCTCGTGTACGGTACCGGTGATAGCCAGGCCGAGACACGTCGTAGTCAAAGAAGTCCACTCGTCTTGTAAGGCATTATGCCCGGTCAAGGCTAGTCTCGATCTTTGTGCTTTACTGGCTGTCTTGCTTGTGTGTGCGGACCGCCAGAGCCCACTCCTGCTCCCAGACCTCATTTCGAACCTCCCTCCGGTCGAGCATCTGGCCGATGCTGCCAGTCTCAACGTCGGAATGCCAACCGTTCTCATATACACGGATGAGAGGAGGCATCTGGCCAGGACCGGCTGGTCCGGGAGCGAATGCGAATGACACATTGTCGTTTATGCTGACAAAGGTCACCTCCTGGAGATTGGGCAACCCATCAAAGAACTCTTGGGCGTGGTCGGGCAAGGCAATCCTACTGTCAGCAGCCTCCCAGCTCCCGTCTGCTCCCAGGGTCTTCATCTCCAGCGGCATGTGCAGCCGGACTAGGTTGTCAAAGCGAGGCAGCACGTTGATCAAGTCCTGACGTCCTGTTAGTCAACTGTATCAAAGACAGGGATTGAGGGAGCTTACACTGAAATTAAACCGGGGGTTGATCAGGCCTTGGAGCATGATATGCTCTAGGTCGGGGCACTTTCCATGCAGCTCTATTAGATTCAGTTAGCAATGGCCAATCAAGACAGGTACATCTAACTTGCCGACAAGGTCCTTCGGGATGAAAGCACTCTTCTCGTGAATCAGGCGCATCGTTCTGTGCTTCTTGATAGTTCTAGCGTTTGCAACTTGCCGCGTTGAGGTGAATCTGCCCTCAAGCGTGTATGTTCCAAACGTCTGCTTTGGAAACGCGTCGATAATGGCAGTGTACGAAGCTCTTGACTGGCTGCCATCTTCCAGATAAGCTCGGAGATCCAATGCCTGGATGTCTTCCAGATGAAGCGCCCACTCCTCTCTGTTGGCCTTTGTGCAGAGTTGCCTGAGCTCGTGGAGTAGGCCATCGTTGCAGTTCAGGAGCTTCAACTTGACCGAGTATACGTTTCGCAAAGCACCCAGAACAGCAAGGATCTCAAAGGCGAGGTTGTTTATCGGGTTATCGGCAACAGTCGCCTGGAGACGGTTGCCGTCGCCCTGGACAGTGAATTTGACGACCCTGTCGAACCATAGGTGTCAGTAAGTGTAGTCAAGACTTGAGAGACCCAGACAGTCATCAGGTGCTTACCTTGTGTTTTTGAGAAGCTCAGGGTCCCTCATCATGGCTGCCAGCTCCCGAGAAAGGCCGTCCGTCGTTGCTCGGACCCCGATCACCTCGAATAGGCCCTCATTCCTGGCCGTATTGCGCACAACCCTGCAGGTTGTGGATAGGTTGATGAGAGCACTCGTGGCTCCTCCGTCAACCCTCCGTAGCTTGTCAATGACTACTGACTGGGCCTCGGCGGGAAGGTTGAGGAATCTGAAGCTGGGAGTTTGAATAGCAGACATCTTGAACTAAGCGTTGGTTGTTGTAGAAAATGTCAAAGTGTGTGTGATGATCTGTTGAAGAGATGAGAGTTGCTGTATCGGAAGCTTCTGTGGATAAGGCGTGCTGTTTAGCTGATGAAAAGTGTATGATGTTATAAAAAAAGATGGCAGAGGAGAGAAATATGGAGGAAGATCGAGCTATTTATATGGACGAGACGCGTGGAAATAGAAAGGCAATCTTGAATGAAGTGAAAAGATAATTTCAGTGAAAGGGCACAGCTGGTGACTTTGCAAACCCATAGCCAATCCGACCGTGATAGAAAGACATCTGAATGAATACTGTAAGAGGTGTGGTGCAGTTGAGGTTGGCTTGAAAGGGACTAAGAGTGAGATCAAACTGATCAAGTTTCAAACAGGTTGTAATTGCAAAGACATACCCATATATATATAACAACAGTCCCATTCACGGCTTGCATGAAGTTGAAACCGGAAAAGGCATACTGAGTTTCAGTAAAGAGATATGCTTGCCCATTCACTCTTTCTCTTAAGGATGACGACTGTTGTTTTTGGAATGGTCTTGAAGAGGTTGATTGAAATCAAGAGAATCAAGGATAGCAGCGCTTTAATAATACAACATTTCTTCAAACGTTGTATGTCACTATAGCCCACCGTGATTGTGTTTGTGGTTCTGTGGCTCTTTGTTCCAAAGCTGGATGGCCAAACAACAAGGCTGTAGGCAAAGCCCTCAAAGTTTCTCCTTAGAACAATCTCCCAAGTCTTTGTCTATTAGTGGTGAAAACAACAAACGTAGCAACAAAGCGGCTTCTTTACCATGCCTTTGTCATAAAACAAATACATTTGGGAGGTTTCCCCACACTAATGCAATGGCAATAGTGTGGCCATTGTTGTTTTGAGATGTGAAGCCTCAAACATTATCCTAGGGAAGCAACACTGTTCAGGAGACAAAGCGGCAGTCTTCGATAAAGTGGAAACAGCCACTTCTCATAGCCACGACAGAGTTTGTGTCCCTTGCAGTGTCAAAGTTGAAAAACCTTTGCGCCAGAGACTGTTGAAGATGATTGGTGCGCGCTCTGGGGTCACCCCAGTTTATGCATGAGCTCTATTAGGAAGTTAAAGGTATCATTGTAGCTGTTTAGGGGACAAAATGGGTCTCCGCCATTGGGCAGCCCGGCAGCTAGCCGTTGGGCAACCTGCCAATCTGCCAAGAACCAACCACTCGGAACCTATTGCAACCGGCTGAATGACGTAAAGGAAGGGATTGGCAGAGATACGATGTGACAACAGAATGCACCCCCATGGACCATCTGCAGCCTTGGCCAACTTTATGCAGTCATGACCCCAGCTGGCTTAAAATCATATTTGTCACCGTGACAATGGATGCATGCATGTCGCATCACACGTCAGACTTGCTTGCTCGCGGGGGTTCTAAAAGCTGACAGGTCTCAAGCTTGCTAGGTTTAGGGCAGCTAGTCGAACGACACCGCCGCCGGAGCCTCGGCTAGCGAGTGCTAAGAGCCAGACCAGGGATATTTAGAGTCCCTGGAACCTGGCTACCGTCATGCTAGGTAAGCATGTTGTTAAGCTATGTCAGCCAGTACGAACTGTCCAATCATGCCCAGATGCGTTGTTCGTGGCGTGACATGGGTTTCGAAAGGTTGGGGGTTCGTACACCAGACCCAACCTTGCAATTGTGTGTCGATCGATTCCGACACCGAATTCCGAGCACCGCTTAGATCATGAAGACTCTCACCTGAAGGTTGGACAACTGGTATACATATATCGGCACTAGCAGCACCTCCTTGGCACTACTTGAACTTTAGATATCATAGACCATCCCATCCCCAGCTCCAGTGCCAAGCTGCTTCTCGCCTCGTCTTATCTTACCTCATCTTTCCCATTGCCTCTTGTAGTTGTATCTGGCAGTCATGGCTTCTCTCCAAGAACTCGGCGCCGAAGTGGCGAAGCTCTGCGAAGCTCTGGGGTCGCAGCTCAAGGCCGGCAACCACCCGGAGCCGTCCTTCGCCGTGGACGGACCGGAGAGATACCCGCACGACCCCGCAATCCAGATGTCCAGGTTCCAGCTCCTCGACAAGATCAGAGACCTGCTCTACCTGACGACCGGCCCCGCCGACTTTGCCTTTATGGAGGTCCCTCTATTTGTAAGCCGGTCAAATGGCCCTCCCTCCCAGGCACCTCATAGCATCATAGCACTTCATTCTCCGCCCAGCGAGCGAGTAAAAGAAACTAACACAACGAAACACTTCCAAAAGGCCCAACATGACGTCATCAACCTCAACGTCCTTAACGAGTTCGACTTCTTCGGCATCGTCCCCGTCGAGGGCGGCGCGAGCTACGCCGAGATCGCCGAGGCGACGCGGCTGCCCGAGGAGCTCGTGCGCCGCCTGCTGCGCTACTCCTTCACGATGCGCGTCTTCGCGCCCGACGGGCCGGACCGCGTCGCGCACACGCCCTTCTCGGCCTACGTCGCGCGCAACCCCATGCTCAAGAGCTGGATCGGGCACAACGGCGACGAGTGCCGCACCGCGGGGCTGGGCTTCGTCCGGGCGCTGCGCGAGTTCACGGTCGGCAAGCCCGAGGTCAGCCAGGAGATCGACGAGGGCGGCTTCTCGATGATCATGCCGCGGCGCAAGGACGGCTCGCGCACCGACTTCTGGAAGGCGGCCGAGGACGAGCCCTGGCGCGTCAAGCGCTTCGCCGAGGCGATGCAGGTCACCGGCATGAGCGCCATGGTCTCGATCGACGTCGTCATCGACAGCTTTGACTGGGCCGGTCTGGGCAACGCCACGGTCGTTGATGTATGTTTCTTGACTTGTCTTCTCTCCCTCTGATCTCCCCCCCCCCCCCCCCTCTTGACGAGTGCATGCTGAACCCATTTTTGTCCATCCTTCCAGGTCGGCGGCTCCGACGGCCACATCATGGTCCCCGTCGCGCGCAAGCACCCCAGCCTCGACTTCGTCGTCCAGGACCTCCCGCGCCTCGAGCCCGACTTCAAGAAGTTCATGGCCGGCGCGGCCTCCGACGTGGCCCCGCGCTTCGCCTGGCAGGCGCACGACTTCTTCAAGCCGCAGCCGGCGCTGCCCGGCGGCAAGGAGGCCGACCTCTACTTCCTCAAGCACGTCCTGCACGACTGGCCCGAGAAGTACGCCGTCAAGATCCTGCAGGGCCTCGTCCCGGCGCTCAAGAAGCCCGGCGCGCGCATCCTGCTGTGCGACAGCCTGATCCCGCCGCTCGAGGAGGCCGGCCACCTGCCCAAGGTGGCGCAGAAGGGCATGGCCATGGCCGACATGCAGATGATGATGATGTTCAACGCGCAGGAGCGGACGCCGGATATCTACGCGCGCGTGGTGGCCAAGGCGGACCCCAGGCTGAAGATCAAGAACATGATCTCGATCCCTGGCGCACTGATGAGCCTGATCGAGCTGGCGCTGGAGTAGATCAGGGACCAGCTCTATCTGGTTCGGAGAGAGAATATGTTTAGGTGGATACCACGTTTTGATAAAGAGTCATTGCAAGGTAGATCGATAGCAAGTGAGACGAGACAAGAGAATCTGAAATGACATCTCGACGTCTCATGTGACAGGGTTTTGTGTTACACTTGGCATTTGATGCATTGATGACAGATTAGTCGTATTACTGCATTACCGGTGGGATATATCCAGCACTTCCGCGTCGCACCACTCGTATGGAGCAGACAGTCTCGCACAACTTATCAAAGAACAATTTTCACAATAATCGCAACGTTGCCCCCGGAAGGGATCAATCACGCAGAGAAAGGCAAGGAAGCAAGCACCGCCACAACAGCACCACCAGCGACACTGACCACCCACGAGAACGGTGCGACGGCCCGGGCCGCACTGGTCGACCCACCGCCGCCGCCGCCGCCAGCAGTAATCGCAGGCCGCGTCGTGGTCGGCGTGCTGCTGGCACGAGCGCTGGTCGTGGTCGTCGAGCTCGAGCTCGAGCTCGAGCTGGAGGAGCTGGGCGTGTCGTCTCCACCAGCGGAGCCACTGTCGCTACCGCCAGCGCCGCTGCCGGCCGCGGTCGAAGCGGAACTGGGCATCGAGAGGGGCGGCGTCGTGCCCGGGGCCGGGACGAGCGAGGTGGTGGGACCGCTGCCGCTACCTCCGCCACCGCTACCTCCGCCGCCGCCGCCAACGCTGGTGGTGTCCCAGTCGCCCTTGTAGCACTTCTTGCCGTTCTGGCAGCAGCCGCCGAACTGGTCGCAGTAGGTGCCGATCTGATTTCAAAAAAAGAAAAACGGGCCACGGGTTAGCTCCTGGGCGACGACTATACCTCCCGTTTTTTCCGTTCGGGGTCTCGGAACGGTAAGGGGTCAAGGTAGAGAGACTTACTCTGCAGTAACTACCAGTCCCGTCGTGGCAGCACGTACCGCCTATAGGGATGCACTTGTTGTCACAGACTAGCTGCGCCGAGCTGCAAGTGCCTCCGCTGGAGCCGCCGCCGCCTCCGGAACCGCCTCCTCCGCCCGAGGAACCACCGCCTCCGCTGCCGCTACCAGCCCCGCCGCAGGTGTTGTCGGACCGGCAGGTCTGGCCGGGGTCGCAGAAGCCGCCCCAGCCGCCGTTGGCGTTGGGGCAGCAGACCTTGAGGGTCGAGACGCATCTGAGGTGATGACACAGACGTGTGTCAGCTTTGGCTGTTCCGCTACGACAGAAAATAAAGAGCCGTTTTTGCCACGATTGTCCGTGTACTTACCCTTGGCCGCACTTGACCTCGCCGACGCCGCACTTGCCCGTGCCGGTGCATGTCTTGCCCTCCTATTGTCATGGAACGTTTAGTCTTGTCATCATACCCGGGGAAGCAAGTAACTTGGGGTTGGAGTTGGGCATTGGACGTACTGGACAGCAAAGTGTGCCTTGGCAGACCTCGCCTTGGTTGCAGAAGCCGCCTCTATAATTAAGATGTCAGCCCGGAGATGTCCTCCGATAAAGTAGCCCGAGAGCAAGATACGTACACCGCGCAGCAGACACTCCCCACGGGCATACAGCCGGTGCGGCAGACCTCGTAGCCGGGCTTGCAGCCAGCGCTGGCAGCTAACAGGTTGAGGCCGGGCATGGGGGCGGGTGTGTATCCGAGATGCTGGAGCTTGATCGCGTTCTGGGCGAGCGCGGCTTGCGCCAGCAACGCGACGTTGAGGAGGGCAGTTGTGGTGATCATGTTTGCGCCAATGTTCTAACAGAATTGCGGAGGGCAAAAGCAGGAGCAGAGATAAAGGCAGAGCACCCATAGCTCGCGAGCTGAGCGGACAGCCTCATACTCCCCTTTTGTAGCCGCAAGCCGGCTTGAGGACCTACCTGTAGATCTGCAGGACTGGGTCTCTGATTCAACGCATTGGGTATCCACACCTTTCTTTAGGTTATCACAAGTATGGAAAGCAAGTGCAGATCTGGTAAATTGCAGGGACACCGCAGGCCGGGTGCTTTGGACCAGCTGGCAGCCCTAGTCCACGAAAAGAGTGACTGTACAGGGGATCGATGATTGCTTATGGCCCGTCGGTGCAACTCGGTCCCGGCTTTGCTGCCCGCCAGCAACCGTGATGGGCTGCGGGATGCCCAGCTGTCAACATGCCGACCTTAGAACTCGAACCCAATCAACACCAGGCCCTATTACCAGTCAGCCCTGGACGGTCCGTCTGTGGCGTTGCTGGGACCGTTCAACGTTCAAACGCTCCCAGAACTGCACATCTCGGTGTGTCTTTCTGTGATTCTTACAGCCCAGCAGGTAAGCTAATCCCTCTAGCGTGGGTGCGGCTGGAGACAGCATGCAGTTGGGTGCGGTGCGATTGGTGCAAACGGCAGACAAGCTTATCCAAGATCCCTGTCTGTCTTTTCAGCTGGTGCTTGTTTTCTGGGGAATCGTTGCCTCGGGTTTGCCGCGAATTGGAAGGGATCGGCGCTCGTTTACCCGACTTTGGGCAGGGCAAGGCAGGGCGGGGAGACTGTTGTTGATCACTGTCGTGTTGGGAAACAAATAGACACACACATTGATGGAGGAGAACCTTGGCAGTGGCACAGCCCTATCGCTCCAAGTCATGATCCGGGTTAGGACGACCGAAACCCTCGGTTTGATGGCCCTCGGCGGGGAAGATCGCCTAGCGGGAGGCCATAAGAGAAGAGCTTAGATTCTCAAAAGGACCATCAAACTTGTGGCTATTGAGAGAGAGACGTGATCTTGATGCTCTCGCCTCGAGCTGTGGGTTGGGCTTGGACAACAAGCCAAGCATTCTGGCTCATGGCTTTGCCAGCTTATTAGCACCGTCCGTTCAACTTTGACATGCGTGACACAACCACAGGTCGTGCAACATGTCAGGCAGACTCGACGCTTACCTATCTTGGTCCAGGACTGAGCCTCATCAGCCCTTCCACCTCCCAAGAGGACTAGACGGGCTTGACTATCCCAAATGGAGGACGACATTAGCGGACGCGGACGTGAAGCCATGAGGGAGAGAAAACGCCGCACGGGGACTGCTGATCCCGCCTTCAAGCATCCCACGTGTCAAGCTGAACATGTAAAGATGCTGCAAAACGTGTGTTCCACATGGAGAGCGAACGATATTGAGGTCGATCTCAACCATCCAATCGGGGATCGAAGATCCGGGGAAAGGCGGGAGGACTGGATGCACGCGTGGTGAGAATAGGCAGACGGCACAGTCAAGCCACAGGAGTGAAAGACGCCACAGAGGAACTCCAGCCACAATACTGCCAAGAATGCACGTGACTGCACCCGCCACCCTGGGCTTGCCGCCAGCCACAGCGCCACATTTACCCGCTCCCACTTGGAGACGGTCTGGACTTCCTTGTCGGGTCAGTCGGTGGGTGGGCGCGCATGATTCGAGATGCTTTTCGCTGACTCCGATCTCATGACAATTCCTTCCCTCGTGTTCCCCAAACCATCATCGGACTCGCGAAGCAGAGACCCGAGCGAGCGGACTTCCGGGACTTGCGTTCTTTGCGTCCAGGCAGCACAAGATTGCCGGTTTTTTGTGTCTGTCTGTCTGTCTGGCTGCGCCGGGCATCCTTGCGGTAAGAAAACTTCGTCTTTCTTGGCCTTAGCTAAGCCTCCATCACTTCGACCCCCCCCCCCCCCCCCCGCCGCCACGCCGCGGGCGCAAACCTGGCAGACGACGCGGCTGCCAACGTCATCGCCTCGACTTTTGTTTGCCTCTTTCCGGGCTGAGGTCTGAATGCGAGAGGGGCCAAAGTGCAAGGCAGATGCATTATTCCTTGCAGAGAGGACCATGTCAGAAGGTAAATTCATCTCTTCATTGAAAGGAAGAAGTACAGGGATGAGGATGGATTTCTCTCATGACGTATACCGGCGAATCACTTGACAGCGTGTCCCCATTTTGGGGAGGTTCGGCGGGAGCACCGGGAGCCCGTTCTTTTGGCTCCTGAAGAGTTTCCTTCTCTCGCTAGTATCATCCCATGCGAGCGAGAGCACCGAAAGAAGACAGAAAGCAGCAGACGAGGTTTCTCTTGGTATTTCTTCCCAACTGGAGGTATCCTTTTTGCCTACCTACCTGGCCCTTCCCCAATTGAGGTTACCGGGGGTCACCTTTCGAAGTCGCGGGATGCTTGTAGATCTTCCTATTTTAAATCGCCCTTCCCAGGTCCAGGGGTATTCCCGGACCATCCTAGGTGGTTTGGTCTCCACAGCCCTGCGGCAGTCCCAACCCCACGAATAGAGATGGATGCTGCGCTGCCAGGATGACACCTCCTCCAGCGGGTCTTGGACCCCGAAATCCTGAGCTCTCACCAGCCGATGACATAATGCACATTTTGTCTGTAGATCGTGAGGACGATCTACAGAGCGTAGATATTCCACATTGCGACGTGTCCAGAACCTACTCCGTAGGTTGCAAACATAGGTAGGACAGAGATAAGGGAATATGACGAGCCCTGCACACCTTAATCAATCACTCTTTCCAGAGTGGAGAAGCCAGAAAAGCCCATTCTGCGTCAGTAATGCTGCCGAGGAATCCCAGTGTTCCAGATCAGTCCCGCTGAGCGGCGCCGCCCAACCGGCGGGTGGTCGGGGAATTTGGCACTGGCGTACCCGGGCAACGTGGCTGGCATTGGCGGGAAAAAAAGGGCAAATCCAATCAATCCATCGCATCCCACCTTGGCTACCATCTAGATAGGTACCTAGGATACTTATCCAGCGGGTGATGGGCATCGAATCCAAGTGGCGCGAGACGTAGGTAGTGTAGACAGAAAAGAGACGTGGAATTCTATTTTCAGCGGGGGGGGGGGTCGTCCGAACCAGCAACCCATCTTCGCCGTCGCCGCCGTCACCGCCGCCGCCGCCGCAAAAGCGGAGGTGGCGTAACGATGCGGCGCGGTAAGGTAAGACGGAGATACTCAATTGATCGCACGTTTGTGAAACCAAGAAACAAGGAATAGATCGCCTGATCACCGGCTGATGAGTGAGTTTTCTCACAAGGTATCAACTTCTCCCCAAGGTTCGAGAGTTGAATGGCAAATTCAGATCATGAACGGGGTACGATGCATCCGAGGCCGAGGAGGAACTCAAGCTGGGAAGCAACTCGTGCCCCTGGGTCAATCTACCTACCGCACATCACCACTTATTCAAATTCCACAATCGCCTCAAGTCAAGTACCTTGTCACTTTCACAATTTCCGCATTAGGTAGGTAGTGGGAACGGCCAAGGTTTGTATGAAAAAAAAGTTCCAGATCCCGACGCCGGGTACGGGGCCTTCTTGGACATCCTTTATTCAGGTAGGTTATCTTCTTTATCTCTCTTGTCATTTGCCCCGTTTCGATGCAAATGCCCTTGGGTGTGTCCCCGTAATGCTAAAATATGCCTTGGTTGGTATTCTACCTAATTTCCCCGATTCAATTCCATCCCTTCCGTTCACCGGGTCGACACCGACCCAATCCGCCGCCCCCTTGGAAATGATCTCACAAAAAAAGACTCCACCTTCCCGCCCATTCCAGTCCGCCCAATGATGAAAAAGGTAGCACTCTGGCCGAAACTATCCCGTCGTCAGAGGCTACAAGATTAAAAAGTAGTATCGGAGCTCGGAGGGGGATCCGGATCCATCCGTTGATGGGAGGAATCCCCTCGCCGACGCCCGTTCCGTAGTGTAAAAGAAAGTAGAGAAAGGGAATATGGTGTAAATGCATCAAACAAACGCAACGCGGGTTTCGAGAACCCGATCCGATGATCCTCCTCTTCCCAACTCGCGATAGAAAAGAGTAACAAAGCCATGCCAACCAATGCAGTGAAATCAATCCGTGAGAGAAAAAAGTGAGAAAAAAAGTCAACGCCGTCGCTTTTTGTTCCTCGTTGCATGGTTTGCTGTAGTAGTCGGGAATCATGAGTTGTAGTTGAAACAAGTGATCGTATGCTCTCGCCTCTATCGCACGGCGACTCCCGAGCCGCCAAAGACGCGGCCAAAGACGCCCCGCATGCGCTTGACCCGGCCGCTGCCGTCCTGGTAGTCGCGCAGGTCGTCGGCGCTGATCTCGTAGGGCAGCATCTGGTGCTGGTGCTGCTTGCGGGGACCCGCGGTGGCGTAGTAGTCCGAGGGCCTCTTGGTCGACGGCGCCGGCGGCAAGGGGGCCTCGAGGACGACCTCGACCGGCGAGCCGTACAGGTCGGCGTCGGCGTTGAAGATATAAGGGTCGTTGCCCGAGGCGTGCTGGTTGTAGGACAGGGCGGAGGACGAGACGGCGGAGCCGGCGTTGGACAGCGGCGTCGTCGAGCGCGAGTGCACGGAGCCAGAGGACACCGACGAGGCGTAGGAGCTCGAGGAGCCGGCGCTGGAGCTGTAGGTGAGCCCGGGCGTCTCCTCGAGGCCCGGCGTGGCGTGGCGGGAGCGGACCTGCGCCATGGGCGGGGTGATGTAGGCGAGTTGCTGCGTTGTCGTCATCGTCGTCGTCGTCTGCTGCTGCTGCTGCTGCTGGGCGGTGGCGGCGAGCCAGGCCTCCTGCTCCTGCTGCTTGCGGATCATCTCCTCGTGCTTCCTGCGCTGGCGGCGGGCGTGGCGGGAGGCGATGTCGCGGCGGATGGGCTCGAGGAAGGCGTCGAGCTCGCGGTAGAGGTGGTCCTCGGTGATGCGCAGGTCCCAGTCGAGCAGGAAGAGCAGCTGCTTCTCCATGAGGTTGACCTCGGTGCGGCTGAAGCCAAAGTTGAACTCGGCCGTCGTGATGACGCTGTAGTTGGCCCAGTGCTTGTTCTTGGGCGAGCTGTCGTTGAGGTACTTGGCGGCCAGGATGAGCGAGGCGAGGAAGATGCGGTGCGTGGTGCAGCGCAGGCCCTTGGCCATGGGCTGCAGGCGCGACTTGAGGCGGCGCAGGTAGACGAGCGTGCTCATGAGCGTGGGCACCTGGACGTTGCTCGAGACGACGAGCTGCGTGATGAACTCCTCGAGGCTCGGCAGGCCGCCGTCGGTGCACTTGACTGCCTGCGGGGAGGGCGTCCGCGGCGGGGTGTGGGGGAGGTGTGCTGGCCGGCTCTCGGCGGCGGGCGGGGGCGGCATCATGGTGGGATCGCACTGGATGACGTTGCAGGCGGCGCTGGCGAGGTACTGGATCATCGGCCGGCTGACCGGCGTGTAGACGAAGTGGTCGAGCGCCGCTGCGTTGAGCTCAGCTAAGCTGAGTGTTTGGTATGGGCAGTCCATTATGTGTGAGGTGTGAGGTGTGTGTGTAAGTGGAGGAGGAATCGGTTTCGGTTCAGCGAAGTCGAGATCGGTTTCCCTTCCCAAACGGAAAAAAAAAAAGTCGAAATTCCCAAAAAGCAAAGGCCAGTCGTCGAAAAACAGAATCGCTCGTCAAAAGAAACTGAGATGCTTTCTGAAAAAAGAGTGGTGGCAGCGTCGTCGCTTTCCGTGGATATGCAGTTGCGGTCTGGACTCGCTTTCTTCTTCTTATACGAGGTGGACCCCTGTCGTTTCCGTAGAGGGAGGTGACAATGGGCGGGTGGGGGGAAACAAGTGGCAGCGGCCCTGCTGTTCCCTTTATTGTCTTGCTCGTGAGAGAGAATGAAGGAAGAAAGAAAGAAAGAGGCTGCAAACCAAAACACGCACGACAACGAGAGTGTGACTGACGACTGTCAGTGCGTGAGGAAGGCAGGTGAAGGAATTAAGAAAGACTGGACGTCGTGGAGGTGGTGGTGCGGCGGGAGGGCGGCAGTAGATGTAAGTATCCGTAAGAAAAGGTTGGTTGTCAAGTGAGGGTGGAGGTGAGTGAACAATGTACCTCAGGTACCGCAAGTACCTCCTGGGGGGGTTATGGGTGTCAGATGGATTGGAGGGGGGTCCGGTGGTAGGTTGGGTGACGTGCAAGTACCACGAGGCTGAGTTCCAGGGGGGGTCGCAGCGTGCCAAGCAGAGGTTGAGTCGGGTTTAGTGGCGGCGGGTGGGTCGCTGCTAAGGATGATGCTAGGGCGTTCAAAGGGAGCGCCAGGCGGCCAGGGGTCTCACTGATCGACGATTTTGGCGTGGGCTGGATGCCAGCTTGCAGGAGGCGAGACCTGGTCGATCGGGGGCGGCGTAGCGGGCACAGGCCTGGAGCGGGCAGGCGGGGGGTCCACTTGTTGGCTGGCTGGCTGGCTGGCTGGCTGGCTGGTCAACTGTGGGTGGGCTGCTGCTGCGAAGGGACGGACGGATTTCGCAGGAATGTGGAATCGTCAAATATGTGGTTAATGCAGGACAAAATATGCGGGAGAAACGGGAGGGTGATGGATTTTTTTGGATGGCCCGGAGATCTTGTGGTTGATGGGAAGATCTCTCCTTCGTTCAGTTTCGTTTCGACGGTCCCTGTGAACAAGGGATTTGCAAGGACAAATGCAGACCCTGGGCAGAGTGATGCAACGGGTGGGACCGGTGATTGCTGGTCGGTGACAATAGACTGGACAAAAAAAGCTATTGACGCACAAATGGCCGAGGCCCCACGGTATTTGATTTTGAGTGTGCGGTGTGTGGACTGGACAGATAGAAATCCGAATAGTACCTGATCGGTCGGTGCCGGGGGTCTGGTCTGGGGTAGCGTAGGTGGTGTCAAGAAAGGCGAAGGCCGACTAACAGGCGAGTCAGGACACAGGTGCTGCCGTCCTATTTGCTGCTAATCTTGGAAATAGCTCCTTTTCTCTCTGCACAGCTGCAAGTAGCAAGGAAATATGCCCCGTGCGCTGCGTAAAAGGATGTGTGTGGGTGTGTGTGTGTGTGAGTGAGTGACTTGTGTGCCGTAGGACGGGACGTGATTGAGGGGTCCGATCCAGCGGGACGCCAGAACAATGCCTTGAACTCCTAGAGTGTGTCTAGGTGTGATTAAAAGGGAGCGAATGGCGCTGCGAGGAGAGTGTCGCAGCTTGGGTCGGCCTGGTCGGAGGCCCGCGCGTGCGTGTGTAAGCCGGCAGCGAATAACAAGATGCAAGGGCGGGAAAATAGCCTGAGTCCGGGGGGGTTCAAGCAGAGTGAGCCTAGGAGAATGGCGTAATCGTGCACTTTGGTGCGAGTGAGTGGGCAGAATGGGCCAAACGAGAGGACGACGTATTCGTACACGCAAGAAAGACAACAACAGCTGTGTTGCGTGTGTTGAATTGGTCTTTGGGTTTGAGGCGGTGCGGGGTGGCCGAGTAAGCTGAGCTGAAGCTGTGCCTTGGGAGAGAGGATGCCTTGGGTGGGTAACCTTTTCTTCAAGAGCGAGCGCACGCTTTCTGCTTGTTTGCTTGCTGGGGATGAAGAGAGAGGGGAGGAATTAGACCAGCAAAGCCTCGAGTGCAGAAGAGGCCGCTTTAAACAAAGCCAACAAGTTGAGAGATCGTGTTGTATGTGTCTGTGTGGTCAAAGGGTTCCGCCTGCGGTAGAGCCTTGGAGAAATTGCACCCGTCAGACGGAGTGCCTCGGGCGTTGTGGATGCAATTGGAATTGCAGCGTCGATATTTCGCCTCTCCTTGTGTAAAGGGAGTCGTAGCAACAGGGCTGTCTGAGCTGGGGCCCGGAGCTGGGTTTGCTGAAGATAGCGCGCAGCGTGGCCGCAATAGAGGGAGGCAAGTGTAATTAAAAAGGAGGTGCGCAAGTAATGTCGCCGCTCAATACCCAGGGGACAGTAAATGCCAGCGGGCACTTTCTCCTGCACTACCTAGCCAGAGGGAGAGGAGGGAGAGCTGCGAAAAAGATGGAGATACCGCTCGGGCGAGCCTCCGAAGTGGTTCGTTCAAGTCGTTACGAGGTCGGAATACTCGTGGGGGCGGCCGGGTCGGTATGGGATAGAGAGAGCAGTCCGGCTGTCCAAAGGGATGGATTAAGCGTGCGGTGCGGGCTGGCAAAGAATACCTAAGCTCTGGCCCAAAGAGAAAACGCGGAGGATCAACACCCACGATAGAAAAAGCAAGCACGCACGCCGGCGGAGGCAAAGGGTGTGCAGAATCAGGAAAGGCTGTTAGCGTGCTATTCCAATCTCATTCCTAGGAAATCATGGGAAGGGATGGCGAGGAGATGAGTCCATTATCTAGATCGAGCGCAGGAGAGCATCTAGTCTCGCAGGTTTTACGCACATGGCTTCCCAGAACAGCAATTGTCCAATTTGCTTTTCGCAGGAGGCTAGCTTACGGTGCCACTTGGGTACCATTCAATGTCGACCTCTCCTTCTCCTGGGACTAACGCTCTTCTCTTGCACATCGCATATCGCCAACCTATTGGCCGGCCCACTGGGGTGAGCATCCCTCACCAGCGACCCTTCTCCCAGTCGATGGGCCTGACCATTGGCCGCCGCACGCAATTCGTCAGACGAAACCAGGAGCCAGAGAGTCCATAGGTTCGAGGAAAATAGAGCTATCCGGGCCTTGCCAGCTTGGAACTCCACCCCCTTGGCCTGCCCGCCAGAAGAGTGCTTGGGAGACGATTTGACTGGCCCAGAGCCGGCCGTACACCCATGCTCCTACAGCAAGAGGCAAGAAGCAGGGTACGCATAAGCTCCTTGATTGAATGAATGGGTGGGAGGAATCAAAGGCCTTGTTCCGCAAGTCTGTCAAGCGCAACGAGCTGCCATTGGCGAGACTGGCTGGGAGCGGTCGACACATGAAACAAGCGATGGGTGCCTGTCTTTGCCTCTCCCGCCGCACAGGGTGGCCGCCAAGGCATGCAGAGCGGGGGGGATGAGCGGCGACAGACGACACACCGCCAGCCAGCCAGTGGGGCGCGAGCACCGATCCTCCGTTTCGCAGGCGGGGCTGGGCTTCTGGCGACAGGGTGCCGTGCCCGGAGCATTTGTTTGATGATGGATGACATGCAGGTTCTGCTCCTTTGGTTCGGAAGAGTCATCGCTTGTCCCTGGCTTGTGTTTTTCTTTTCCAACGCATCAACATATGCCGCTGTTGGACAAATCATCTCACGGGCCGGCAGGCAGGCTGATGTGGTTTAGAGGCCTCGTTATTGGGCTTGATGAACGACAACAAACAAACAAACAAAGACGAGTGGCCAAGCAAGTCACAGGTAAACGCGGGCTGGCTAGAGAGGCCACAGCACCAACGACCCAGGCTGTACTATACACATCTTTGGTTTTTGATGAACGTTGTGACAACGCGAAGGCCAAAACCGATGGCGTAGGACAGAGCGTTTGTCGTGCTTCGCTGTGGCTCGTACAGCAGGGAGGCGGCCCTGGCACGAATGGCTCTGCACCTCGCCATGTTACATCACCAACGGTCCAACTTTGGCAGCAGCAATAGCGATATCACGATGTGCACTCTCCGCGCGTCGTCTTCTTGACGTTTTCGGCAATATGGAATGTGATGAGCAGGAACAGATCACCATATATCCTGGGTCCATGATCGGCAGACTTTTTCCAAGGAAACATCAAGTGATGATACTTGTAGACTTTTGTCCACCGCCATGTACATTGGCAAGCTCTATTGCATCTTCGTGCCAGCAAAGAGGCACACAGGGAGGATGTGAAAAGTCTCCAGAACCAATCAGGATCTGCGGCGCCAATCAAGAGGGCGGAAAATGGCGGTGCGCCTTCCCCTGCATTTTTGGCACCAATGACAACCACGGCTGCCACCAGATGAAACGAAACACCAAGAAAAACGCATGCCAACAACCCTGCCATCTCCAGTTTTCGAGATGCGAGATCGCCAGGAGAACATGAGATAGGCTCATAGGGTATCTGGGCCCCTGGAGATTTTAGCGGGTATGTCTGTGGTTCACTGAGGTCGAAACAAATGGCAAAGGCAAAGGTTACAAGTTACATGCTGCGTAATGGCGTGGGCTCGGTGTACGCAACCTCGAATGGCGGAGTCGAATACACTCTACCTACAAACTTCGTATCTTCAACACACTGCGTAATGCTCCCAAGACCCCAAACCCACCACGAAACAAAGTGGCGATATCTTGGCGACTCAAGACTGGTCTGGTCTGGTCTGCTCCATTCCAGTCGACGCTGCCTTTATGCTTGTCCTCTCCTCACCTGCGCCCCCCTCCCCCCTCACGAGCCGGCCGACCTCGCCGGATGATGCTGGCACATTCATGCCTAGAGCGAGCTTGCAAGCGTCGCCAGTATTCCCGCTTCCCCTTGCTTCAAGACGCAGGTCCGGCCGACTAGGTCGGCCCAAGCTACCTAATGGCTACGCATTCCCGTCACACCCACATAGGCTTTGGTCAGGGGTAAACAGATAAAGGCACAA